TCTGGGTCCATACGAGTTAAGAAAAGAGATGAAGAGATGCTAGAACTAGGAGCGGAACCGTCTCTTTGCAAGTTTGGGGCCGAATGTCCCCTCCCTTTCCGAAATTCGAAAGATGCTAACACCTGTGAAATTGTGGGTTGTCCAAATAACCTGTGATGAAAAACCCAAGCACCAGAACTATTGCTGCTCGTCAGCTATCGGTGCCCTTAGTATAAAGACAGCTCTACAGTACTATTTAAAATAATATATGTTTTATTGTCACATACACCAGATAGGTGCATTGAAATGTGGTGTTTTACAGGGTCAGCCATAGTTGTACAGCACCCCTGGATCAAATTAGGGTTAAGTGCCTTGCTCAAGGACACATCAACAGATTTTTCACCATGACAGCTCAGGTATTCGAACCAGCGACCTTTTGGTTACTGTCCCAACGCTCTAACCGCTAGGCTACCTGCCGTCCTTTATGTTTACGTAGGCTGCCCACCAGAGATTAGGACCCACTGGAGGGTAGTAGTTTGGACATAAACGTTGGTCTTGTTTGTTATAGTCAAAGGAACATTCTGGGTTCTTGGGTACAGTACAAAAGGTTTGGGGTGTGGTATATGGTCATACCATTATGTTTTCATTTGTTGCTCTCATATTTGGCTTTGTTTGTGTTGGTGTGTTCTAAGTCTTAGTGTGTGTGTGTGTGTGTGTGTGTGTGTGTCATTGGCCTGTTGAGCTCATTGGAGCGTTAATCCTACTCAGACTGGCAGCCTCTCTCTCCCGCCTCTCTCAGTATTTAAATGGATCTGAGGTGGCGTCGCTGCCAACCAGGGTTATGTATCACTTTCAAAGCGGCCCTGTTTGTCTGTGCCCATACCAAATAGCAGCCCAATAACCAGGCCTCTTTAAGGGGGACAGGCAAGGGGGTCGAGGGCCGCCAGCCTCTTTAAACCCCACTGCTTGTTGAGTGTCTGTCTGGAATGCCAGACACCCTCCTGTGTGTGTGTTTCAAGTGGCAGTTAGTCAGTGTGCGTGCTGTCTGGATGATTGTTGGAACAGAGAATAGATTTATGAACTCCTGGGAAGGTAAAGCGGTGTGGCTTTCTGTCCACATGTATCAGATATGTCTCTTTGTTTGAATGTGAGTGCGCGTGTGTGTCCGGGTGTGTGTGTCCGTGAGCGGGTGTGTCAAGGGGCTGCTCCTTAATTGTACGCTTGACAGCCATAGCCTGTTTGCCCCCCTCCTCTCCTCCTCAAAAACTATTTTTAAAACACCACAGTGGCTCGATCCTTCACAAACCAACCCGTGGCATGTGTGGCATCTGTCTGCGCCACACTCCCCCTCCGGGCCACGGCGTGTGTCAGCTCTGAGCCACGCTCCCTGTGCGTTAGTACGACAGCGCGTCTCCACACTGACATTAACCTTAGGTTGAGGTGGGGTCTTGCTCAGGCTTCAGACCTGCCCCTCGCCTTGACCCACTGGGGACCTTGACTCAAACACACACACACCCCAAAACGGTGAGTTAGGCTGTCTTGGGGCAGCTGTCCTAACTCAGGCAGGAGAGGGGGAAGTTGGGGAGAGCAGTAGCGATAGAGAGCGGGGAGGGGGTGTAGGGCATTCCTCCAGTGTTATTTCACATGACAAGGCTGCAAGCTAGACTTAGTGGAGGATGTATCACTTAAACCCCCCCCCAACTCCTTAACATAGCTTTGTGCTCTTAACACATCCACTGCCAATGTACTGTATCTAAATACAATGACCAAAAAGTCATCTGGACAGAAAATACCTAGATGAGTTCAATATAGACTTTCATTAAAAGTAAACAAACTTAAATATAGTCTTCAAATATTACTTAACACACAGTGTGTTTACACCAATAGTGTCAAGACACTTCAAAACGGTGTCATCTCACTTCATGTCTACAGACAACAGCACAGTTGTCATATGACTTGCAACACTGTTGACAGACAGCTGTACATCGAGAGGAAGTTTATGAACAACTGTTAATGTTGGATACTAAAACAATGCTATAGAAGTGCTGCTGGAAAATACTTGAGTTTGACCTGTCACCAGACCAGTTTTAGTGCAGCGGGGTTTAGAGCCCAGCAGAAGGTCTCTGTCTCTACGTCTCCTCTTCCTTTGTCTCTGCAGAAGTAACAGAGTACTGTAAATGATTCTGGAGGATTAGACAGTGTGATGATAGAAAGAAAGATGCCAACAGCCATGTGTCTGAGTGACACTCCACAAGCATGTACATTCATGCTCACACAAAGCGCTTCTTCGTCAGTTTGCTGTACGATTCCCTCCTATCCGTTATTTGATCTCAGATTCAAATTGCTGTTTTGTCACACAACAGAATGCCACAGATGTCTCAAGTTTTGAGGGAGTGTGCAATTGGCATGCTGACTGCAGAAATGTCCACCTGAGCTGTTGCCAGAGAATTTAATGTTCATCTCTCTACCATAAGCCGCCTCCAACGTTGTTTTTGAGAATTTGGCAGTACGGCCAACCAGCCCTACAACTGCAGACCACGTGGAACCATGCCAGCCCAGGACCTCCACATCCGGCTTCTTCACCTGCGTGATTGTCGGGATGGGGGGGGGGGGGGGGGCCTATGCCCTCCCAGGCCCACCCTTGGCTGCACCCATGCACAGTCATGTAAAATCCATAAATTAGGGCCTAATGAATTTATTTAAGTTGACTGATTTTCTTATATGAACTGTAACTATTTGCAAAATCTTTGAAATTGTTGCATGTTGCGTTTATTTTTGTTCAGTATAGAATTATATAACAAAGTCAAAAGCATTTAGCTGTTAGCTAGGCAAGTTGCTGTATTTTTTAGGTTAAAAACAAAGCTAAGTCGTTTTGTGGTTGGAATTGCAGTATGTATTAAGTTTGAGAAATGTTATGTGAGCTAGCAACTTTTGACAGATTGGTTTCGTCTGGACAAACAAAAAAACTTGCTAGCAACCAAATGAATACCAATGTGTTCTGTAGAGAAAAAAGTGATTGAGATCCAATATTTGCATAACCTTTGATTGGATTATAGCTGTGAGGGTTATTGAATCAGGATCAAAAACCTCTGTTCTACTCAGCTTATTAATGAATGTTCATATTTGAAGATTGCAGAAAGGCCAGGCTGTTTAGCGTGACATGGAGTGGCAAGGAGTTGAATGATAGCTGAATGATGATAGCTAGACTGGTACCCAGACTAAAATCTGCTTTAGTACACTGCTCAAAAAAATTAAGGGAACACTAAAATAACACATCCTAGATCTGAATGAATGAAATAATCTTATTAAATAGTTTTTTCTTTACATAGTTGAATGTGCTGACAACAAAATCACACAAAAATTATCAATGGAAGTCACCCTCAAAATTAAAGTGGAAAACCACACTACCGGCTGATCCAACTTTGATATAATGTCCTTAAAACAAGTCAAAATGAGGCTCAGTAGTGTCCACGGCGTCTCCAGACTCTGTCACGTCTGTCACGTGCTCAGTGTGAACCTGCTTTCATCTGTGAAGAGCACAGGGCGCCAGTGGTGAATTTGCCAATCTTGGTGTTCTCTGGCAAATGCCAAACGTCCTGCACGGTGTTGGGCTGTAAGCACAACCCCCACCTTGTGGACATCGGGCCCTCATACCACCCTCATGGAGTCTGTTTCTGACCGTTGAGCAGACACATGCACATTTGTGGCCTGCTGAAGGTCATTTTGCAGGGCTCTGGCAGTGCTCCTCCTTGCACAAAGGCGGAGGTAGCAGTCCTGCTGCTGGGTTGTTGCCCTCCTATGGCCTCCTCGACATCTCCTGATGTACTGGCCTGTCTCCTGGTAGCGCCTCCATGCTCTGGACACTGCGCTGACAGACACAGCAAACCTTCTTGCCACAGCTCGCATTGATGTGCCATCCTGGATGAGCTGCACTACCTGAGCCACTTGTGTGGGTTGTAGACTCCGTCTCATGCTACCACTAGAGTGAAAGCACCGCCAGCATTCAAAAGTGACCAAAACATCAGCCAGAAAGCATAGGAACTGAGAAGTGGTCTGTGGTCACCACCTGCAAAACCAGTCCTTTATTGGGGGTGTCTTGCTAATTGCCTATAATTTCCACCTGTTGTCTATTCCATTTGCACAACAGCATGTGAAATTTATTGTCAATCAGTGTTGCTTCCTAAGTGGACAGTTTGATTTCACAGAAGTGTGATTGACTTGGAGTTACATTGTGTTGTTTAAGTGTTCCCTTTATTTTTTTGAGCAGAGTATATACCCCAAAATCTTTATTTTGTATTTGATTGATACATGCATGATTGTCAGTAAGGTAAATCTCTCACACATATGAACTCCAGTGGTTGGTCCCCGGAGTTAATACCCCGTCTCCAACACTTCCCAAGAGGCTTTTCACTCTTTTTTCTCTCCCTCTACTTCTCTCTCTCTTCAGGTTCACTCAGAGTTCTGGTGGACCAGGGCTTTTTATAAAAGGCCTTAAAGCCAAGGCTGCTGGAGGGAGTGTGGAGAGGGGCACACACACTCAAACACAAAGCTGGCACCTGTCTCCTCAGCACGACGGTTTGTGTTACTGTGTGTTTGTAGTCTGTGTGTGCGGTGTGTGTGTGTATTTGGGAGTGACTGTGGGTCCGGCCCAGTGGAATGCTTGGCCTCTGACGGTGACTGGCTTTGATCTGGCATTCCTGTGGGAGTTTCTTCACTGGGCCTCAGCACAGACAGAGGGAGAGAAAAAGACACAGCGAAGGAAAGAGAGAGCCTTGAGTGTGAGAGAGCGAGAGGGCAACAGAGTCCGGGAGGAGAGAGTGGCAGACTTGATGAGAGAGAGCTAGTGAGTGAATAACCACAAGTTTCCACTGCACTCAGACCTCAGAGAGGGAGAGAGTGGCAGGCAGAAAGAAAGAGAGCGAGGGAGGGAGACAGAGACCAGATTCCACTGTGACTGACAGACAGGGCTCTAGTGACAGGGGCTTTGGGTGTGTGAGAGCCTGAGTGAGTCAGCGTTCCCCATGTTGTTGGCCTTAACCTGGGGATCACTGGGGCGCCACTACATCGCCATGTTTGAGTCCACCCAGAACGTGATGCTGAAGCCCACAGAGACCTGGAGAGAAGCCCTGCTCGACACCCGCGTCATGGACCTCTTCTTCACCGTGAGTATTTCTCCCCTCATCTCTCTATGTAGCTAGAATACCCTTCTGTCCTGCTGACCGTTCCTTGACCGTTGTCTCCTCTTGAGGTTCTTACCACAGAGTGGGAGAGGGAGGGTTTGAACTGTGTATTATGAGGCATGTGAAACAAGTGACATATTTTATAGTGAAGCATTTATTACAAATGATCTTGATATTGCAATGTAGTATTTTTCCTAGGTGACGTGTAGATATGGCAGTGAAACGTGTGTTTTTATAAAGTGTTGTGTGTGTAGTAAATGAAGCTGCCCGTTCTGGTTTAGTGGTGTGAGCGAGATTAAGTGTGGAACAAATCCGTCAGCTCTCCCTCAACATCCAGGCTCTCTGTGTGCCTCTGCCAAATACTGCGCCACTCTCCCCTGTGTGCGTTTTCAAGTCCCAGTCTCCTGCCATATACTGCTCCCTTCTCCTCCAGGCCATATCACATCACTGGAGGCTTCTCTCTATTCTGCATCGCTCAATTTCTACAACTGGCATGAGATGTAATGTTGTTGGATGAGTGAGGTTGAGAAGCCCAAAGATGTTTTGAGCTGTTTGAAACCATTATATATATATATATATATATATATATATATATATATATATATATATATATATATATATATATATGTGTATATGTGTGTGTATATATATATATGTGTGTGTATATATATATGTATATATGTATGTATGTATGTATGTATGTATGTATGTATGTATATATATATATATATATGTATATATATATATGTGTGTATGTATGTATGTATATATATATATATATATATATATATATATATATAGATATTATATATTGTTTTGGATGTGTGTAAACCCCTCTCCTTTCATTGAGTGGTTTGGGACCAGAACATCTCTATTGTATTGCATCTGACCACTGATCAGTCTGAGTTCTGCTGTCTCTTACCTCCACGCTGTGATATTTATGGTGGGTGGGGTGCTTCTTATTGTACGAGTGCTGTCTGTGTGTGTGTGCAACTGTTTGTTGTGTGTGTGTGTTTTGGGGTGATCAGCTGCTGCTCCTCAATCCTCAGCTGTGAGGGTGACGGCCCAGGGAGGGGGCTGTCCAGGCACGCGCTTCCAGGGTCAGAGTTCAAAGAGAGCGATGGCAGGAATACACCCTTACCCTGGGATTAGGGGGCCCCGTTAACAGTACCCCCCACCTCGCACACCCTCTTAAGGACCCTGAAGGGGGTTCATCTCCCTCCTCTGTGGGTGTCAATCTTCCTTTAAACAACTATACTTTGGAGGCAAAGTGGTCTAAGGAGAGTTGGAGAGGGGCAGAAGTTGCGAAAGAAGTCTCCCTCCAAGTACATATATCCACTCTCCTTTACATTACGAAGTTGAAGCTTCAAGTTCAGTGACTGAAGGAAACAGATCTGAAAGAAATAACAAATGTTAGAGGTAGACTGTGAGAATAGTGTTCTCAGTTCCACTCTGAGACAGTGGTCTAGGCCAGGGAGGATATCTTGGCTAGGGGCAGAAGATCAGGGAACTATGCCACTCTGTTCTTTTGACACCTAGCGAAATGAGTGATAAGATAACATTTTCCCTACCAGCTGTAATTTCGCCTTCGGCTGTTTTTGTTTGTGGTTTACTTTGGTTTTGGCTTGTATTGGGTTTGGACTGATGAGAGGGTGGCTTTAATTTGTGATTCTGTGTGTCTCTGTGTGTACTGCCACTCTTGCCCAGGGATGCGTCTGCTTTAAGTCAGAACGTCAGTGTCTAGTACACACTCTCACACTAGAGCTCTGTTTGCCCAGTAAACACCATCAGGGCTGCGTCTGGAGCGCTGGACCTATGCTGTTGTGACGATGGCTGATTCCACTCCGGGCGGCAGTAACTGGATCTGAATGAACGAGAGAGCGAGAAGGAGAGAGACAATCCAACGGAAGCGCTCAGTTGATTGAAAAAACCCAGAAAGGCCTCCAATCCCCTGAGGAAACAGACACCAGGCTTTGTCTCCTGCTATAAATAGGAGACTCATTCTCTTTCTCATTCTCACTCCGCAGAGGAGTGCCCAGTCTTGTTTTGATTTACCCTCTACCCCCTGCCTATCTTTAACTATAGTCGGACTCAAGGCGATTGGCATAGCTAGCGTTGTGCGGATGTTCGTTGATGCAGCTGTTTTTAGAGCCCGTGCGGCGTACAATCTTTGGCCTTGCACTCGCTTTCTCTCCTTCTCCTCCCTCCCTCTCTCCTCCCCTTCACTCCTCTCCTCCAGAGAATGACTTCACACTCTGAAGAGGGCAGCAGCAGCACTACCCAGCACCAGCAGCAGTGAGGTCTCTCGGCTGCGCTTCGCTACTTTAGCCTCAGAGCCCTCGGATCACCGTGGCTGACAACCAGCCACTACAGCTGGAGAAGAGAAGGAAAGAGAGGTTGAGAGAGGGGGTCTCTCAGAGGAAGAAGGGAGAGTGGTGGGGAGAGAGTTCTGGAGCTGTTGGGTGGCATGCAAACGGTTGCATTGGACTTGTGGGGCTAGCACTGGGTTTTTTTCAGGGACAATAACAGTAAAAGAAACAGAGAAAAAGCAGACCGAGAGAATAGACAGTTCTGAGCGTTCAGAGCCAGGCGTCCACATTGCGCTGCTTGTCAGTGAAAACACATGTTGCTCCACAGTAGAGCTGAAGCCTGCTCACCGCTCGGTGTCTACGCAGCCGATTCACCATGCAACCTCTTTGACAGAGAATGACAAGTCGACTCTGACTACCAATCTGTTTCTGAGAAGATCCACTCCGGGTTTGATTGAGACTGCCTCTGAGAGATTCAGACGGGCTCTGTTATTGATTAGGATTGTTTGTGGTGACATCCAGGGTTACTGTGTCTGGGTTCGGTGACTGGCGCTTTGAGCATTGATTCTCTGTTCTTATCACTTCAAAAGACGGTGAGTCTGTCACTTCAATTCGTCCTAAAATTCTGTCTGTATTGTTCTGGTCATCAGTGACAGTCCTCAGACCCCAGTGTGATTTGACTCCCAAGTAGCTGTGAAAAGTGTCAGGGTTAACGTGAACTGAATGGAAACCGAGAGCCGTGACTGTCCGTTGTGTCTTGGTCAGGTGTTTTGGGGCATGATTGGCCCTGGTCAGGTTTGTGTGTGGCTTTGTCGGAGATGCACAATACATTTTACAAGGTCGTGGTCAATATTTCAACCCAGTTTCTGCTAATTTTACCTTCATGGTCTCACAACCACCATCATTATCGTCATCATCATCAGGAAAAACTCTTCTGTGTCCTTAGAAACTCACATCAGCACGTTTCTGAGGACACCGCTGTATGTCATCACCTCTGCCTTGCTCAAAAACAACAACTATTCAACACAACCCTCTTCTCCCCTCCTCTCTGCTCGTCTCCTCAGGTGCACAGAAAGATCCGTGAGGACTCGGACATGGCCCAGGACTCCCTACAGTGTCTGGCTCAGCTGGCCTCCATGCACGGCCCCATCTTCCCTGATGAGAGCGCCCAGGTCTCCTACCTGGCCCACCTGGTGGAGGGGCTCCTCGGCATGATTAATGGGTGAGTCTGTCAGGACCTTAGACTAACTCTGGTTGGTTTCAATAGACCCAATCCAGGGCTAGAAACACTGCTGCTCTAAATTAGTTTGAAACTTGGGCAGTTGTTTTAAGATGACACATGTAGATTCATCTGTACTGCATGTTGATCATTGTGGGCTGTGTGTGTGATTGTAAGTGATTATTTGGACTGGAGGCTGGTAGAGTAATGAGTAATGTGATTTTGTATGTAATCGACTCGTCTGTCCTCTCAGTTAAAGTAGTTATTATGTGAATCAAGAGGACTCTGCTCTAATGTATAAATAAAACACACATACACACGTGTGCTCGGTACTCGTAACTTGCTAGGCGGAGTGAGTTAGTATCTCCTATATCTCGAGAGAGAGAGAGAGAGAGAAGAGAGAGAGAGAGAGAGAGCATGAGCGAGAGCGAGAGAGAGAGAGAGGAGTAGAGAGCGAGCGATGAGACGCTATAGAGCGGAGAGAGCGAGAGAGAGTCAGCTAGCTAGATCGAGCTCTCTCTTATGGCCTATATTATCTCGCTATCTCTATGCTCTCTTCTCTCTCTCATCTCTCTCTCTCTCTCTCTCTCTCTCTCTCTCTCTCTCTCTCTCTCTCTCTCTCTCTTCGTAATCACCTATTCCTGGAGCTTTTTTCCAGTTGCATCATCGGAAAAGCATGCGGGCAGGATGGCCAATCTGCAGTGATTGAACAGCTCTGCTTGCAATTTAAATCCATCTGATGGGGGTTAGCGAGCCGCGCAGTAGGCTAGCTACAGCAGGCAGGCCTCCAGACAGTGCTCTAACTGGGGCTGTGGAAACATGGCCCTACCCCAAGGCAACAGGTACTGCTCAGTGCTCACACACTGGGCAGCGGAGCACAGCGTCTGGTTTAGTACCATACCTGGTTCAAATACATTTGTGAAATACTTTCCAAAACTCTGATGTTCCATATTTGTCTGATTTTTTTTTTTTAATCAAATTGGCCAACATTCCTAGTTTTAAGGTTGTGTTTTGTTTGTGTCCCAGGATAGAGATTGAGGACTCTGAGGCAGTGGGCATCTCTAACATCATCTCCAACCTGATCAGCACGTTCCCCCGTGCCATCCTGACCGCCCTGCCCAGCGAGCTCTTCACTTCCTTCATCAACTGTCTCACCCTCCTCACCTGCTCCTTCGGACGCAGCGCCGCCCTGGAGGAAGTGGTCAGCATTACACCTCAAACCTTGCAGGAACAATACACTTCAAGCCTTACTGCAGGAACATAGTTGATCCATGGGAAAAATGTTTTACGTATTGTTGCATTGAAAACGCACATTCAATGAGTCTCTCCCCCCTCCCGCCCAGCTGGATAAGGATGACATGATATACATGGAGGCGTATGACAAGCTGTTAGAGTCATGGCTGACCCTGGTTCAGGACGATGAACATTTCCCCCGCGGCTGCTTCGTCCAACCCTCCGTTCAGGTCTTCAACTCCTACATCCAGTGTCACCTGGCCGCCCCCGACGGCACCCGCAACCTGGTGAGAGACACACACGCACACACACACACACACACCTGTCAACCTAGACTCAAATAATCAGTCAGTTGTTGTTATGGTTAATTGATATGTTAATGCTTTTAAACAGTCAATCCACTATGATCCATGTCCTCTCACTCCTTTGTCAAACATTCCCTCACTCACTCTTTCTGTTTTTCTTTGTTTTTCTTTCTTTCTTCCCTTTTATCCTCTCCTCTCCAGACAGCAAACGGTGTGGCATCTCATGAGGAGGATGAGATTAATGAGTTACAGGAGGACGACAGAGAGCTGTTCTCAGACCAGCTGGCCAGCATCGGCATGTTAGGACGCATCGCAGCCAACCACTGTATCCCCCTTCTGACCAGGTACATACACACAATTGCTTTTACATTTTAAGTCATTTAGCAGACGCTCTTATCCAGAGCGACTTACATACATTATTTTTTTCATATATATTTTTTTCATACTGGGCCCCCGTGGGAATTGAACCCACAACCCTGGCGTTGCAAGCGCCATGCTCTACTAACTGAGCTATCCCCTAGCTCTGTAACTGAGTTTCATGATTCTGACCTGTGTGTGTGGTTGGGCAGTCTGTTGGAGGACCGTGTGACGCGGCTCCACGGCCAGCTCCAGAGGACCCAGCAGCACCTCATGAACTCGTCTAACCCCGGATCAGTGGACCGCAAGGTCCTGGACGACCTCTACGAAGACATCCACTGGCTCATACTGGTCTCAGGTCAGTGGATAACTATAAGGGATGATTCCCAACATAAATAAGGCTAGTGCCTTATTAATGTTGGGAATCGCCCCATGTTGGATACATGACTCAATTCCATCCGTGGTCCCTTGTTGTTTATTATGTAACTATCCTTTTAGCATTCAGTCGGTTATGTTCCGTTAGAATACAATGAAACCTCTAACTGCACTCTGGGGGGCAAAGACTATGTCCTTAGATCTCCTTAGTTGTTTTTAGGGACTAAATTTAGGCTGGGAGGCAGGCTGCGCTGGTGTATTGGTGCATGGCAGGAATGTTGGTTCGGGAAGGGCCAGGCCACCAGTTGTACTACTGCTGCTGTTTAGTACATTTTAGCATTCCCAGTGGCTACATAATTCCCCTTTGATGCCTAACTTCATACACCCCTAGTTGGTTCTCTCTCTTAGTGTGCTCAGAGTTTTCTAGGGGATCCTAGCAGTGCTTTGCATAACACTGGTAAAGAATGGCATTGGTTGCAATGTATTAGTGGAAAGCTCCACTGCAGGAGTTTTTCTGTGTTTGAAAATGTTGTCTTCTAAAGGTACCTCCTTAATGGATTGTTTCTGGCTAGTGCTAGTCCTAGTTGTCAGAGTGTAGTTGTGTGTGTGTGTTCCAGGCTACCTCCTGGCAGATGACCCTCAGGGTGAGACTCCTCTTATCCCAGCGGAGGTGATGGAGTATTCTATCAACCACTCTACTGAGGTGGACATCAACACCACCCTGCAGATACTGGGATCCCCCGGGGAGAAGGCCTCCTCTATCCCAGGGTGCAACAGGACAGACTCTGTCATCAGGTAAGGGAGGGACTATGATTGGTCAAAAGGCTGTGTACAGTACAGGCTGAATGTCTGCTGATTTGCTATTTTGTCTGGCACTTAATTGCAAACACCTGGATTCCCACATCTAAATTAGATATGGTTTCAAAGAAAGAACTAAAAGTAACAGATACTCAGGCTTCTGTCAGTGGACCAGAGTTTCCTGACAGGCTCCTGTCAGTGGACCAGAGTTTCCTGACAGGCTTCTGTCAGTGGACCAGAGTTTCCTGACAGGCTTCTGTCAGTGGACCAGAGTTTCCTGACAGGCTTCTGTCAGTGGACCAGAGTTTCCTGACAGGCTTCTGTCAGTGGACCAGAGTTTCCTGACAGGCTTCTGTCAGTGGACCAGAGTTTCCTGACAGGCTTCTGTCAGTGGACCAGAGTTTCCTGACAGGCTTCTGTCAGTGGACCAGAGTTTCCTGACAGGCTTCTGTCAGTGGACCAGAGTTGCCTGACAGGCTTCTGTCAGTGGACCAGAGTTGCCTGACAGGCTTCTGTCAGTGGACCAGAGTTGCCCGTCGCTGCTATATCTGAAATTAGTGCTGAGTGATTAGTGCTTTTTGAGGTCGGTTCGATTATAAAAATAATATATTCTTTTTTTTTAACATTAAATGCACTCACTATGCATTATGTGGGTTGAATGCTGTAACAACGCAATAATAAAACAATTAATAAAAGTCCCATGATGGTAGTCTGATTATCACTTATTAAACATATTGTTTTCACATTACTTTACTTTAATGAAATATTTCAGATGTTGTGTATTACATTAGTTTTATTTGATTACTTTATTATTTCATTCCAAGTCATCTCATCTCTATAGAGCTGCTGCCTATGCTGTCTGACAAATTCACTATTGTAGTAGTTCTTCAACGTAAATAAGGCATATTTTTATGACTGCTGAATTCCAACTACCAATCACTTAGATCATGTATTTTTAGGTAGAGCTACCTCACGAAGCAACTGCTCTCTATCCCTCTCGATCACACCATTCTTCTGTCTCTTACGTAGCAGGTGTAAAAGAAACACAGACCGGACAAGTAGGCGCACAATGGATTATGGTCATTGTTGTTAATTACCACATTTTCTGCTCTAAACTATGTAGAATATTGGCATGTTGGAAACTACAACTCCCTACTACATCACACAGTTCGGGCTTGATCTGATGTATCTCCTGAGAAACTGCGCAATGTGCGCATTGAGCCCACAGAAGAAGAAAAATTCAAATAATTGAACCAACATCGGTCAATTAGTTGTTTCAAAACCAAAAAATATCAGAAATGTCGGTTAATCGCTCAGCACTATCTGAAATGCACTGTCTCAGTCACTGATCTAATGGACAGTGTCGCCTCTGTCAGTCACTGATCTAATGGACAGGTTGGACAGTCTCTCCTCACTGTCTACAGCAGCTGTGCTTTAAGCTGTGGACTTGTTCACTAAGCCCTGGTTGTAGAGCTCTGTCACGTTCACACCAGTGCTCTGTCTGTCTGGAGTGTGTCTCATAAAACCCTCTGCCCCGTGGCATGGCATGGCGGCAGCCTTCCCCTTAGATTATTTTCCAGGCAGGGCACAACGGCCCACATAGCACTACACAGGCCATCTGGCATGGAAACTGTCCAAAGAAACCAACAGAAGCCTAACTTTTTTAGGGGGCAACAGATCTAGGTAGGGTGTCCTCGCCCCTACAGTATGGTAGGGAAACATTAGGTACAGTGCGGGGCCAATGTTCAACCCTTGTGTGTGTTTGATCACCCTGGTGCCCGAGGATGCGGGTGTGGCTCCCTGGGGGTGTGGTGCCAGCGCCGCAGAGGGGGAATGTCCTGGCACAGACCCAGCCATGCCAGCTGCTAACATACACAGGCCGTCGAAGACACACACACACACAGGCCCTTGTATACACTCACATGATGGCGTAGCGGCCTAGCCAGCCTTAGAGCAGCCCCCGGCGCCAGCCCTCCCAGCCCCGGACCAGACCACCACTCCCCAACATGTTATTCAATTAGGGCAGGGGCAGGTGCTGCTAAGACCAGGAGCGGGCTGGGGTCGTGTGTGTGCGTGTCTGCACACGTGTGTGTGGGGTCGGGGGGGGTACATGCAATCATATAGGGAATTTTGGAGGTGGGGGGTCGTGGAAAGGGGCTCTGGATTGTTCTCTGTGGGGACGAGGAGGCACAGGGTCAGAGGATTGGAAAGACAAGAGGCCGGCATCAGGTTTCCTAATAACACTGTGCGACCCCGGCTCTGTTAATGTCAATGGGCTTTTGTTTTTGCAAACAATGTGAAACAGTGCACTGTGGTGCTGCGTGGGCATGTACTGAGGGCCATCTCTCACATACAGAACACTAAGATGCACTAAGCCCTATATCTCTCTGGCCTTTAGCAGAGATGTGTGTGCGTGTGTCAACGTGGTCATTTGTTGTCTGAGTAACTGATATAAACAGACACTGAATCCCCGCCTCTTTCTTTTGTTCTTCCCCTCCTCTTGCTCATCCTGGCCTTGGCTTCTTATTACAATATATTCCCCTCTCACTTCCCTCGTTATCACGCTCTCTTCTCTTCCTCTCTTTATCTCTCTATCTCTATCCGTCTCTCTCTGTCCATCTCCCTCTTTTTCCATTTCTTTCTCTCTTTTACCTTTCACTTCTTTATCCCTCCTTCCCTCCCATCCTCTCTCTGTCAGGTTGTTGTCAGCGGTGTTGAGGACGTCAGAGGTTGAGTCGAGGGCTACCAGGGCCAGTCTGACAGAACTGCTCAGCCCTCAGATGGGGAAGGACATTGTGTGGTTCCTCAGACGCTGGGCCAAGACTTACCTACTGGTGGACGAGAAACTCTACGAACAGGTACAACTAACACCAGACACCTCAAACAAAATATAATTATTGTAATTGATGGACTGTGTCCATAAAATGTATATAGTATATACAGTGAGGGGGAAAAAGTATTTGATCCCCTGCTGATTTTGTACGTTTGCCCACTGACAAAGAAATGATCAGTCTATAATTTTAATGGTAGGTTTATTTGAACAGTGAGAGACAGAGTAAAAACAAAAAAATCCAGAAAAACGCATGTTAAAAATGTTATACATTGATTTGCATTTTAATGAGGGAAATACGTATTTGACCCCCTCTCAATCAGAAAGATTTCTGGCTCCCAGGTGTCTTTTATACAGGTAACAAGCTGAGATTAGGAGCACTCCCTTTAAGAGTGTGCTCCTATTCTCAGTTTGTTACCTGTATAAAAGACACCTGTCCACAGAAGCAATCAATCAATCAGATTCCAAACTCTCCACCATGGCCAAGACCAAAGAGCTCTCCAAGGATGTCAGGGACAAGATTGTAGACCTACACAAAGCTGGAATGGGCTACAAGACCATCGCCAAGCAGCTTGGTGAGAAGGTGACAACAGTTGGTGCGATTATTTGCAAATGGAAGAAACACAAAAGAACTGTCAATCTCCCTCGGCCTGGGGCTCCATGCAAGATCTCACCTCGTGGAGTTGCAATGATCATGAGAACGGTGAGGAATCAGCCCAGAACTACACAAGAGGATCTTGTCAATGATCTCAAGGCAGCTGGGACCATAGTCACCAAGAAAACAATTGGTAACACACTACGCCGTGAAGGACTGAAATCCTGCAGCGCCCGCAAGGTCCCCATGCTCAAGAGAGCACATATACAGGCCCGTCTGAAGTTTGCCGATGAACATCTGAATGATTCAGAGGAGAACTGGGTGAAAGTGTTGTGGTCAGATGAGACCAAAATCGAGCTCTTTGGCATCAACTCAACTCGTCGTGTTTGGAGGAGGAGGAATGCTGGAATGCTGCCTATGACCCCAAGAACACCATCCCCACCATCAAACATGGAGGTGGAAACATGATGCTTTGGGGGTGTTTTTCTGCTAAGGGGACAGGACAACTTCACTGCATCAAAGGGACGATGGACGGGGCCCATGTACCATCAAATCTTGGGTGAGAACCTCCTTCCCTCAGCCAGGGCATTGAAAATGGGTCATGGATGGGTATTCCAGCATGACAATGACCCAAAACACATGGCCAAGGCAACAAAGGAGTGGCTCAAGAGGAAGCACATTAAGGTCCTGGAGTGGCCTAGCCAGTCTCCAGACCTTAATTCCATAGAAAATCTGTGGAGGGAGCTGAAGGTTCGAGTTGCCAAACGTCAGCCTCGAAACCTTAATGACTTGGAGAAGATCTGCAAAGAGGAGTGGGACAAAATCCCTCCTGAGATGTGTGCAAACCTGGTGGCCAACTACAAGAATCGTCTGACCTCTGTGATTGCCAACAAGGGTTTTGCCACCAAGTACTAAGTAATGTTTTTCAGAGGGGTCAAATACTTATTTCCCTAATTAAAATGCTAATCAATTTATAACATTTTTTACATGCGTTTTTCTGGATTTTTTTGTTGTTATTCTGTCTCTTACAGTTCAAATAAACCTACCATTAAAATTATAGACTGATAATAATAATATAATAATATGCCATTTAGCAGACGCTTTTATCCAAAGCGACATACAGTCATGTGTGCATACATTTTTACGTATGGGTGGTCCCGGGGATCGAACCCACTACCCTGGCGTTACAAGCGCCATGCTCTACCAATTGAGCTACAGAGGACCAATGTCATTGTCAGTGGGCAAACGTACAAAATCAGCAGGGGATCAAATACTTTTTTCCCTCACTGTATAAGCTAGAAGTAGAGGCCTAAGCGTTGTTGTTCACTAGTTTACTCCTATTAGGGGAGGGGTGGTGGGGTTGGAATGTAATAAAGGGAAATATAAGTGCGAGAGAAATATATATATATATATTTGCGAGGAATATATATATATATATTTGCGAGGAAAAATATATATATATATGGGGGATTGGAAGTGATGCAGACAATTACATTGATGGAAGTTAAAATCTATCTGCAATATTAAATCTGATCGACCCCCTAAAAAAACACACAAAAAACACAGATTACTTCATAAATAGTCTTTGTGACAGTCACTGAACCCTAATGGACAATTGAGGTGGTGAAAATGCTAGGGATTATCTTCCATCACTATCACGTTTACACTACCAGTGCTCTGTCGCTTGACACCAGTGTGTCTTGTAGAAGCTGGTTCCCTGTGGATCATGGCATTGTGAGGAAGAGTGCAGTATACCACTGGACTGGACAATGGCTATTTATGACATCTGATCTGTTAAAGTGTTGCAGTGATTTTAATCTATCCCGCCACCATTTCACACCTCTCTTTCTCGCTCTTTTCATTCCTCCTTTAGATCAGTATCCCCCTGAGCATGGCATTCGGGGTGGACACGGAGGGGGCCCAGTGGATTGTGGGATACCTGCTGGAGAAGGTGATCAACAACCTGTCGGTGTGGAGCTCTGAACCTGAACTGGCCAATGACACGGTGGAGCTACTGGTCTGTCTGGTGGAGAAGAGGGAGAGGTGAGACACTGACTGGCTGGCTGACTGGCTGACTGACTGACTGGCTGGCTGACTGGCTGACTGACTGACTGGCTGACTGACTGACTGACTGGCTGACTGGCTGGCTGACTGACTGGCTGACTGACTGGCTGACTGATCAGGAAGAGCTACTGGTCTGTCTGGTGGAGAAGAGGGAGAGGTGAGACACTGGCTGGCTGACTGGCTGGCTGACTGGCTGGCTGGCTGACTGACTGGCTGACTGGCTGACTGGCTGACTGATCAGGAAGAGCTACTGGTCTGTCTGGTGGAGAAGAGGGAGAGGTGAGACACTGACTGGCTGACTGGCTGACTGGCTGACTGGCTGACTGGCTGGCTGGCTGACTGACTGACTGACTGGCTGACTGACTGGCTGACTGGCTGACTGACTGGCTGACTGGCTGACTGATCAGGAAGAGCTACTGGTCTGTCTGGTGGAGAAGAGGGAGAGGTGAGACACTGACTGGCTGACTGGCTGACTGGCTGACTGGCTGACTGGCTGACTGACTGACTGACTGACTGGCTGGCTGACTGACTGGCTGACTGACTGGCTGACTGACTGGCTGACTGGCTGACTGACTGGCTGACTGGCTGACTGATCAGGAAGAGCTACTGGTCTGTCTGGTGGAGAAGAGGGAGAGGTGAGACACTGACTGGCTGACTGGCTGACTGGCTGACTGGCTGACTGACTGGCTGGCTGGCTGACTGACTGGCTGACTGACTGGCTGACTGACTGGCTGACTGACTGGCTGACTGGCTGACTGATCAGGAAGAGCTACTGGTCTGTCTGGTGGAGAAGAGGGAGAGGTGAGACACTGACTGGCTGACTGGCTGACTGGCTGACTGGCTGACTGACTGGCTGGCTGGCTGACTGACTGGCTGACTGACTGGCTGACTGACTGGCTGACTGGCTGACTGACTGACTGACTGATCAGGAAGAGCTACTGGTCTGTCTGGTGGAGAAGAGGGAGAGGTGAGACACTGACTGACTGACTGACTAAATTCTGTATCTTGACTTGAAATATGAACACACAAAAATCTTGTTAGGATATGAGCCTAAGCTTTGGCACTTGAAACAACGGCCGCTTGTGGTGGAATGATAGAGTAGTTAAGAAGAAAATAAAAATGATCTTGCCAATGATTATCACATGCCAACAAACCTTTCTCCACCCCTCCTCTCTCAGGGCCAACATTGTGGTACAGTGTGAGAACTGGTGGAACTTGGCGAAGCAGTTTGCCAGCCGCAGCCCTCCCCTGGACCTGCTGTCCAGCTCAGTACAGAGGTCCCTCATGAAGGCCCTGGTTCTGGGGGGCTTCGCACACATGGACTCAGACACCAAACAGCAGTACTGGACCGAGGTGGGGAACCCTATAGAAGCCCAGAGACCACACACACATGGAACCCCCCACTCTGAATCCCTAAATGGAACTAACTCACACACACACCCCTCAAAGGACCCAGGGAAATAGAGCCATAACTGAAAGCTCTCAAGTGTAATTTCCCTTCAGATTTCCTCTATATAGTCCCTCTTTCCCCATAGACTTCAGCTGGTAACAAATTGTGAGATCTCAAGTGTCTTTTCCCTGTAACTTCCCTTCCCTACTGTGGTGATTCTGTTGAACCACTCTCCACATAGACTTCAGTAGTAACAAACGGTGAAGCCAAATTATTTAACCAAAACCATTAGATCTCCCTAGAGTCTATGGCGTGATAATGATCCTCATAATGATCTTGAAGGCCTTTGTATAGTAATGCAAGATGACTCCAAAGCCATTAGGAGAGATCTAAGAATGAGATGGCAGCTGTCTTGACTTCCAGCTGCTCTGACTGTAGAGTGTTTACAGTACAGTAGCCCATTAGAAAGAGGTGGGAATGAAAATAGCCCGATCTTTCTCTCTTCATCCTCTCTCTCCTTCTCCTTCTTTGGGGTTTGGGGCCACGTTACTGTAAAGCACTTTGTGACAAATATTGTTGATTGATTAGATGTGATTGATTGATCACCTCGCTCTCCCTCTTCCTCACCCTCCAGGTGCTGCACCCCCTCCAGCAGCGCTTCCTCAACCTGATCAACCAGGAGAACTTTCCCCAGATCTGTCAGGAGGAGAGTGTGAAGCGGGAGATCGTCGCCACTCTGGAGGCGCTGTGTGGCATCGCCGAGGCAACGCAGATCGACAACGTGGCTGCTCTCTTCAGCTTCCTCATGGACTTCCTGTCCAGCTGCATCGGCCTGATGGAGGTGTACCGCAACACGCCCGAGACCGTCAACCTCATCATCGAGGTGTTCGTGGAGGTCGCCCACAAACAGATCTGCTACCTGGGAGAGGTGACGATCGTTCTAATAATAACCACACGCTTTATTAGAAATCCCTATACTTGTATTCTGTCTAAAGCAATTTAATGGGATAGGTTTGAAGTTTTATTAGTCGTATGTACAGGATACGCATGGTATACACCGTCCAACGAAATGCTTACTTACAGGTTCCTTCTTGACAATGCAACAACAATAAGAAATAATAAAATATATTATTAGCAATTGTAAATAAGAATCTGGTAGCTGTGTGTGTGTGTGTGTATGTGGGAGCTTTCACTGGGAAGACTAGAGTCAACAGCTACCTCTTCTCACTCTCTGCCCCCCCAGTCGAAGTCTATGAAGCTGTACGAGGCATGCCTGACTCTGCTGCAGGTCTACTCTAAGAACAACCTGGGCAGGAAGAGGGCTGATGTGGCTGCTGAGGAGGACCAGTACCAGGACCTACTGCTCATCATGGAGCTGCTTACCAACCTGCTCTCTAAGGAATTTATTGACTTCTCAGACACAGGTGTGGACGGTGTGTGTGTGTGTGTGTGTGTCTACATCTCCAACATCCCCAATGACGTCAGTCAGCGTTTTATGTATGATATTTTAGGTTCCTAGTTGGTTGTCAATACTTACAAAGTCCTCTCTTGTGTTTGTGCGTTGATGGTGGAATAGATGAGGTGTTCCGGGAGCAGGGTTCGGGAGCGGCAGGTCGGTCTGTGTCGGCTGCAGACGTAGTTCTGTTTGGGGTCAACATCATTCTGCCGCTCATGTCTCAGGACCTGCTCAAGGTAAGACCCAGGGCCAATACATTTACAATGCTCCCTTCCTTCCTTGAAGTATTTTTGAAGTAGTGATCTACATAGTCACTGTACTACAAAATGTTGTTTAACTGGTTTGTCTCTGTGTGTTTCCAGTTTCCGTCTCTGTGTAATCAGTACTACAAGCTCATCACATTCATCTGTGAGATCTTCCCTGAGAAGATCCCCCAGCTACCAGAGGAGCTGTTCAAGAGTCTCATGTACTCCCTAGAGCTGGGCATGACTTCCATGAGTTCAGAGGTCAGCCAGCTGTGTCTGGAGGCTCTGTCCCCCCTGGCCGAGCAGTGTGCCAAGACCCAGGAGAAAGACACGCCCCTCTTCATCGCCACACGCCACTTCCTCAAGGTGAGGCAGCCCCCTCCTGGGATTTCCTCCTAACTACAGGGTCTGCTTCATTTCATTATGCTCAAAAATAGGAAATGTTTTGTAATGGAAAATCTCTTTCTCTCACCCTCTCTAGTTGGTGTTTGACATGCTAGTACTGCAGAAACACAACACAGAGATCACAGTGGCAGCGGGAGAAGCTCTCTATACGCTAGTGTGCCTGCATCAAGTGAGTATCCTTTGCTTTTATACTTTACATTACATTTACGTCATTTAGCAGACGCTCTTATCCAGAGCGACTTACAAATTGGTGCATTCACCTTATAGCCAGTGGGGTAACCACTTTACAATATATATATATATTTTTTTTTTTGGGTGGGGTAAGTGGGGGGGGGGGGGGGGTTATCCTATCCCAGGTATTCCTTAAAGAGGTGGGGTTTCAAGTGTCTCCGGAAGGTGGTGAGGGAGCTTGTTCCACCATTGGGGTGCCAGAGCAGCGAACAGTTTTGACTGGGCTGAGCGGAAACTGTGCTTCCGCAGAGGTGGGGGGCCAGCAGGCCAGAGGTGGATGAACGCAATGCCCTCGTTTGGGTGTAGGGACTGATCAGAGCCTGAAGGTACGGAGGTGCCGTTCCCCTCACAGCTCCGTAGGCAAGCACCATGGTCTTATAGCAGATGCGAGCTTCAACTGGAAGCCAGTGGAGTGTGCGGAGGAGCCGGGTGACGTGAGAGAACTTGGGAAGGTTGAACACCAGACGGGCTGCGGCATTCTGGATGAGTTGTAAGGGTTTAATGGCACAGGCAGGGAGCCCAGCCAACAGCGAGTTGCAGTAATCCAGACGGGAGATGACAAGTGCCTGGATTAGGACCTGTGCCGCTTCCTGTGTAAGGCAGGGTCGTACTCTCCGAATGTTGTAGAGCATGAACCTACAGGATCGGGTCACCGCCTTGATGTTAGCGGAGAACGACAGGGTGTTGTCCAGGGTCACGCCAAGGCTCTTTGCACTCTGGGAGGAGGACACAACGGAGTTGTCAACCGTGATGGCAAGATCATGGAACGGGCAGTCCTTCCCCGGGAGGAAGAGCAGCTCTGTCTTGCCGAGGTTCAGCTTGAGGTGGTGATCCGTCATCCACACTGATATGTCTGCCAGACATGCAGAGATGCGATTCGCCACCTGGTTATCAGAAGGGGGAAAGGAGAAGATTAGTTGTGTGTCGTCTGCGTAGCAATGATAGGAGAGGCCATGTGAGGATATGACAGAGCCAAGTGACTTGGTGTATAGCGAGAATAGGAGAGGGCCTAGAACTGAGCCCTGGGGGACACCAGTGGTGAGAGCACGTGGTGCGGAGACAGATTCTCGCCACGCCACTTGGTAGGAGCGACCTGTCAGGTGGACGCAATCCAAGAGTGAGCCGCGCCGGAGATGCCCAACTCGGAGAGGGTGGAGAGGAGGATCTGATGGTTCACAGTATCAAAGGCAGCAGACAGGTCTAGAAGGACAAGAGCAGAGGAGAGAGAGTTAGCTTTAGCAGTGCGGAGAGCCTCCGTGACACAGAGAAGAGCAGTCTCAATTGAATGACCAGTCTTGAAACCTGACTGGTTTGGATCAAGAAGGTCATTCTGAGAGAGAGCAAGAGAGTTGGCTAAAGACGGCATGCTCGAGTTTTGGAGAGAAAAGAAAGAAGGGATACTGGTCTGTAGTTGTTGACATCGGAGGGATCGAGTGTAGGTTTTTTGAGAAGGGGTGCAACTCTCGCTCTCTTGAAGACGAAAGGGACATAGCCAGTGGTCAAGGATGAGTTGATGAGCGAGGTGAGGTAAGGGAGAAGGTCTCCGGAAATGGTCTGGAGAAGAGTGGAGGGGATAGGGTCAAGCGGGCAGGTTGTTGGGCTGCCGGCCGTCACAAGTCGCAAGATTTCATCTGGAGAGAGAGGGGAGAAAGAAGTCAAAGCATAGGGTAGGGCAGTGTGAGCAGGACCATACTTCCCACACACTAGAATGGCGCCGGGGAAGATGGCTGCCGTTTTACAGCCCTCTAACCAATTGTACCATTATGTGTGTTTTTTCGCGTTATTTGTAATTTATTCTGTACATAATGTTTCTGCCACCGTCTCTTATGACCAAAAAGAGCTTCTTGATATCAGGACAGCGATTACCCACCTCGTATTGGACGAAGATTTTTTCAACGAGTCGGACGCAAAGGATATCCTACAGACACCCGACAAGGCCCAAATCCCCGTCATTCGCATGAGAAAGAGACAGAGATATCGTGGACGTAGGTCGGGGTGCCTTGTAAGCATCCGACGGCAAGCGAGTAAACTGCCTCTTCCATCAATCCTATTAGCCAATGTTCAATCATTTGAAAATAAATTGGACGACCTAAGATTAAGGTTATCCTACCAACGGGACATTAAAACTGTAATATCTTATGTTTCACTGAGTCGTGGCTGAACGACGACATGGATAACATAGAGCTGGCGGGATATACGCTACATCGGCAGGATAGAACGGCTGACTCCGGTAAGACAAGGGGTGGCGGTCTGTGTATATTTGTAAACAACAGCTGGTGCATAAAATCGAATACTAAGGAAGTCTCGAGGTTTTGCTCGCCTGAGGTAGAGTATCTCATGATAAGCTGTAGACCACACTATTTACCAAGATAGTTTTCATCTATATTTAGAGGCCGGGGACTTTAATGCAGGGAAATGTTAAATCCGTTCTACCTCATTTCTACCAGCATGTTAAATGTGCAAACAGAGGGGAAAAAACTCTAGACCACCTTTACTCCACACACAGAGACACGTACAAAGCGCTCCCTCGCCCTCCATTTGGCAAATCTGACCATAACGCTATCCTCCTGATTCCTGCTTATAAGCAAAAACTAAAGCAGGAAGCACCAGTGACTCGGTTAATAAGGAAGTGGTCAGATGACGCAGATGCTAAGCTACAGGACTGTTTTACTAGCACAGACTGGAATATGTTCTGGGATTCTTCCAATAGCATTGAGGAGTACACCACATCAGTCACTGGCTTCATCAATAAGTGCATCGATAACGTCGTCCCCACAGTGACCGAATCTACAGTTGAAGTCGGAAGTTTACATACACTTAGGTTGGAGTCATTAAAACTCATTTTGCAACCATTCCACTAATTTCTTGTTAACAAACTATAGTTTTGGCAAGTCGGTTAAGACATCTACTTTGTGCATGACAAGTCATTTTTCCAACAATTGTTTACAGACAGATTATTTCACTTATAATTCACTGTATCACAATTCCAGTGGGTCAGACGTTTACATACACTATGTTGACTGTGCCTTTAAAAAGCTTGGAAAATTCCAGAAAATGATGTCATGGCTTTAGAAGCTTCCGATAGGCTAATTGACATCATTTGAGGCAATTGGAGGTGTACCTGTGGATGTATTTCAAGGCCTACCTTCAAACTCAGTGCCTCTTTGCTTGACATCATGGATAAATTTAAAAGAAATCAGCCAAGACCTCAGAAAAAAACTGTAGACCTCCACAAGTCTGGTTCATCCTTGGGAGCAATTTCCAAATGCCTGAAGGTACCAAGTTAATCTGTACAAACAATAATACGCAAGGATAAACACCATGGGACCACGCAGCCGTCATACCACTCAGGAAGGAGACGTGTTCTGTCTCCTAGAGTTGAATGTACTTTGGTGCGTGTAATGATGTCATGTCATAGTATTGTGAGGACAGAGGAAGAGTTAAGAGATGAGTGGTTTGGGGCCATGAAGTCTACATTCCATTATGTCAAGGTAGATTAGTGATGTTTAGGATAGTGACTTGGGGTAAAGAGTGATGAACATCAAAGACAGGGAGTGCCCATGGAGACTTGCCAGATGTATGCCAGGAAGTTGGTAATAAAGGGTATATAAGGTAGAGTGTCTTTGTTCAAGTTAGTTCAACTGACGAAGGGCAAAGCTATGTCCGTTGGTTAGATGAACCCATGAGCTCGTGATTCAATAAATACTTGGTATGAAACCTCCACAGAATGTCTAAGTATATCCTTGCATCCTTGATTCTTTGATACCTGAGAAACTCATCATAACGGTGCGAAAAGTGCAAATCAATCCCAGAACAACAGCAAAGGACCTTGTGAAGATGCTGGAGGAAACAGGTGTACAAAAGTATCTATATCCACAGTAAAACGAGTCCTATATCGACATAACCTGAAAGGCCGCTCAGCAAGGAAGAAGCCACTGCTCCAAAACCGCCATTAAAAAGCCAGACTACGGTTTGCAACTGCACATGGGGACAAAGATCGTACTTTTTGGAGAAATTTCCTCTAGTCTGATGAAACAAAAATAGAACTGTTTGGCCATAATGACCATCGTTATGTTTGGAGGAAAAAGGGGTGCTTGCAAGACGAAGAACACCATCACAACCGTGAAGCACGGGGGTGGCAGCATCATGCTGTGGGGGTGCTTTGCTGCAGGAGGGACTGGTGCACTTCACAAAATAGATGGCATCATGAGGAAGGAAAATGATGTGGATATATTGAAGTAACATCTCAAGACATCAGTCAGGAAGTTGAAGCTTGGTCGCAAATGGTTCTTCCAAATGGACAATGACCCCAAGCATACTTCCAAATTTGTGACAAAATGGCTTAAGGATAACAAAGTCAAGGTATTGGAGTGGCCATCACAAAGCCCTGACCTCAATCCTATAGAACATTTGTGGGCAGAACTGAAAAAGTGTGTGCGAGCAAGGAGGCCTACAAACCTGACACAGTTACACCAGCTCTGTCAGGAGGAATGGGACAAAATTCACCCAACTTTTTGTGGGAAGCTTGTGGAAGGCTACCCGAAACGTTTGACCCAAGTTAAACAATTTCAAGGCAATGCTACCAAATACTAATTGAGTGTATGTAAACTTCTGACCCACTGGGAATGTGATGAAGAAATAAAAGCTTAAATAAATCATTCTCTCTACTATTATTGTGAAATGTCACATTCTTAAAATAAAGTGGTTATCCTAACTGACCTAAGACAGGGAATTTTTACTAGGATTAAATGTCAGGAATAGTGAAAAAACTGAGTTCAAATGTATTTGGTTTAGTTCCGACTTCAACTGTACATACCCCAAACAGAAGCCATGGATTACAGGCAACATCCACACTGAGCTTAAGGGTAGAGCTGCCGCTTTCAAGGAGCGGGACTCTAACCCGGACGCTTAAAAGAAATCCCGCTATGCCCTCCAACGAACCATCAAACAGGCAAAGAGTCAATACAAGACTAAGATTGAATCGTACTTCACCGGCTCCGACACTCGTCGGATGTGGCAGGACTTGAAAACTATTACAGACTACAAAGGGAAGCACAGCCGCAAGCTGCCCAGTGACACAAGCCTACCAGACGAGCTAAATCACTTCTATGCTCGCTTCGAGGCAAGCAACACTGACGCATGCATGAGAGCATCAGCTGTTCCGGATGACTATGTGATCACGCTCTCCGTAGCCGATGTGAGTAAGACTTTTAAGCAGGTCAACATTCACAAGGCCGCAGGGCCAGACGGATTACCAGGACGTGTACTCCGAGCATGCGCTGACCAACTGGCAAGTGTCTTCACTGACATTTTCAACATGTCCCTGACTGAGTCTGTAATACCAACATGTTTCAAGCAGACCACCAATAGTCCCTGTGTCCACGAACACTAAGATAACCTGCCTAAATGACTACCTACCCGTAGCGCTCACGTCTGTAGCCATGAAGTGCTTTGAAAGGCTGGTCATGGCTCACATCAACACCATTATCCCAGAAACCCTAGACCCACTCCAATTTGCATACCGCCCCAACAGATCCACAGATGATGCAATCACTATTGCACTCCACCCTGCCCTTTCCCACCTGGACAAGAGGAACACCTGAGTGAGAATGCTATTCATTGACTACAGCTCAGCGTTCAACACCATAGTGCCCTCAAAGCTCATCACTAAGCTAAGGACCCTGGGACTAAACACCTCCCTCTGCAACTGGATCCTGGACTTCCTGACAGGCCTCCCCCAGGTGGTAAGGGTAGGTAACAACACATCTGCCATGCTCATCCTCAACACGGGGCCCCTCAGGGGTGTGTGCTCAGTCCCCTCCTGTACTCCCTGTTCCCCCATGACTGCATGGCCAGGCACCTCTCCAACACCATCATTAAGTTTGCAGATGACACAACAGTGGTACTCCTGATCACCGACAATGATGAGACAGCCTATAGGGAGGAGGTCCGAGACCTGGCCATGTGGTGCCAGGATAACAACATCTCCCTCAACGTGATCAAGACAAAGGAGATGATTGTGGACTACAGTGGGAAAAAAAGAAGACTGAGCACACCCCCATTCTCATCGACGGGGCTGTAGTGGAACAGGTTGAGAGCTTCAAGTTCCTTGGTGTCCACATCACCAACAAACTATCATGGTCCAAACACACCAAGACAGTCGTGAAGAGGGCACGACAAAGCCTATTCCCCATCAGGAGACTGAAAAGATTTGGCATGGGTCCTCAGATCCTCAAAAAGTTATACAGCTGCACCATCGAGAGCATCCTGACTGGTTGCATCACTGCCTGGTATGGCAACTGCTCGGCCTCCGACCGCAAGGCACTACAGAGGGTAGTGCGTACGGCCCAGTACATCACTTGGGCCAAGCTTCCTGCCATCCAGGACCTCTATACCTGGCAGTGTCAGAGGAAGGCCCTAAAAATTGTCAGACTCCAGCCACCCTAGTCATAGACTGTTCTCTCTGCTACCGCACGCCAAGCAGTATCGGAGCGCCAAGTGTAGGTCCAACTGGCTTCTTAACAGCTTCTACCCCCAAGCCATAAGACTCCTGAACAGCTAATCAAATGGCTACCCGGACCCTCTTTTACGCTGCTGCTACTCTGTTTATTATGTATGCATAGTCACTTTAACTCTACCCACATGTACATATTACCTCCGTTACCTCGACTAACCGGTGCTTCCACACATTGACTCTGTACCGGTACCCCCTGTATATAGCCTCCCTACTGTTATTTTATTTTACTGCTGCTCTTTAATTATTTGCTATTTTTATTTTTTACATATCTATTTTTTACTTAACTTTTGTTTTTTTCTTAAAACTGCATTGTTGGTTAAGGGCTTGTAATTAAGCATTTCACTGTAAGGTCTACAACTTTTGTATTCGGCGCATGTGGCAAATAGAATTTGATTTGATTTATCTTAGTCTTTTGATTGGCTATGGTGATGTATGTGGATGTTGTACCTCCTGTCGGCCTCATATGATGACGTAATTCCCTATCCTCTCTCCTTCCCTCTCGCCAGGCGGAGTACAAGGAGCTGGTGGAGTCTCTGCTCGCCACCCAGCGAGATGCCGTCATCTACCAGCGACTGGCCGACGCCTTTAACAAGCTGACAGCCAGCAGCACGCCGCCCAGCATGGACCGCAAGCAGAAGGTGGACTTCCTCAAGAGCCTAGAGGAGTTTGTGTCCAACGTAGGTGGGCTGCTCTGTGTCAAATAACCACCAAACTCCCCTCCTCCCTAGCACCTATTTCTATGTCCAACCCGCTCACAGACGATCTACCTTGACCACATCTGACCACGCCAAACCATGAAACAGACACAGACAGACCAAGCTGAGGAGCTGCACTGTTAGACTGTGACATAAAGGGGGGAGGTTGAGACACTGAAGGGAGCAGTGGTGTGGACTGGACTATGGTGTCGTTTGGGCAGGTTTCCACGCCTGCTCCTCCCCCTATCCCCTCCTTTTTCATCAGAGGCCCCCAGCGCTCGTATACAGTGAGGGGAGGGGGGATCAGAGAGGGATGGACTCATCCACTCATCCAATCATTTTTTAAGTTTGCCAGTGGGAGGGTTGGTATGAACACAACAGGAGGAGGTGCCAATCTGTTCTGAGAACGCTATGCCTCTCCCTGCCTCTACACCCTAACCCCCTCCCCCTCCCAGAGTGCCTTTGTTTTCTTGTTTGTGTCGTGTGTCTGTGTGGCCAAGCTGAGACGTGTCTTACATACAGCAACGACTGTGCCTGTCACATACCAAGAACACGGTGGAAGCACGCACACACAAATCTCCATGACAACGAGAGGCTTGATCCCGCCACCGGGTTGCTGAACCTGTTAAACGGGAGGTCCGATGACAAAAAAACGAATCACTTCATGTTCATCAAGGGTGTATATATGTTTTCAAAAAAAGTGGAAAAATGTATGTTTAAAACAATGACTGAAAAGTTTTTATAAGATGATAGATGGAAGAGAAGCTGCATTTTTATGGTTATGAGTTCACTTTAACAAAAAAGAGGGTGAATTTGAAAACGTTTTATTCAATTTCTTTATCATTCTAGATTGTAGTTCTATTCTCTGCCACCCTTTGGCTCCCTAGAACCATTTCAGTCCTGACTGCCCACAGCCAAGACACAGACAATTGGAGGCCTTAGGCCCTTAGGAAGGTTGGGCCCCTGAAGTTTAGCATACTCTCTCTAGTTGTATTTTTCTATGCCACAGCCACTCTTTCCACTTCAAAACACACTGGATGGAAGTTCAAGTCCCTATAACTGAAGAAAGCAATAATGAACCAAAAATTGAACAAAACCACTTGTTTTAACCATGCATTTGAGACGGACTCACTCCCTTCCTCTGTTTAGACCACAACCCTGGTTATTTTGGAATGCCTGAATGAATTGTATTGAAATGTAAAAGTGTACATAAACGTATTATGTAAAATATTTAGTTTTTCCTCTTCTGTTTACATTGTTTTCATTTTTGTCCATCTCAATTTCCTGTTATACAGAATATGGAAAAAGTTCCATATTCCGTTTTGATCGTGGTTCTTGAAAACATAAAATCCAAAGTGCTTTCAATATCTCTGAAATAAAAATGGATGATTATATGTAGAGATTGTTAATGTATTTAATTATACAAATTAATTTGACTGATGTGTCATTCATGCACGGTAGAGATGGGAAGACTGATTCGACTCGTTCAGTCAGAAGAACAAATCTTTAATTTCGTTAAACCAGACTAGATTGCAAACGACTCATGGCGGAATACATTGCTTAACTCCCGTGAGGGCGAACTACAGCCCACCAAACGATTCGTTCTCGAGGTGGAGTTTGTTGAGCTGTGTCCATCTCATAACATTCCATAATCAATTAATTGCAGTCATTCTTGCAGCATGCGATCAATTATCAGTTCTAAACATGTATCTCTAGGCTCATGATCTATTTTCCTATGCGCACGGTCGGAGCACGTCTCTGGAGAAGCTGATCCGGAGGAGCGTGTATTAATCCAGCTATAGAATTATAATTATATTATACCTCAGTGTGTATGACTCATTGCGGCTAGCACTAGCAGGTCAAACCAACGATTAAAATTAACGAGTAACTCAGAAAAATGAATCATGAATCTCGAGTCAGTAAAAAGAGTCGTTCAAAAAGAACGAATCGTTCGCGAACAGCATATGCACAGCCTGACAAAATCGCCATATGTCCTTCCTCGGACACCGTAACCGTAGTGTGTTATTTTTTGACATGTGTTGTAAACGATTAATCAGTAGTGACACTTTATTTTTATTTCAGAAACCAGCAACACACCACTTAAAGGAACTATACTAATTTACAGTAGGCAAATATGTTGATCTTGCACTTTCTGGCTAACTAGCTAGCATTGCGGTTTTCAGTAGTAGATTGTTAGCGCGTTTTAAGAGCGCAACACACTGACGCTAACGTTAGCTAGCTACGGTAGCTAAGTTACAGTTCACTAGCTAGCTTTCCAGTTTGTTTGTGTTACGTGTAGGTGGTTGTCATCGACCTTCCAGCAAGTTTGAAGCCATGAGTGACAGCGACGACGATGTCCCTCAGCTGTCCGCGGCCACTCTGGCTGCCCTGCATGAGTTTTACACAGAGGAGAGGGACGGGCTGGTGCAGAGCACAGCACCGGTGGACAAGTACTCGGTGGGGGCGGTGGAAGAGGACTGGGTATGTTGACCGTGATGCTAGATATTGCTGATAAACTTCTCAGCTGGCCCACTGGCTATTCCCCTCTTATCACTCCCCTCTATAGCAACATTATGGCTGTATTTACATTGCTTGACATATCTGTCCACCAGCGTATGAGCCAATTCTGGTACAGCGATGAGACAGCAACCAGGCTAGTTGAAGAGGTAATTCAGGAAGCTGGGAAAGGTGGCAGGTGAGGGGATTATGTACTATGCATTTACACAGTCTGCCGGGGGGGTGTGTGTTGAGTATTTCACTACAGACTGCCCTTCTAAAGCTTACTAACATTGTGATGTTGTTACTTACTAGGATAGCCTGTCTGAGCGCACCCAGTGTGTACCAGAAGCTGAAGCAGGGCGTGGTGGAGGGCTCTGACGGTGTGTCGGCTGTGGTTCTTGAGTACGACCGCCGTTTTGACACCTACGGCCAAGAGTTCATCTTCTATGACTACAACGAGCCCCTAGCTCTCCCAGAGGACCTGGCCCAACAGAGTTTTGATATTGTCCTAGCTGACCCCCCCTACCTGTCTGAGGAGTGCCTCACCAAGGTCGCCCAGACTGTCAAGTACCTGGCCAAGGGCAAGGTGCTGCTCTGCACAGGTGAGCCTCATGTAGCTGTGTCTGTCCTCGGGCTTGTGCCCTTCTCCATACCTCACACAACACTCAATACGCGCATTCTTCTTACACATACCAGAATGACATGCCACTCTCTGCAGCTTTGTTTTATCTACCACTCTCCTTCAGGAGCCATCATGGAGGAGCATGCAGAGAAGCTGATGGGTCTGAAGATATGCAGCTTCCTGCCCAAACACAACAAAAACCTGGCCAACGAGTTCCGCTGTTTCACTAACTACCCTTCAAACCTCCTGTCCTGAGGCTCTACAACCCTTCATGTATGGCCTTATTGACTTTTGATGTCTGACATCCATCAATGCCCCAGTTCTGACTTGACTGATGATATCTGTGACAGTTGCAAGGAAGACTAATCTTGTTGGGCAATTTTCATTGCCTGTCAGACATCCAAGGTTTCATTTTGGGGACCATGGTATCAAGACCCTGTGGGTTGTTTTTAATATGATTTCTTATCCCATAACATAATTGTGAAGTAAGTGAATAACGGTATTCATGTTTGACTTCAGTGTAAATAATATTTCATATACACACAGAAAATAAAGATGTCTAAACTGTTGTAAAAATCTGTCAGATTTCATTTGCAGGGCCTGGAAACATGCTTAGAGTATCATGTAATACCAGCAGGTGGCAGTGTCAATTAGGATATTACTGTTGAAATCCTCCTGGGTTCAAAACTGCTGCTGCTGCTTACACAGCCAACCATGCATTTTCATACATATTACACAGCTCTTTTTCTATTGCCTTGCTGCCCATGGATATTTTATACATTCTTGTCATTGGAGCTGAGACTGCTCTCTCCAGGCTCTGTTTGCTGCTCTGCGCATCCCTGTCTTTCTCCAGCAGGGGAACACGGGTGGCCCCCACGGCCAGATACGTAGCTCTATGTATGAGTGGGGCACCCCGACACAGGACCCTGTGCGTCGCAGGATGACGGAGGGCATGTACACAGGTTCTGCGGTACTGGTCGCTCTCCTGTCCAAACGAACCTGTCGGGCAGCCTTTACACATGCAATATGCCTCGGGTATGAACCTGGGATACCAGGCGGGGTCGTGGGAGATCCTGTTGAAGGACAAAACCCTAGATCATTCTATTGACCCATTCACAATTACTGTGATTTCTCAGTGAAGAAATATTGGCCCACGTGACATTTAGATCCAGGTATTCCTACCTGTATGCCCAGGGAGAGAGGCTGTGAAAGTTGACGGGGATCCAGGACTTTTCTCTGGAACAGGGTGTCCCGCTGACAGGCAAGTGATATTCTGGCACTCCAAGGGTGCAAGCTGCAGAGTGTGGTGGAACGCGTTCAGGACGCCCAAACATCTGCTCGAGAAAGTCCAAACACTGTCGGTTCCGGGTGGAGTTCTTGGACACCTTGGCTGACGATGCCACCTCGCATAACAGCACCAGATGCAAAGACACGACAGATGCTCGACTAAACATCATTGCGCACTTCTGTGTAGGACCCAAAATGCTATATTTTTACTGCAAAGAAACCCCCCGAATTGTCAAGCTATACAGCATTGGTTTTGAATCCTTTATAGTAGCGTTTGCGCAGATGGAAACATTGCAGTGCGCTTTGGAGTGACTAGACTGAGCGAGCTACTGGTACTTGGTGCTGTTTTTGTAATGGTTGCCGAAGTGCAGAATCTCATCCAGCTATTTTCCACTCCAAAATATTTCAGAGAATGTTGAGCAGATGGGCTGGCACTGTCAGCTGTGATTAGTAAATGTTGGGTTTATGACTAGAATTCATCCACCTGTGCTCGGGCAAACCCCGCTTCTGTTTAAAGTAAAGATCATATCCTTTAGAGGTGGAGTTTTGTGTTCTAATGCATCTTTCACCACAACAACCCATGCATCTGTAAAGGAAGTCACGCTGCTTGCTTAGCAATTTGGACCACCCAATTCGGACCACACCTGGCGCGAAGCACACCTGACCGCCCTCCTGAAGCATCTTACCAGTTGGCGCCACGCGAAAAGCTAGCTATTTGCTGGCGCAAGTGGGGACACTTCAGGCTGAGGAGTAAGTTTCACACATCCCCATGTGCTACAGTCACCCCTCAAACCTACTCAACAGCGACCCCAGGGTGAGCGGAGCGCAACTGTAGATCCCGGTCACGGCACCACTGTAAAGGATGTGAAGCTGCTTTGTCAGGGACAGGGCGTCCCGCTGACAGGCAGGTGAGATTCTGCCACTCCTAGGGTGCAAGCTGCAGAGTGTGATGCTTGCTTAGCCGCGGGACGTAGTTTGGGGGTGGGGTGCTGTGATTTGTTTTTGGCAGGAAAAAAAATGGACGGTGCTTAAGACATCTATACTGAACAAAAATATAAACGCAACATGTAAAGTGTTAGTGCTATGTTTCATCAGCTGAAATAAAATATCCCAGAAATGTTCTATACGCACAAAAAGCTTATTTCTCTCAAATGCCCATTATTGATCATTTCACCTTTGCCAAGATAATCCATCCACCTGACCAGTGTGGCATATCAAGAAGCTGATTAAACAGTGTGATCATTACACAGGTGCACCTTGTGCTGGAGACAATAAAAGGCCACTCTAAAATGTGCAGTTTTGTCACACAACACAGTGCCACAGATGTCTCAAGTTTTGAGGGAGCGTGCAATTGGCATGCTGACTGCAGGAATGTTCACCAGAGCTGTTGCCAGATAATTTGATGTTCATTTCTCTACCATAAGCCGCCTCAGTCATTTTAGAGAATTTGGCAGTACGTCCAACTGGCCTCACAACCACAGACCACGTGTAACCATGCCAGCCCAGGACCTCCACATCTGGCTTCTTCACCTGCGGGATCGTCTGAGAACAGCCACCCGGACAGCTGATGTAACTGAAGAGTATTTCTGTCTGTAATAAAGCCCCTTTGTGGGGTAAAACTCATTCTGATTGCCTGGGCCTGCCTCCCCAGTTGGTGGGCCAAAACAGTTAAACTGATAATAGTTGTGGAATACAGAAATACTTGCTTAATATATTTTTCCAAGTTTCTGGAAATACTTTGCAAATGCAACTTATTTCAATGAGAAAACTGAAATGTTTATCCAGTCCTTTTCCATTTTAGTTGACGCTCTTATTCAGAGCAACTTACAGTAGTGAGTGCATACATGTTCATACTTTTCATACTGGTCCCCCGTGGGAATTGAACCCACAATCTTAGCATTGCAAGTGCCATGCTCTACCAACTGAGCCACATCACAAAACACTTGTCTCAATGTACCTCATTACTGTCTTGTGCATTGTTTTTCTTCATGGTGATGGAAAGTCTACAGGCACAAACCTAGATGACCAGCCTATGTACAACATTTACATTGTGGTTTGTAAGGATGGTAAATTAATACTGCACAAAAAATGGTTGTTTTCCATGTTATTTGATCAATAAAAATATTTTATTTGATGTGGATGTTTTGTGTCTTTGCACCTGTTGATGTAAATGTTTGAGGACAGGGTTTTGTTCTTTCTGGATTCCATTAGAATGACAATCCCAGAGAAAGGGACAGGGCAACAACTATTGAATCCTGCAAGATACTGTTCTTAATTATACAACTACCTTTTTTTCCAAAGCAGAGATGCTGAAAAAATGTTTTGTACTACAGACATATCAGTCCGCTAATACTAGTAAAGGCCCATTGCACTACTTTTGTGAACAAAATATTTTTAAAACAAAATATATATATATTTTTTATTCTGATTTTTCAGGGGGTGCTGCAGCAGCCTCAGCACCCTTACTGTCCGCAGCCCATACCATATGCCACTTCCTCATGATTCGGCCCATACCTGGTGCGAACTTGGGACCTCTGCCTTGCTAGCACACGTGACCGCACTCCTGAAGCGTCTTACCAAGTGGGGACACCAGGCTAAGGAGTAAGTTTCACACATCCCCATGTGCAACACATCCACAATTGTACGGTGAAAAAATATTGTATAATTTTCAATCATTTGAAAATAGTTCACAAGACAAATCAGAGAGATACATGTGCTTCTTTACCTCAATCAGAGCAGAATTTGCCTGTAGCAAATTACAATAAATATTGCATTGCAAAAAATAAACATCTGTAGCCTATAAAGTATTCATTTAAATGAAGAGTCTCTAAACTGGGTTAAAACTGTATTACTATCCTGAGGGTAGCATAGAGTTAATGACAATGGAATTCCCACAAAGTTTCCAGTTGATAAAATGCAACCAGACTAGCATATGGGAAAATATTAATCTCAGTTTACGCCATAGGTTTGCCTGAATGTATAAGGGAGGCTTGAGTCAAACTCACATCGTTTCCATTTGTAAATATACTTTTTTGGGGGGGAATACCCAACTCATTTAATCTTCAAGGAAGAGGGAGGAGAAAAGCAGGGGGACTGCAGCTGGCTACTCCGGTAGTAGGTCATCTCCCAGCTCTTCATCAGCAAAGTCGTCATCTTCATTGCGCTTCTTAGCTGCAGTCTTTGGTCTCTCCATCGGAGCCCCCAGTGGATCCACGTAAGATGCATCTACACACAGGGACATATGTGGTTACTATTCATTATTATATTGCACACATGATGATCATCATCTGCCACATTGGGCAAAGGTGTCCCACACTCCCTGCAGATACTGTCTTCCACATATTGTAAGGGGAACACTCAACACCAATCCCCTGAAGAGTAATGTTCGGAAAAGGGGAGGGTGAGTGACTTCATGAAGATACCAGAGCGCCAAGTTTAGGTCTAAAAGGCTCCTTAACAGCTTCTACCCCCAAGCCATAAGACTGCTGAACAATTAATCAAATGGCTACCCGGACTATTTGCATTGACCCCACCCCCTTTTTTTGTTTTTACACTGCTGCTCCTCACTGTTTATTATCTATGCAGTCACTTTACCCCTACCTACATGTACATATTACCACAATTACCTCGACTAACCTGTACCCCCACACATTGACTCGGTACCAGTACCCCCTGTATATAGCCTCGTTATTGTTATTTTATTGTGTTACTTTTTAAAAACGTGTTTATTTTCTGAAAACTGCATTGTTGGTTAAGGGCTTGTAAGTAAGCATTTCACGGTAAGGTCTACACCTGTTGCATTCGGCGTATGTGACAAATACAATTTGATTTTATTTGAACTTTCATGCATATCATTCCACTAGAGCAGGGTTGCCCAACCCTGTTCCTGGAGAGCTGCCCTCCTGTAGGTTCTCGCTCCAACCCCAGGTGTTACTAACCTGATTCATCTTATCAACCTGCTAATTATTAGAATCAGGTGTGCTAGATTAGGGTTGGAGCAAAAACCTACAGGACGTTAGCTCTCCAGGAACAGGGTTGGGCAGTCCTGCACTAGAGGGAGTCCTTTAGTCACCTCAGAACAGATTGGAGAGAATCATGCATTAACTGACTCACATACTTTATTTTAATTTCAACCACTATGATGTACTAAGTGCGTCGCTAAAGATTGATGTTAAAAAATCCATAGGGGCCTCCCGAGTGGCGCAGTGGTCTAAGGCACTCTATTTCAGTGCTAGAGGCGTCACTACAGATCCGGGTTCGATCCTGGGCTGTCGCAGCCGGCCGTGACTGGGAGACCCATGAGGTGGCGCACAATTGGCCCAGTGTCGTCCGGGTTAGTGGAGGGTTTGGCCGGCTGGGATGTCCTTGTCCCATCGCGCTCTTGCGACTCCTTGTGGTGGCCGGGCGCCTGTACGCTGACTTTCAGCAGCCAGCTGGACGGTGTTTCTTCCGACACATTGGTGCGGCTGGCTTCCACGTTAAGCGAGCAGTGTGTCAAGAAGCAGTGCGGCTTGGCAGGGTTGTGTTTTCGAGGACGCATTGGCTCTCAACCTTCGCCTCTCTCGAGTCCGTACGGGAGTTGCAGCGATGGGACAAGACTGTAACTACCACTTGGATATCAAAAAGGGGTAAAAAGCAATTTTTATATATATATACAGTGAGCTCCATAATTCATTGGACAGTGACCATTTTTTTGTTATTTTGGTTCTGTACTCTAGCACTTTGAGTTTGAAAGGATACAATGACAATGAGGGTGAAGTGCAGACTTTAATTTGAGGGTATTTTCATACATATCGGATGAACCGTTTAGAAATTATAGAAGCTTTTGTACATGGTCCCCCCCATGTTCGGGCATCAAAAAACATTGGACAGTTTAACGTAATGTAGAATAAAGTAATCATTGTTAATATTTGGTCGCATATCCTTTGCATGCATGCAATGACTGCTTGAAGTCTGCGATGCATCGACATCACCAGACGCTGGGTATCTTCCCTGGTGATGCTCTGCCAGGCCTGTACTGCATCCATCTTCAGTTCCTGCTTGTTTCGGGGACTTATTGCCGTCAGTCTCCTCTTCAGCATGTAAAATGCATGTTCAATTGGATTCAGATCCGGTGATTGACTCGGCCAGTCAAGGATTTTCCACTTTTTGGCCATCAAAAACCCCTTCGTTGCTCTAGCAGTATGTTTAGGGTCATTGTCTTGTTGCATGATGAAGTGCCGTCCAATGAGTTTGGAGGCATTTGGTTTTATCTGAGCAGATAAAATATTTCTGTAGACTTCAGAATTCATTGTTCTACTTCTGTCTGCAGTCACATCATCGATGACGACAAGTGAGCCTGTTCCACTGGCAACCATACAGGCCCAAGCCATAACACCCCCTCCACCATGTTTCACGGATGAGGTGGTATACTTTGGATCATGGGCATTTCTTTTTTTTCTCCACACTTTCCTCTTTCCATCACTCTGGTACATGTTAATCTTTGTCTCATCTGTCCACAATACTTTTTTCCAGAACTCTTGGGGCTCTTTTATGTGCTTTTTAGCAAACTGTAATCTCACCTTTCTGTTCTTCAGGCTTATCAGTGGTTTGCATCTTGTAGTGTACCCTCTGTAGTCTTCTATGTATGGTAGACTTTGACACATCTACACCTGCATCCAGGAGAGTGTTTTTGATCTGTTGGGCTGTTGTCAGGGGGGTTTTCTTCACCATAGAGAGTATTCTCCGGTCATCCACTACAGTGGTCTTCCTCTGTCTACCGGGTCTTTTGACATAATTGAGTTCACCGGTTGTTTTGTTCTTGTTAATGATGAACCAAACTGTTGACTTGTGCATGGCCAGGGTTTTTGCAATGTTCCTGATTGATTGATTTTCATTTCTGAGCCTTATGACGGCCAGCTTCATTTGCATCGACACTGCTGTATTCCTCATGTTGTCACACCCCAACAACAACCTCCAAAGGCAATAACAAAGTCTAGAATCAATACTATTCATCAACAGCTCTCCTGCATTCACTAACGACACAAATGAATACACCTGCCTAACGACACACATCTGTGAAGCCAATTTAACAAATACTTGTAGTACCTTAAAATGGGGGGGACCATGTACAAACGGTGCTGTCATTTCTAAACGGTTCATCCGATATGTATGCAAATACCCTCAAATTAAAGCTGACAGTCTGCACTTCACCCTCATTGTATCCTTTCAAACTCAAAGTGCTAGAGTACAGAACAAAAATAACAAAAAAAATGTCACTGTCCAATGAATTATGGTGCTCACTGTATATACAGTGGGGAGAACAAGTATTTGATACTTTTATTTATTTTTTATTTCACCTTTATTTAACCAGGTAAGCCAGTTGAGAACAAGTTCTCATTTACAACTGCGACCTGGCCAAGATAAAGCAAAGCAGTGCGATAAAAACAACACAGAGTTACATATGGGGTAAAAAACATAGTCAAAAATACAACAGAAAATATATATAGTGTGTGCAAATGTAGCAAGTTATGGAGGTAAGGCAATAAATAGGCTATAGTGCAAAATAATTACAATAGTATTAACACTGGAATGCTAGATGTGCAAGAGATTATGTGCAAATAGAGATACTGGGGTGCAAAAGAGCAAAATAAATAACAATATAGGGATGAGGTAGTTGGGTGGGCTAATTTCAGATGGGCTGTGTACAGGTGCAGTGATCGGTAAGGTGCTCTGACAACTGATGCTTAAAGTTAGTGAGGGAGATAAGAGTCTCCAGCTTCAGAGATTTTTGCAATTCGTTCCAGTCATTGGCAGCAGAGAACTGGAAGGAATGGCGGCTAAAGGAGGTGTTGGCTTTGGGAATGACCAGTGAGATATACCTGCTGGAGCGCAGACTACGGGTGGGTGCTGCTATGGTGACCAATGAGCTAAGATAAGGCGGGGATTTGCCTAGCAGTGATTTATAGATGGCCTGGAGCCAGTGGGTTTGACGACGAACATGTAGTGAGGACCAGCCAACAAGAGCGTACAGGTCACAGTGGTGGGTAGCGTATGGGGCTTTGGAGACAAAACGGATGGCACTGTGATAGACTAGATCCAATTTGCTGAGTAGAGTGTTGGAGGCTATTTTGTAAATGACATTGCCGAAGTCAAGGATCGGTAGGATAGTCAGTTTTACGAGGGCATGTTTGGCAGCATGAGTGAAGGAGGCTTTGTTGCGAAATAGGAAGCCGATTCTAGATTTAACTTTGTATTGGAGATTCTTTATGTGAGTCTGGAAGGAGAGTTTACAGTCTAACCAAACACCTAGGTATTTGTAGTTGTCCACATACTCTAGGTCAGACCCGTCAAGAGTGGTGATTCTAGTCGGGTGGGCGGGTGCCAGCAGCGTTCGATTGAAAAGCATGCATTTAGTTTTACTAGTGTTTAAGAGCAGTTGGAGGCTACTGAAGGAGTGTTGTATGGCATTGAAGCTCGTTTGGAGGTTTGTTAACACAGTGTCCAATGAAGGGCCAGATGTATACAAAATGGTGTCGTCTGCGTAGAGGTGGATCTGAGAGTCACCAGCAGCAAGAGCGACATCATTGATATACACGGAGAAAAGTGTCGGCCCAAGAATTGAACCCTGTGGCACCCCCATAGAGACTGCCATAGGTCCAGACAACAGGCCCTCCGATTTGACACACTGAACTCTATCTGAGAAGTAGTTGGTGAACCAGGCGAGGCAGTCATTTGAGAAACCAAGGCTATTTAGTCTGCCAATAAGAATGCGGTGGTTGACAGAGTCGAAAGCCTTGGCCAGGTCGATGAAGACGGCTGCACAGTACTGTCTATTATCAATCGCGGTTATAATATCGTTTAGGACCTTGAGCGTGGCTGAAGTGCACCCATGACCAGCTCGGAAACCGGATTGCATAGCGGAGAAGGTACGGTGGTATTCGAAATGGTCGGTGATCTGTTTGTTAACTTGGCTTTCAAATACTTTCGAAAGGCAGGGCAGGATGGATATAGGTCTGTAGCAGTTTGGATCTAGAGTGTCACCCCCTTTGAAGAGGGGGATGACCGCGGCAGCTTTCCAATCTCTGGGGATCTCAGACATTATGAAAGAGAGGTTGAACAGACTAGTAATAGGGGTTGCGACAATTTCGGCAGCTAGTTTTAGAAAGAAAGGGTCCAGATTGTCTAGCCCAGCTGATTTGTAGGGGTCCAGATTTTGCAGCTCTTTCAAAACGTCAGCTGTCTGAATTTGTGTGAAGGAGAAGCGGGGGGGGCATGGGCAAGTTTCAGCGGAGGGTGCAGAGTTGGTGGCCGGGGTAGTGGTAGCCAGATGGAAAGCATGGCCAGCTGTAGCAAAATGCTTGTTGAAATTCTCGATTATTGTAGATTTATCGGTGGTGATAGTGTTTCCTAGCCTCAGTGCAGTGGGCAACTGGGAGGAAGTGCTCTTATTCTCCATGGACTTTACAGTGTCCCAAAACTTTTTGGAGTTAGTGCTACAGGATGCACATTTCTGTTTGAAAAAGTTAGCCTTTGCTTTCCTGACTGCTTGTGTATATTGGTTCCTAACTTCCCTGAAAAGTTGCATATCGCGGGGGCTATTTGATGCTAATGCAGTATGCCACAGGATGTTTTTGTGCTGGTCAAGGGCAGTCAAGTCTGAGGAGAACCAGGGGCTATATCGGTTCTTAGTTCTGTATTTTTTGAATGGGGCATGTTTATTTAAGATTGAGAGGAAATTACTTTTAAGGAACAACCAGGCATCCTCTACTGACGGAATGAGATCTATATCCATCCAGGATACCTGGGCCAGGTCAATTAGGAAGGCCTGCTCGCTAAAGTGTTTTAGGGAGCGTTTGACAGTGATGAGGGGTGGTCGTTTGACCGTGGACCCGTTACGGACGCAGGCAATAAGGCAGTGATCGCTGAGATCCTGGTTGAAGACAGCTGAGGTGTATTTAGAGGGTATGTTAGTCAGGATGATATCTATGAGGGTACTCATGTTTACGGATTTAGGGTTGTACCTGGTAGGTTCGTTGATAATTTGCGTGAGGTTGAGGGCATCTAGTTTGGATTGTAGGATGGCCGGGGTATTAAGCATATCCCAATTTAGGTCACCAAGCAGTACGAACTCTGAGGATAAATGGGGGGCAATCAATTCACATATGGTGTCCAGGGCACATCTGGGGGCTGAGGGGGGTCTGTAGCAAGCGGCAACAGTGAGAGACTTATTTCTGGAAAGGTGGATTTTTAGAAGTAGAAGCTCAAACTGTTTGGGCACAGACCTGGATAGTATGATAGAGCTCTGCAGGCTCTCTCTACAGTAGATTGCAACTCCACCCCCTTTGGCAGTTCTATCTAGACGGAAAATGTTATAGTTGGGGATGGAAATTTCTGAATTTTTGGTGGCCTTCCTGAGCCAGGATTCAGACACTGCTAGAACATCAGGGTTGGCGGAGTGTGCTAACGCAGTGAATAACTCAAACTTAGGAAGTAGACTTCTGATGTTTACGTGCAAGAAACCAAGACTTTTGCGATTACAGAAGTCAGCAAATGATAGCGCCTGGGGAGTAGGAGTGATACTGAGGGCTGCAGGGCCTGGGTTAGCCTCTACATCACCAGAGGAACAGAGGAATACTAGAATAAGGATACGGCTAAAGGCTTTAAGAACTGGTCTTCTAGTGCGTTGGGTACATAGAATAAAGAGGGCAGATTTCCGGGTGTTGTAGAAAAGATTCAGGGCATTATGTACAGACAAGGATATGGAAGGATATGAGTAAAGTGTGGGTAAACCTAAGCGTTGGGTAACAATGAAAGAGATAGTATCACTAGAGGCACCAATTGAGTCGGTCTCTGCGTGTATAGGGGGTGGGACAAAGGAGCTATCTAAGGCAGGTTTAGCTGGGCTGGGGGATCTACAGTGAAATAGTACAATTAGAAATAACCGAAACAACAATAAGCTAACCATGTTTGGGCTGAGGCTAAACATAAACAGGATGTAGTACCGTAAAAAGGAACAGTCCAGCAGACATCAGCTGTATAGCTGAGTTATCATAAGGTCCGGTGAACAGCAATAGGATAGTTCGGAGGCTGCTAAAGCACTAGCAGGTAAGAGGCCACGGCTAGCGTGTGCTAGCGGGCCGGGGCTAGCAGATGGAATCTTCGTGGTCGACGTCGTCGTAACCACATCAGACGATTTCGTCGGCAGACCAGTCGTGTAGGATCGGCGGGGCTCCGTGTCAACACTAGGTGGTCCCGTCCGGTTGACAGAGAGGTAGATAGCCGGGAGATGGGCCTAGCTCAGGATGATTAGCCAGACCACAGCGTCCATTTAGTTGAAGCTAGCTGGTAGCGATGAATCCGGAGTTAAAGGTCCAGTGATTCAGTGATTCCGGCAGAAAAACTGATATGTTCTGGGTCGATAACGCGCTGTGCAGACTGGCCGAATATCCGGTGATTAATATCCAGTGATTAAATTAATCCCGCAGAAAAAAAATCCAATGTTCTGGGTGAAATACCGCTAACTGTGGCTAATAGCAAGTAGCTAGTTAGCTGGCTAGCTAGTTTCAACTGGAGATTCTAGATAAAAGGTAAGTCAATAATAGAATCCGTTCCACATTGAGTGAGGCGGGTTGCAGGAAAGTATATTTTGTAGAAGGATGAAAAGTCTGATAGGGAAATATGTACGAAAAATACAAAAAAACTGGGTATTTACAGGCTATTTACAGACACACGACAAAAACAGAACTGCACTACTTCGCCATCTTGCAGGTTTATTGCATGACATAAGTATTTGATACATCAGAAAAGCAGAACTTAATATTTGGTACAGAAACTTTTGTTTGTAATTACAGAGATCATACGTTTCCTGTAGGTCTTAACCAGGTTTGCACACACTGCAGCAGGGATTTTGGCCCACTCCTCCATACAGACCTTCTCCAGATCCTTCAGGTTTCGGGGCTGTTGCTGGGCTATACGGACTTTCAGCTCCCTCCAAAGATTTTCTATTGGGTTCAGGTCTGGAGACTGGCTAGGCCACTCCAGGACCTTGAGATGCTTCTTACGGAGCCACTCCTTAGTTGCCCTGGCTGTGCGTTTCGGGTCGTTGTCATGCTGGAAGACCCAGCCACGACCCATCTTCAATGCTCTTACTGAGGGAAGGAGGTTGTTGGCCAAGATCTCGCGATACATGGCCCCATCCATCCTCCCCTCAATACGGTGCAGTCGTCCTGTCCCCTTTGCAGAAAAGCATCCCCAAAGAATGATGTTTCCACCTCCATGCTTCACGGTTGGGATGGTGTTCTTGGGGTTGTACTCATCCTTCTTCTTCCTCCAAACACAGCGAGTGGAGTTTAGACCAAGAAGCTCTATTTTTGTCTCATCAGACCACATGACCTTCTCCCATTCCTCCTCTGGATCATCCAGATGGTCATTGGCAAACTTCAGACGGGCCTGGACATGCGCTGGCTTGAGCAGGGGGACCTTGCGTGCACTGCATGATTTTAATCCATGACGGCGTAGTGTGTTACTAATGGTTTTCTTTGAGACTGTGGTCCCAGCTCTCTTCAGGTCATTGACCAGGTCCTGCCGTGTAGTTCTGGGCTGATCCCTCACCTTCCTCATGATCATTGATGCCCCACGAGGTGAGATCTTGCATGGAGCCCCAGACCGAGGGTGATTGACCGTCATCTTGAACTTCTTCCATTTTCTAATAATTGCGCCAACAGTTGTTGCCTTCTCACCAAGCTGCTTGCCTATTGTCCTGTAGCCCATCCCAGCCTTGTGCAGGTCTACAATTTTATCCCTGATGTCCTTACACAGCTCTCTGGTCTTGGCCATTGTGGAGAGGTTGGAGTCTGTTTGATTGAGTGTGTGGACAGGTGTCTTTTATACAGGTAACGAGTTCAAACAGGTGCAGTTAATACAGGTAATGAGGGAGAACAGGAGGGCTTCTTAAAGAAAAACTAACAGGTCTGTGAGAGCCGGAATTCTTACTGTTTGGTAGGTGATCAAATACTTATGTCATGCAATAAAATGCAAATGAATTACTTAAAAAATCATACAATGTGATTTTCTGGATTTTTGTTTTAGATTCCGTCTCTCACAGTTGAAGTGTACCTATGATTAAAAATTACAGACCTCTACATGCTTTGTAAGTAGGAAAACCTGCAAAATCGGTAGTGCATCAAATACTTGTTCTCCCCACTGTATATATAGATATGTGTATATATATATATACACACTGCTCAAAAAAATAAAGGGAACACTGAAACAACACATCCTAGATCTGAATGAATGAAATAATCTTATTAAATACTTGTTTCTTTACATAGTTGAATGTGCTGACAACAAAATCACACAAAAATTATCAATGGAAATCAAATTGATCAACCCATGGAGGTCTGGATTTGGAGTCACCCTCAACATTTTAGTGGAAAACCACACTACAGGCTGATCCAACTTTGATGTAATGTCCTTAAAACAAGTCAAAATTAGGCTCAGTAGTGTGTGTGGCCTCCACGTGCCTGTATGACCTCCCTACAATGCCTGGGCATGCTCCTGATGAGGTGGTGGATGGTCTCCTGAGGGATCTCCTCCCAGACCTGGACTAAAGCATCCGCCAACTCCTGGACAGTCTGTGGTGCAACGTGGCGTTGGTGGATGGAGCGAGACATGATGTCCCAGATGTGCTCAATTGGATTCAGGTCTGGGGAACGGGCGGGCCAGTCCATAGCATCAATGCCTTCCGCTTGCAGGAACTGCTGACACACTCCAGCCACATGAGGTCTAGCAATGTCTTGCATTAGGAGGAACCCAGGGCCAACCGCACCAGCATATGGTCTCACAAGGGGTCTGAGGATCTCATCTCGGTACCTAATGGCAGTCAGGCTACCTCTGGCGAGCACATGGAGGGCTGTGCGGCCCCCCAAAGAAATGCCAACCCACACCATGACTGACCCACCGCCAAACCGGTCATGCTGGAGGATGTTGCAGGCAGCAGAACGTTCTCCACGGCGTCTCCAGACTCTGTCACGTCTGTCACATGTGCTCAGTGTGAACCTGCTTTCATCTGTGAAGAGCACAGGGCGCCAGTGGCGAATTTGCCAATCTTGGTGTTCTCTGGCAAATGCCAAACGTCCTGCACGGTGTTGGGCTGTAAGCACAACCCCCACCTGTGGACGTTGGGCCCTCATACCACCCTCATGGAGTCTGTTTCTGACCGTTTGAGCAGACACATGCACATTTGCCTGCTGGAGGTCATTTTGCAGGGCTCTGGCAGTGCTCCTCCTGCTCCTCCTTGCACAAAGGCGGAGGTAGCGGTCCTGCTGCTGGGTTGTTGCCCTCCTACGGCCTCCTCCACGTCTCCTGATGTACTGGCCTGTCTCCTGGTAGCGCCTCCATGCTCTGGACACTACGCTGACAGACACAGCAAACCTTCTTGCCACAGCTCGCATTGATGTGCCATCCTGGACGAGCTGCACTACCTGAGCCACTTGTGTGGGTTGTAGACTCCGTCTCATGCTACCACTAGAGTGAAAGCACCGCCAGCATTCAAAAGTGACCAAAACATCAGCCAGGAAGCATAGGAACTGAGAAGTGGTCTGTGGTCATCACCTGCAGAACCACTTCTTTATTGGGGGTGTCTTGCTAATTGCCTATAATTTCCACCTGTTGTCTATTCCATTTGCACAACAGCATGTGACATTTATTGTCAATCTGTGTTGCTTCCTAAGTGGACAGTTTGATTTCACAGAAGTGTGATTGACTTGGAGTTACATTGTGTTGTTTAAGTGTTCCCTTTATTTTTTTGAGCAGTGTATATGTATGTATATACAGTGAAGGAAAAAAAGTATTTGATCCCCTGCTGATTTTGTACATTTGCCCACTGACAAAGACATGATCAGTCTATAATTTTAATGGTAGGTTTATTTGAACAGTGAGAGACAGAATAACAACAAAAAAATCCAGAAAAACGCATGTCAAAAATGTTAGAAATTGATTTGCATTTTAATGAGGGAAATAAGTATTTGACCCCTCTGTAAAACATGACTTAGTACTTGGTGGCAAAACCCTTGTTGGCAATCACAGAGGTCAGACGTTTCTTGTAGTTGGCCACCAGGTTTGCACACATCTCAGGAGGGATTTTGTCCCACTCCTCTTTGCAGATCTTCTCCAAGTCATTAATGTTTCGAGGCTGATGTTTGGCAACTCGAACCTTCAGCTCCCTCCACAGATTTTGTATGGGATTAAGGTCTGGAGACTGGCTAGGCCACTCCAGGACCTTAATGTGCTTCTTCTTGAGCCACTCCTTTGTTACCTTGGCCGTGTGTTTTGGGTCATTGTCATGCTGGAATACCCATCCACGACCCATTTTCAATGCCCTGGCTGAGGGAAGGAGGTTCTCACCCAAGATTTGACGGTACATGGCCCCGTCCATCGTCCCTTTGATGCGGTGAAGTTGTCCTGTCCCCTTAGCAGAAAAACACCCCCAAAGCATCATGTTTCCACCTCCATGTTTGACGGTGGGGATGGTGTTCTTGGGGTCATAGGCAGCATTCCTCCTCCTCCAAACACGGCGAGTTGAGTTGATGCCAAAGAGCTCGATTTTGGTCTCATCTGACCACAACACTTTCACCCAGTTCTCCTCTGAATCATTCAGATGTTCATTGGCAAACTTCAGACGGTCCTGTATATGTGCTTTCTTGAGCAGGGGGACCTTGCGGGCGCTGCAGGATTTCAGTCCTTCACGGCGTAGTGTGTTACCAATTGTTTTCTTGGTGACTATGGTCCCAGCTGCCTTGAGATCATTGACAAGATCCTCTTGTGTAGTTCTGGGCTGATTCCTCACCGTTCTCATGATCATTGCAACTCCACGAGGTGAGATCTTGCATGGAGCCCCAGGCCGAGGGAGATTGACAGTTATTTTGTGCTTCTTCCATTTGCGAATAATCGCACCAACTGTTGTCACCTTCTCACCAAGCTGCTTGGCAATGGTCTTGTAGCCCATTCCAGCCTTGTGTAGGTCTACAATCTTGTCCCTGACATCCTTGGAGAGCTCTTTGGTCTTGGCCATGGTGGAGAGTTTGGAATCTGATTGATTGATTGCTTCTGTGGAAAGGTGTCTTTTATACAGGTAACAAACTGAGATTAGGCGCACTCCCTTTAAGAGTGTGCTCATAATCTCAGCTCATTACCTGTATAAAAGACAACTGGGAGCCAGAAATCTTTCTGATTGAGAGGGGGTCAAATACTTATTTCCCTCATTAAAATGTAAATCAATTTCTAACATTTTTGACATGCGTTTTTCTGGATTTTTTTGTTGTTATTCTGTCTCTCACTGTTCAAATAAACCTACCATTAAAATTATAGACTGATCATTTCTTTGTCAGTGGGCAAACGTACAAAATCAGCAGGGGATCAAATACTTTTTTCCCTCACTGTACATGTATATCAAATCAAATGTTATTGGCCACATGCGCCGAATACAACAGGTGCAGACATTACAGTGAAATGCTTACTTACAGCCCTTAACAAACAGTGCATTTATTTTTAATAAAAAAGTAAAATAAAACAACAACAAAAAAGTGTTGAGAAAAAAAGAGCAGAAGTAAAATAAAATAACAGTAGGGAGGCTATATATACGGGGGGGTACCGGTGCAGAGTCAATGTGCGGGGGCACTGGCTAGTTGAAGTAATATGTACATGTGGGTACAGTTAAAGTGACTATGCATAAATAATTAACAGAGTAGCAGCAGCGTAAAAAGATGGGGGTGGGGGGGCAGTGCAAATAGTCCGGGTAGCCATGATGAGCTGTTCAGGAGTCTTATGGCTTGGGGGTAGAAGCTGTTGAGAAGTATTTTGGACCTAGACTTGGCACTCCGGTACCGCTTGCCGTGCGGTAGCAGAGAGAACAGTCTATGACTAGGGTGGCTGGAGTCTTTGACAATTTTGAGGGCCTTCCTCTGACACCGCCTGGTATAGAGATCCTGGATGGCAGGAAGCTTGGCCCGAGTGATGTACTGGGCCGTACGCACTACCCTCTGTATTGCCTTGCGGTCGGAGGCCAAGCAGTTGCCATACCAGGCGGTGATGCAACCAGTCAGGATGCTCTCGATGGTGCAGCTGTAGAATTTTTTGAGGATCTGAGGACCCATGCCAAATCTTTTCAGTCTCCTGAGGGGGAATAGGCTTTGTCGTGCCCTCTTCACGACTGTCTTGGTGTGTTTGGACCATGATAGTTCGTTGGTGATGTGGACACCAAGGAACTTGAAGCTCTCAACCTGTTCCACTACAGCCCCGTCGATGAGAATGGGGGCGTGCTCAGTCCACAATCATCTCCTTTGTCTTGGTCACGTTGAGGGAAAGGTTGTTATCCTGGCACCACACGGCCAGGTCTCTGACCTCCTCCCTATAGGCTGTCTCATCGTTGTCGGTGATCAGGCCTACCACTGTTGTGTCGTCGGCAAACTTAATGGTGTTGGAGTCATGCCTGGCCATACATATGTATGTATGTATATATATACATACATACACACACACACACACACACACTTCCGGTCAAAAGTTTTAGAACACCTACTCATTCAAGGGTTTTTCATTATTTTTACTATTTTCTACATTGTAGAATAATAGTGAAGACATCAAAACTATTAAATAACACATATGGAATCACGTTGTAACCAAAAAAGTGTTAAACAAATCAAAATATATTTTATATTTGAGATTCTTCAAATAGCCACCCTTTGCCTTGATGACAGCTTTGCACACTCTTGGCATTCTCTCAACCAGTTTCATGAGGTAGTCACCTGGAATGCATTTCAATTAAAAGGTGTGCCTTCTTAAAAGTTAATTTGTGGAATTTCTTTCCTTCTTAATGCGTTTGAGCCAATCAGTTGTGTTGTGACAAGGTAGGGTGGGTATACAGAAGATAGCCATATTTGGTAAAAGACCAAGTCCATATTATGGCAAGAACAGCTCAAATAAGCAAAGAGAAATGACAGTCCATCATTACTTTAAGGTCAGTCAATAAGGAACATTTCAATAACTTTGAAAGTTTCTTCAAGTGCAGTTGCAAAAACCATCAAGCGCTATGATGAAACTGGCTCTCATGAGGACCGCCACAGGAATGGAAGACCCAGAGTTACCTCTGCTGCAGAGGATACGTTCATTAGAGTTACCAGCCTCAGAAATTGCAACCGAAATAAATGCTTCACAGAGTTCAAGTAACAGACACATCTCAACATCAACTGTTCAGAGGAGAATGTGTGAATCAGGCCTTCATGGTCAAATTGCTGCAAAGAAACCACTACTAAACGCCACAAATAAGAAGAAGAGACTTGTTTGGGCCAAGAAACACGAGCAATGGACATTACTCAACTAGTCTCAAGAAGGCTAGTTTTATTACTTCTTTAATCAGCACAACAGTTTTCAGCTGTGCTAACATAATTGCAAAAGGGTTTTCTAATGATCAATTAGCCTTTCAAAATGATAAACTTGGATTAGCAAACAACGTGCCATTGGAACACAGGACTGATGGCTGCTGATAATGGGCCTCTGTACGCCTATGTAGATATTCCTTTAAAAATCTGCCGTTTCCAGCTACAATAGCCATTTACAACATTAACAATGTCTACACTGTATTTCTGATCGATTTGATGTTATTTTAATGGACAATAAAATTGCAAGGACATTTCTAAGTGACCCCAAACTTTTGAACAGTAGTGTATTGTTACGGATACAGGTATCCTGTATGTGTATTTGTTTTTTTCTCTCCTTCTGCCCTAAATCACAGGTGTCCCTTGTTTTCCTGATTGGTGGTCGTTGGGGAGTCCCACCTGTCTGACATCCGTTCGTCTGCTGATTGCTAATCAGTGGACATTCCTCTGCATTGCACCACCTGTTTCTGGTTTTTCACTCACATCCCATTGTTTTAAAAGCCAGTCAGTTGTGTTTTATCACAGAGACTCTTTTCGTTTGTGAGTATGGATACTGTGGCGTCTTGTTTTTTGTGTACGCACTCATTTTCTGTTTACTCTATATGGTAACAATGTTGTGTGTTCCTGGGAAAAGAGGGACTTAGCAAGTTGCCCTTTGGCACACATTACCCGTAGGAAAAACTATTGTCTAAAAACACTAGTTAGACCTGAATGGACCACCCACTGTATTTTTGTATGGTTAGCAGAAGCTTAGCAGTTCTTGAGGCAGGCAAGATCAGTTTAGGGTTTTTTGATATTGTTTCATTCCTTGGGTCCTGCTCAGCCCCTTTTCCCAAACCTTTACCGTGTGTTCATTATAAACATTTTGTGTTTGACGGTAGTTTATGGTTGTCTGTGTATTTTTGTTCTCACTGTTTCTGTGTCACTATTCTAATTTGCATGAGTTATGTTACGGGTCTCTTTTCCATCCACCCTAGACTTTTAAAGCCACGGGGTTCGTAACATGTATATATCAACAAAATAAAAATTGCAGAACCATTGACCTATATTTTTTACTTTACAGTTGTTTCTGGTGTTATCCCTAAGATCTGGAAAGGAGGAGATTCTATGATATTTACCATCCAATTTCCAAATTATCTTGCCTTGCCAAAGTTTTAGAATCCCTGGCCAACTCTGGGCTGAAAACTTTTCACTCTATTCTTAATGTGCACCAATCTGGTTTTAGACTTGGACACAGCACAGTTTCAGCTGCTACGCTTGTTTTAGATAATGTGTTAAAATTGCTTGGATCATAAATTGTATCTGTTAAAACGTGTAATATTCATCTGTATGCAGATGATACTGTTATGTATGCCATTGCCCCAACTGTATACCAGCCGTTGTTGGAGCTGCAATCTGACTTTGTTGCCTTACAGAAAGGCCTGGTTGGTTTAAAACTTGTACTTAATGTGGGCAAGACTAAATAAATGTTCTCTCATTCTCGCAAAATTGTTTCAGATGGACTACATATTTTATTCATTGAATGGTTCTCCCATCGATCGGGTTCCCGCCTATAAATATCTGGGCATTTGGATTGACAAGGATTTAACATTTAAAAAGCATACTGATGAGCTAGTTAAAAAGTTAAGATTTTTTTAGAAATGGATCTTGCCTCTCCCTAAACAGCAGGAAGCAGATTGTACAGTCAACTTTCCTGCCAGTTCTTGACTATGGTGACACCATTTACCAGACTGCAGCAGCAACTACACTTATAGAGCGACTGAACACGCCGATTGACACGTTTTTCTGTTGCTCATTAGAAAAATGAGATTTCAGTCTTGGAGGTGTTTCCTGGCCGATTCTGCATTTGGTTAATGATGTTTGTCCCCCATGAGACACGGAAGCCTATTTCAATTCCTCAAAATAACCAGAATGAATCTAAGAACTCAAATGTGTAATTGACATTTTTACCAAGGATGTTTTAGTTGTGCAATCTTACATCTAAGGTGTTTGGTGCAGTATTTCTTAAGTAAAAAACATGCTGTCTTATGTAAACAAAGTTGGAGCTGCTGGGCAGGTCTGTCTCATTGTCTATGCTATTGGATAGAGCGCATCACCGCAGCTGTGTATTGTGGTGTTGAAATTGTAGTACAGTAATCCCTCGTTTATCGCGGGGGTTACGTTCCGAAAATGACCCGCGATAAGTGAAATCCGCGAAATAGAAAACTTTTTTTTTTTTACAATTAGCAACTATTACATGTATACAAATACAGTGACTCACGTGTAGGCCGTTTCGTCGACATTATGGGTTTAGAAGATGTTCGAAATTACAAGATAATTTGGCCAACTTAATGTAAATTTGCCAAGCTGTTTTATGTACGTACACATAACTGCACGAGACGACAAAATGATAGCACAATTCGTAGCATGTTTTGATACAAGAAGCGGGAGTGAGTTTTTAGCGAATCAGAATGCAGAGCACAATGCACCAAAAAAAAAAAAAAATGCATTATGAAAATCCGCGAAATAGCGAATCCGCGATAAGTGAACCGCGAAGTGGCGAGGGATCACTGTATTTTAAATTGTAACTAGCTTTTATCATTTTATTGGCATGTTTGTGTAGAATTTGCTTCCTAAGGGCATCATTGAAAATGAGACCCTGGTCTCAATGGGCTCCCCTGATTAAATAAAAAAATGCATTTGTTCACAAGGTGTTAAGATGGATCAGGGGCATGAGGTAGATTGTACAATTGAAGACAAAAAACCTACACTGCAAGTCTACACGGTTGAAGGTGGAGGGAGAGAGTGTGTCTCACCTATGTCTCGCTGGCTGCTGGCCTCGTAGGGTTCGTTGGAGCCAGGAAGTGCCCTCATCTTGGCGCTCAGCCTCTCCCCCTTGGCGCTAGTGCCATGACTGCTGTGTCCACTGTCTGAGAAAACAGACACAGGATTAACCTGCTTGCTTACTGTTGGGACCGGCCCCTTCATTACCCTGTACAGTGAGGGAAAAAAGTATTTGATCCCCTGCTGATTTTGTACGTTTGCCCACTGACAAAGAAATGATTAGTCTATAATTTTGTTGGTAGGTTTATTTGAACAGTGAGAGACAGAATAACAACAAAAAAATCCAGAAAAACGCATGTCAAAAATGTTAGAAATTGATTTGCATTTTAATGAGGGAAATAAGTATTTGACCCCCTATCAATCAGAAAGATTTCTGGCTCCCAGGTGTCTTTTATACAGGTAACGAGCTGAGATTAGGAGCACACTCAAAGGGAGTGCTCCTAATCTCAGCTTGTTACCTGTATAAAAGACACCTGTCCACAGAAGCAATCAATCAGATTCCAAACTCTCCACCATGGCCAAGACCAAAGAGCTCTCCAAGGATGTCAGGGACAAGATTGTAGACCTACACAAGGCTTTAATGGGCTACAAGACCATCACCAAGCAGCTTGGTGAGAAGGTGACAACAGTTGGATCTTTTTGTTGTTATTCTTTCTCACTGTTCAAATAAACCTACCATTAAAAATATAGACTGATCATGTCTTTGTCAGTGGGCAAACATACAAAATCAGCAGGGGATCAAATACTTTTTTCCCTCACTGTATCTGCATGGTTCACATTTAGCAGTGATTGTTTATCCCTCTCTAACAGAGGGTAACAATGAGAGGCTGCTGTTTAATACCACACGCTCCTCTGTCCTCTGTGTGTGAGGGGAAAGAGATGTGTGTCAGCTCTAGGCTCAGATGGCAGGTCTGTATGGCGGTCCAGAAAAGTGGGGGACAGGCCAGAGACAACCACACTCCACATCTGGCAACCAGGTAGCCGTGGAAAAAAATCCAACCACGAAAACAGGAAGAGGAGGAGGCCCAATTCTGTTGTCCCTTACAATCCTCAAATCCCAGCCTTCCTCAGGACCAACTCACTCAAAAATGCAGTGAGATTTCCAGTGGAAAAGCAACTCCTTTTTCTGCCTCAACACTGAAGAAAGAATGTATTGCACATACCATGAGTGTCTAGCTATGTATTTTCCTGTCAATGGGTCAGCTTTTGCCTGTTGGGGTGATCTGACCTCCCTGCACAAGAGGGCAGCTTACACTCTTACACCAAAGAGCAACAGTGATTTGGAAGCATCTGAGAAATGCTTTTCAACCATACCGGATCCTCAGCGACAGAGCAGTCATAAGTTGATGATGACTTTGCTGAAGTAACATAACAGTAACAACAACTCCAGTTTTTAAATAACAATCACTATGTATTCAAACGTAGTAGTCAACACGGTCAAATGAGGGAAAACTCTTAGAGGTGAATTCAAGAAGGGAGGCTTTCTCAAATAGAGCGTTTTCAGCTCTTTTTCTCTCTTTGCAATGTGTTCAGTGCAAACATTCTCTGGAGGGGGTGAGTTGCAGGAAGGAGTCATTCCTGGCAAACACAGCTTGCAGCCTGTTAGAAGATTTCGGGGACACTGAATTGTAAAGCTAGGCTGTAGAGAGTTCAGTCATTTGACAATACCTTAACACTGTCCCCCTTGCCTTCTTTGACAAATTACTGTGAAAAAGATGATTGATAGACAGTTTTCCATTCTGTTGTACAGTACAGTACATACCTCTCCCCTGGTCCAGCAGAGGACTGTGTTTAGGCTCAGGGTGAGAGACTGATCCAGAAGAAAGACATGTGGAAAGAGAAAAAGGAAAGCATGCAATAAAGAGAAAGAAAGACCAGAGAGGACAGGGATAGTTGAGGATCAAGTTAGAATAGCATACAGTTAACAAAGCAAAAAGGACATTTAAAATGGCAAGAGGAGAGTAAAGAGTTTGGTGTGTATGTGTTAATCTGCCACAAACACATAATATAACACTGTCCTGCTCACCTGCTTTGACATCCACCTCTGAAGTGCCATAAGAGAATAAAAAGAGGAAATTAATTGTAAGATGAAGTGTGTCCAGACATTTATACAGTACACTACAGTGGTTCCCAGGAACTCTCAGGAGAGCAGTGAAACTTTTCCTAATCTTGATTATTTTTAGAACACTCGCTTATAAACGTGACCTGTGGAATGTTGTTACGTTTGAGGGGCCACATCACTGGACGCTGTTAAAGGGCTACACACAAATTAACCATAATGAGTAACGATCTATAAAAAGTATACAAATATTTACAAGAAACGCTATTTAAATCTATAAAATATGTTTGTCACAGAAAATAGCTGATTTGCAGTATGCTTCCTACAGTTGTGTCAGGTTGGCTGGATATCAATTGGGTGGTGGACCATTCTTGATACACACGGGAAACTGGTGAGGTTGAAAACCCAGCAGTGTTGCAGTTCTTGACACAAACCGGTGTGCCTGGCACCTACTACCATACCCCGTTCAAAGGCACTTCAATCTTTTGTCTTACCTATTCAAATTTTGAATTACACACATACACAATCCATGTCTCAATTGTCTCAAGGCTTAAAAATCATGATTTAACCTGTCTCCTCCCCTTCATCTACACTGATTGAAGTGGATTTAACAAGTGACATCAATAAGGAATCATAGCTTTCACTTGGATTCACCTAGTCAGTCTATGTCATGGAAAGAGCAGGTTTTCATAATGTTTTGTACAGTGTGCTGCAGAATTGTATATCCCATTAAGGTGTGCCACGGTTCACAAAAAGTTGGGAACCACTGCACTACACTACCAAATGCTGATGGAGGATTGCTGTGGCTATAAGGGGAGTTGTTTGAAGCAGCTGGAATATGGTACATAATTACTTCAACAAAAACGTCAGCAAGTATACTGGTCTGGATACTGTAGAACTAAGCCATTACTGTTATAACATTAGCTGACAGAGCATATCAAGTTTAAGAAACTACATAATAGCCTGGGCATTGACACAAACTTCAGATATTCTTTGGAGAAATAGTTTGCAGTTTTCTCTTACCACATAATCCAAATAATTGTCCTTGAAGGCAAACACCTTTGACTCTTAATGTGCTGATGACTACACCGGTTACGATGTAATAATAATTGTTTTCCAATGGCCAAGGCAGAATAATGTAGCAATGGAACTACTACTGGACTAAAAGTATTGGAACGGGACCCAGCTCTATTCTACAGAGGAGGCTCGTACCGCTGTCCTTCTTTGGCGGGGTGTGGACAGGGTCTGGAGTGCCCACTGTCGAGACACACATTTGGACAGCAAGAGAGGACAGAGAGATTATAAAGGTTAACTGAATTTCAAAAGTTGGAATGGGTTAGTATCAGAATAGAGGAACTCGGGGTCAGAGATGTAATAGAGATGTACAGAGCTAGGAGGTTACTATCTAGTTTCTACTGGCTCGTACCGATGGCCTTCTTAGGCGGGGTGCGGAGAGGGTTTGGGGTGGCCACTGTCGAGACACACCCATGGACAGCAGTTAGGAGAAAATATATGATAATGGTGAACTTAATTTTTGCAAGGGATTACCATCTAAATAGAAGTAGTCAGGGTTAGAGTGTGTTTAGGTGTATAGAGGTGTCCAGGGTCATCACTCACCACTGCTGGCGCTGCCCTCTCTCCGGGTGCCTCTAGCGCTGCCCTCCCTCGCCGACTTCACCCGCTAGAGAGGAGAGAGAAATGATGTCTCTGTTAAAATCCAATATTCCCAAAAACAACAGTACAGAGTACCGTACAGACACTGATTTATTTAACTGTTTGTTGGTTTCTATGGTGAAAACAAAGACACTTGCAGAGAGCAAAAACAGCCAGAGACACTGGAGTTGATCTGTAATGATGATGTCAGCAAAGCCTGGGCCAGTTAACAACAGAGCAGGAATTAGAGTCGCTCCTTAGAAGAACCGTTCTGATCCAAGAACATCTCAGCACTGATTTAGGAGCAGTTGGTTATGATTCACTGAGAAGTCGGTATTCTCTCTGTCTGTTTTCCATAGGAAAGACACAGTGAAGCCAACGCCTCCAGTGGCCTCAGATGATGTTGTTGTCACTGTCAGTAGCCTTTGACAAGAGTGTAGTAAGTAAGTAGAGTACCTGTTCTCTGATCTCTTTCATCTTCTCCACCTTCTTCAGTTTGGTGGCGTAGTCCTGAACCTCTTTCATCCCCATGTCTGTGCACAGCCTCACCAGGAAACGCAGGCCTGGAGGGTGACAGGGGAAAAACACACACACCCATAGAGTCAGCATCAGTATATTTTTTAAATAAACCATTACATTAGAGCAGTAATGCTGAGAGGACAAGAAGGGATCGGGTGGATTACATTCAACGTTTTCCGGGAATTTCCGGTGGATGTCTTTGTAAGTCTCCAGGGCTTTCTGGTAGTTTCCTGAGGATGAAGGAACAAGGAGCAGCAGTGTTCAGGTCATTGCACATGGAATAATTCATATCTCTGTAAGGGTGAGGACAAATTCATTCGGACAATAAAATCAATCTGTCATCATTAGCCATAATTGAGGTGGATGATAAACTCACCACTTCTTCTGTAGCAGCTGGCCACCATAAGCTGCCATTTCACCTGAGTTGGCCTGAAACCACATGACAAATTATCAATACTGCAGGGGCATGATACCACATAACCGTGTCCCTAGGCTATTGGGTGGAAGTGGTGGAATAGAGGCACAACGAACAAGCATATTACTTGTTACATTATGATGTACAAACTCAAGACATACATACAGTGGGGAAAAAAAGTATTTAGTCAGCCACCAATTGTGCAAGTTCTCCCACTTAAAAAGATGAGAGAGGCCTGTAATTTTCATCATAGGTACACGTCAACTATGACAGACAAATTGAGAAAAAAAAATCCAGAAAATCCCATTGTAGGATTCTTTATGAATTTATTTGCAAATTATGGTGGAAAATAAGTATTTGGTCACCTACAAACAAGCAAGATGTCTGGCTCTCACAGACTTCTTCTTTAAGAGGCTCCTCTGTCCTCCACTCGTTACCTGTATTAATGGCACCTGTTTGAACTTGTTATCAGTATAAAAGACACCTGTCCACAACCTCAAACAGTCACACTCCAAACTTCACAATGGCCAAGACCAAAGAGCTGTCAAAGGACACCAAAAACAAAATTGTAGACCTGCACCAGGCTGGGAAGACTGAATCTGCAATAGGTAAGCAGCTTGGTTTGAAGAAATCAACTGTGGGAGCAATTATTGGGAAATGGAAGACATACAAGACCACTGATAATCTCCCTCGATCTGGGGCTCCATGCAAGATCTCACCCCGTGGGGTCAAAATGATCACAAGAACAGTGAGCAAAAATCCCAGAACCACACGGGGGGACCTAGTGAATGACCTGCAGAGAGCTGGGACCAAAGTAACAAAGCCAACCATCAGTAACACACTACGCCGCCAGGGACTCAAATCCTGCAGTGCGAGACGTGTCCCCCTGCTTAAGCCAGTACATGTCCAGGCCCGTCTGAAGTGCATTTGGATGATCCAGAAGAGGATTGGGAGAATGTCATATGGTCAGATGAAACCAAAATATAACTTTTTGGTAAAAACTCAACTCGTCATGTTTGGAGGACAAAGAATGCTGAGTTGCATCCAAAGAACACCATACCTACTGTGAAGCATGGGGTTGGAAACATCATGCTTTGGGGCTGTTTTTCTGCAAAGGGACCAGGACGACTGATCCGTGTAAAGGAAAGAATGAATGGGGCCATGTATCGTGAGATTTTGAGTGAAACCCTCCTTCCATCAGCAAGGGCATTGAAGATGAAACGTGGCTGGGTCTTTCAGCATGACAATGATCCCAAACACACCGCCCGGGCAACGAAGGAGTGGCTTCGTAAGAAGCATTTCAAGGTCCTGGAGTGGCCTAGCCAGTCTCCAGATCTCAACCCCATAGAAAATCTTTGGAGGGAGTTGAAAGTCTGTGTTGCCCAGCGACAGCCCCAAAACATCACTGCTCTAGAGGAGATCTGCATGGAGGAATGGGCCAAAATACCAGCAACAGTGTGTGAAAACCTTGTGAAGACTTACAGAAAACGTTTGACCTGTGTCATTGCCAACAAAGGGTATATAACAAAGTATTGAGAAACTTTTGTTATTGACCAAATACTTATTTTCCACCATCATATGGCAATAAATTCATAAACAATCCTACAATGTGATTTTCTGGATTTTTTTTTCTAATTTTGTCTGTCATAGTTGACGTGTACCTATGATGAAAATTACAGGCCTCTCTCATCTTTTTAAGTGGGAGAACTTGCACAATTGGTGGCTGACTAAATACTTTTTTCCCCCACTGTATCGATATTATTGTGAGATGAGGACTTACTGGATTAATGTGGCTCTCTCAAAGTACTGGATGGCCTTCTCACAGAACTGAGTGTCAATGTAGTAGGCCCCCAGCCACTCAATAACGTCAATGTTGGAGGGGAAATATCTGAAGGACTGAACAAGGGACCACATGGAGAATGTTCAGATTTAGTCAACTTCTTGTCGGGATGCAATGACGCTGGCATGTATAGCGTCCATTTTACAACCTCCTGCCCAATTATGCTATTTTGTATGTTTATTTGCGCTGATTTTAACGTTTTTGGTACATAATGATTCCGCCTGAAAAGAGCTTCTGGACATCAGAACAGCGATCACTAACCTCGATTGACTCGGCATACTGCTCACCCGGGACCAGGCCCTAATGCCCAACCCTCGGAAGTGGAAAAGTTCGACGTCGGGGCACCCTGATGAAACTATGGCGGCGAGTGAATAAACTGCCTCTCCCCTCTGTTCTATTGGCGAATGTACAATCACTGGAGAACAAACTAGACGAGCTCCGTTCGAGACTATCCTATCAACGGGACCTGAAGAACTGTAATATCCTATACTTCACGGAGTCGTGGCTTAACGAGGACATGGTTAATATAAATCTAGCTGGTTTTTCTACGAATCGGAAGGACAGAACGGCAGCGTCCCGTAAACTCAAGGGCGGGGGTGTGTGTCTCTTTGAGGTGAAAGGTGGCAGAGCTAGAACGGTGTTTGTCAGACCATGAGACACAAAAACGTCTGTAGCGTCCGAACGGTTTGACCTACAAACTATTATGTTTGGCCCCAGTTTGGCCAAACTACCACTCTATGGAAGGATGAGACTCTCGATGGTGGTCTCCGTGTTGCTCTACAACCCCCACAAGTGTCAGGGAACTCGTCTGAAGACGGTCCCGTCCATGAGCCAACTTCTGTTTGTAGCATCCAAACCATTTGGGCTACAAACTAATGTGACCCCACTGTTGAAAGGGGAGACTCTCACGAACACCATTTTGCACTATGACCCCCACAAGTGTCACAGGACTCGTCTAAAGGTAACCGGTACCGGTCCCAGAAAATAATGGAAGGTAGTTTTTTGCCTATCCAAAAAAGGGGTTAAATATGTGTAAAAATAAAGAAAGTCATATAAGTTTGGGGTCACTTAGAAATTTCCTTGTTTTCGAAAGAAAAAATAACATCAAATTGATCAGAAATACAGAGTAGATGTTGTTAATGTTGTAAATGGCTATTGTAGCTGGAAACGGCTGATTTTTTTTATGGAATATCTACATAGGCGTAGTACAGAGGCCCATTATCAGCAAACATCAGTCCTATGTTCCAATGGCGCGTTGTGTTTGCTAATCCAAGTTTATCATTTTAAAAATGCTAATTGATCATTAGAAAACCCTTTTGCAATTATGTTAGCACAGCTGAAAACTGTTGTGCTGATTAAAGAAGCAATGAAACTGGCCTTCTTGAGACTAGTTGAATATCTGGAGCATCAGCAATTGTGGGTTCGATTACAGGCTCAAAATGGCCAGAAACAAATAACTTTCTTCTGAAACTCGTCAGTCTATTCTTGTTCTGAGAAATGAAGGCTATTCTATGCGAGAAATTGCCAAGAAACTGAAGATTTCGTACAACGCTGTGTACAACTCCCTTCACAGAACAGCGCAAACTGGCTCTAACCAGAATAGAAAGAGGAGTGGGAGGCCCCGGTACAAAACTGAGCAAGAGGACAAATACATTAGAGTGTCTAGTTTGAGAAACAGAGGCTTCACAGAGTTCAAGTAACAGACACATCTCAACATCAACTGTTCAGAGGAGATTGCGTGAAATCAGGCCTTCATGGTCGAATTGCTGCAAAGAAACCACTACTAAAGGACACCAATAAGAAGAAGAGACTTGCTTGGGCCAAGAAACACGAGCAATGGACATTAGACCGGTGGAAATCTGTCCTTTAGTTTGATGAGTCCAAATGTAAGACTTTTGGTTTCAACCGCAGTGTCTTTGTGAGACACAGAGTAGGTGAACGGATTATCTCTGCATGTGTGGTTCCCACCGGGAAGCATGGAGGAGGAGGTGTGATGGTGCTTTGCTGGAGACACTGTCAGTGATTTATTTAGAATTCAAGGCACACTTAACCAGCATGGCTACCACAGCATTCTGCAGCGATATGCCATCCCATCTGGTTTGCGCTTAGTGGGACTATCATTTGTTTTTCAACAGGACAATGACCCAACACACCTCCAGGCTGTGTAAGGGCTATTTTACCAAGAATGAGAGTGATAGAGTGCTGCATCAGATGACCTAGCCTCCATAATCACCCGACCTCAACCCAATTGAGATGGTTTGGGATGAGTTGGACCGCAGAGTGAAGGAAAAGCAGCCAACAAGTGCTCAGCATATGTGGGAACTCCTTCAAGACAGTTGGAAAAGCATTCCAGGTGAAGCTGGTTGAGAGAATGCCAAGAGTGTGCAAAGCTGTCATCAAGGCAAAGGGTGGCTATTTGAAGAATCTCAAATATAAAATATATTTTGATTTGTTTAACACTTTTTTGGTTACTACATGATTCCATATGTGTTATTTCATAGTTTTGATGTCTTCACTATTATTCTACAATGTAAAAAATAGTTAAAATAAAGAAATACCCTTGAATGAGTAGGTGTGTCCAAACTTTTGACTGGTAGTATAGCTATGTTATTTTCACTCATTATTTTTATTCGGTATTCACTGTGTATTTATTCCTTGTGTCACATTTTTATTTTACATCTTATCTTTAACTCTGCATTGTTGGGAATGGACCCATAAGTAAGTATTTCACTGTTAGTCTACATCTGTTGTCTACAAAGCACGTAACAAATAAAATTTGATTTGCACTCTAACTTTTTGATTCAATGCCATCTGTTGCTACAATCTACTACTCACAATGTTGTTTGAATCCATACAGTTAGATACATTAATACAATCAAACACAATTGACTGAAACATAATGATACTAGAATTCGCTTGATAGATAGATCAGTGATGTGTTGGGAATGACTGACCTCTTGGTAGTACTGAAACGCCTGAGACTTGTCTCCCTCGCTGTCGTAGAGCTCTCCCAGTTTGGCCAACACCTGGGGGTCTGTGGGCGTCACAGTGATCAGTTGCATCAACCACTCTATTGCCTGGTGGGGGTCCTCCAACATCTCAAAGCTGAGCTTCAGTCAAGGATCACACTTTCTAAGTTGTAGACAAGTGCTCCTATAAGAACATTGTTTTTAGGCAACGCTTAAAGACCCAGTATTCTGTGAGGATACAGGTTGGCTAGCTGCCACATGACTTGGGCGCTGTTCCTCAGGATGGCGTGGAGCTTCAGGAAACAGTCCAGAGACTCCTCCAGACGCCCCAGACGCTTATAGGTCAAACCTGAGGAAAAAGGATATACTGTTAGAATAGGAAGACTACTATACATGATTAATAACAGTAAATTAGACAGATCCCTGAGCTCCCAACAATGATCTTCCTGAATTGAGCTCTGACGGTTTAGTTTACCTAGGTTATATAGGGCCTCAGTGCAGGACGAGTCATTCCGGAGAGCCTCCTTGTAGAACTCTGCAGCCTTCTCATAGTCCTTCTTCACAAACACTGTGTTGCCCTTGTTGATGAGCGCTGCTGGGTTGTAGCGGTCGGCTGTCATGGCCAGGTCGGCATAGCGGTCAGCCTGGTCGTAGTCTTTCTCCTGATGGGTCACAGTTCAGAGGTCATCGCACCAAGAGCGATATGCCATACAGTTCAAGGAAGTATGCTAATGTGATTGAACATAGGAGTATCTCCCTAATATGACTATATACAGTGGGGAAAAAAGTATTTAGTCAGCCACCAATTGTGCAAGTTCTCCCACTTAAAAAGATGAGAGAGGCCTGTAATTTTCATCATAGGTACACGTCAACTATGACAGACAAATCCAGAAAATCACATTGTAGGATTTTTAATGAATTTATTTGGAAATTATGGTGGAAAATAAGTATTTGGTCACCTACAAACAAGAAAGATTTCTGGCTCTCACAGACCTGTAACTTCTTCTTTAAGAGGCTCCTCTGTCCTCCACTCGTTACCTGTATTAATGGCACCTGTTTGAACTTGTTATCAGTATAAAAGAAACCTGTCCACAACCTCAAACAGTCACACTCCAAACTCCACTATGGCCAAGACCAAAGAGCTGTCAAAGGACACCAGAAACAAAATTGTAGACCTGCACCAGGCTGGGAAGACTGAATCTGCAATAGGTAAGCAGCTTGGTTTTAAGAAATCAACTGTGGGAGCAATTATTAGGAAATGGAAGACATACAAGACCACTGATAATCTCCCTCGATCTGGGGCTCCACGCAAGATCTCACCCCGTGGGGTCAAAATGAACACAAGAACGGTGAGCAAAAATCCCAGAACCACACGGGGGGACCTAGTGAATGACCTGCAGAGAGCTGGGACCAAAGTAACAAAGCCTACCATCAGTAACACACTACGCCGCCAGGGACTCAAATCCTGCAGTGCCAGACGTGTCCCCCTGCTTAAGCCAGTACATGCTCAGGCCCGTCTGAAGTTTGCTAGAGTGCATTTGGATGATCCAGAAGAGGATTGGGAGAATGTCATATGGTCAGATGAAACCAAAATAGAACTTTTTGGTAAAAACTCAACTCGTCGTGTTTGGAGGACAAAGAATGCTGTGAAGCATGGGGGTGGAAACATCATGCTTTGGGGCTGTTTTTCTGCAAAGTGACCAGGACGACTGATCCGTGTAAAGGAAAGAATGAATGGGGCCATGTATCGTGAGATTTTGAGTGAAAACCTCCTTCCATCAGCAAGGGCATTGAAGATGAAACGTGGCTGGGTCTTTCAGCATAACAATGATCCCAAACACACCGCCCGGGCAACGAAGGAGTGGCTTCGTAAGAAGCATTTCAAGGTCCTGGAGTGGCCTAGCCAGTCTCCAGATCTCAACCCCATAGCAAATCTTTGGAGGGAGTTGAAAGTCTGTTGCCCAGCGACAGCCCCAAAACATCACTGCTGTAGAGGAGATCTGCATGGAGGAATGGGCCAAAATACCAGCAACAGTGTGTGAAAACCTTGTGAAGACTTACAGAAAACGTTTGACCTGTGTCATTGCCAACAAAGGGTATATAACAAAGTATTGAGAAATGTTTGTTATTGACCAAATACTTATTTTCCACCATAATTTGCAAATAAATTCATAAAAAATCCTACAATGTGATTTTCTGGGGGAAAAAATCTAATTTTGTCTGTCATAATTGACGTGTACCTATGATGAAAATTACAGGCCTCTCATCTTTTTAAGTGGGAGAACTTGCACAATTGGTGGCTGACTAAATACTTTTTTTCCCCACTGTACATACATACATACACACATACATATAAATATACACACACATATCCTTAAAAAGAATATTTATTTCCCTTTATTACTTTCCAACACCACCCCCCCTCCCCTAATTGGAGTAAACTAGTGAACAACAAACTTAGTCCTCTACTTCCAGCTTATACATACTATATACATTTTATGGACACAGTCAATTTTACAATAATTCTATTTTGTTTGTTTTTACTCCTGAACTTCCTCTACCCTCAACCTCTCCGATAATTTTCATGTTGTCCATCCGGTTTGCTTCTATATGCCATATCTTTCTAACTGTGCTCTTTCACAAAAGCTCTCAACCTATAACCTATATACTTATTATGGACACAGTATGCTTTACATTAGTTATCTTGTTCTTATTAGTTGTTGTTAGTTGTTATTAGTACCATCCTTAAGCTCCATTCAACACCTCCCACCTATCTCTTAACACCATCCATACTGGATTACTATTTGCCATATTTTTCAACTGTACTGTGATGTTTCACAAAAGTTCTGAACCCTTCTATTCTCATTGTTTCTACAGATTGTAATTAGAAAATAAACATTTTTGCTAAAAGTATTAATATATTATTGATCGATTGACTACAACTTTTCAGATCACCCAGTAGTGCTATCTGCAGGGTTAGCTCCAGGTACAGTGCCTTGCAAAATTATTCATCCCCCTTGGCATTTTTCCTATTTTGTTGCATTACAACCTGTAATTTAAATGGATTTTTATTTGGATTTCATGTAATGGACATACACAAAATAGTACAAATTGGTGAAGTGAAATGAAAAAAATTACTTGTTTCAAAAAATTCTAAAGAATAAATAACAGAAAAGTGGTGTGTGCATATGTATTCACCCCCTTTGCTATGAAGCCCCTAAATAAGATCTGGTCCAAACAATTACCTTCAGAAGTCACATAATTAGTTAAATAAAGTCCACATGTGTGCAATCTAAGTGTCACATGATCTGTCACATGATCTCAGTATATATACAGTGAGGGGAAAAGTATTTGATCCCCTACTGATTTTGTACGTTTGCCCACTGACAAAGAAATGATCAGTCTATAATTTTAATGATAGGTTTATTTGAACAGTGAGAGACAGAATAACAACAACAAAATCCAGAAAAACAAATGTCTAAAATGTTATAAATTGATTTGCATTTTAATGAGGGAAATAAGTATTTGACCCCCTCTCAATCAGAAAGATTTCTGGCTCCCAGGTGTCTTTTATACAGGTAACGAGCTGAGATTAGGAGCACACTCAAAGGGAGTGCTCCTAATCTCAGCTTGTTACCTGTATAAAAGACACCTGTCCACAGAAGCAATCAATCAATCAGATTCCAAACTCTTCACCATGGCCAAGACCAAAGAGCTCTCCAAGGATGTCAGGGACAAGATTGTAGACCTACACAAGGCTGGAATGGGCTACAAGACCATCGCCAAGCAGCTTGGTGAGAAGGTGACAACAGTTGGTGCGATTATTCGCAAATGGAAGAAACACAAAAGAACTGTCAATCTCCCTCGGCCTGGGGCTCCATGCAAGATCTCACCTCGTGGAGTTGCAATGATCATGAGAACGGTGAGGAATCAGCCCAGAACTACACGGGAGGATCTTGTCAATGATCTCAAGGCAGCTGGGACCATAATCACCAAGAAAACAATTGGTAACACACTACGCCGTGAAGGACTGAAATCCTGCAGCGCCCGCAATGTCCCCCTGCTCAAGAAAGCACATACAGTGGGGAGAACAAGTATTTGATACACTGCAGAATTTGCAGGTTTTCCTACTTACAAAGCATGTAGAGGTCTGTAATTTTGAACATAGGTACACTTCAACTGTGAGAGACGGAATCTAAAACAAAAATCCAGAAAATCACATTGTATGATTTTCAAGTAATTAAATTGCATTTTATTGCATGACATAAGTATTTGATACATCAGAAAAGCAGAACTTAATATTTGGTACAGAAACCTTTGTTTGCAATTACAGAGATCATACGTTTCCTGTAGGTCTTGACCAGGTTTGCACACACTGCAGCAGGGATTTTGGCCCATTCCTCCATACAGACCTTCTCCAGATCATTTAGGTTTCGGGGCTGTCGCTGGGCAATACGGACTTTCAGCTCCCTCCAAAGATTTTCTATTGGGTTCAGGTCTGGAGACTGGCTAGGCCACTCCAGGACCTTGAGATGCTTCTTACGGAGCCACTCCTTAGTTGCCCTGGCTGTGCGTTTCGGAAGACCCAGCCACGACCCATCTTCAATGCTCTTACTGAGGGAAGGAGGTTGTTGGCCAAAATCTCGCGATACATGGCCCCATCCATCCTCCCCTCAATACGGTGCCGTCGTCCTGTCCCCTTTGCAGAAAAGCATCCCCAAAGAATGATGTTTCCACCTCCATGCTTCACGGTTGGGATGGTGTTCTTGGGGTTGTACTCATCCTTCTTCTTCCTCCAAACGAGGCGAGTGGAGTTTAGACCAAAAAGCTCAATTTTTCTCTCATCAGACCACATGACCTTCTCCCATTCCTCTGGATCATCCAGATGGTCATTGGCAAACTTCAGACGGGCCTGGACATGCGCTGGCTTGAGCAGGGGGACCTTGCGTGCACTGCAGGAGTTTAATCCATGACGGCGTAGTGTGTTACTAATGGTTTTCTTTGAGACTGTGGTCCCAGCTCTCTTCAGGTCATTGACCAGGTCCTGCCGTGTAGTTCTGGGCTGATCCCTCACCTTCCTCATGATCAATGATGCCCCACGAGGTGAGATCTTGCATGGAGCCCCAGACCGAGGGTGATTGACCGTCATCTTGAACTTCTTCCATTTTCTAATAATTGCGCCAACAGTTGTTGCCTTCTCACCAAGCTGCTTGCCTATTGTCCTGTAGCCCATCCCAGCCTTGTGCAGGTCTACAATTTTATCCCTAATGTCCTTACACATCTCTCTGGTCTTCGCCATTATGGAGAGGTTGGAGTCTGTTTGATTGAGTGTGTGGACAGGTGTCTTTTATACAGGTAACGAGTTCAAACAGGTGCAGTTAATACAGGTAATGAGTGGAGAACAGTAGGGCTTCTTAAAGAAAAACTAACAGGTCTGTGAGAGCCGGAATTCTTACTGGTTGGTAGGTGATCAAATACTTATGTCATGCAATAAAATGCTAATTAATTACTTAAAAATCATACAAATGTGATTTTCTGGATTTTTGTTTTAGATTCCGTCTCTCACAGTTGAAGTGTACCTATGATAAAAATTACAGTACTCTACATGCTTTGTAAGTAGGAAAACCTGCAAAATCGGCAGTGTATCAAATACTTGTTCTCCCCACTGTATACAGGCCCATCTGAAGTTTGCCAATGAACATCTGAATGATTCAGAGGAGAACTGGGTGAGTGTTGTGGTCAGATGAGACCAAAATGTAGCTCTTTGGTATCAACTCAACTCGCCGTGTTTGGAGGAGGAGGAATGCGGCCTATGACCCCAAGAACACCATCCCCACCGTCAAACATGGAGGTGGAAACATTATGCTTTGGGGGTGTTTTTCTGCTAAGGGGACAGGACAACTTCACCGCATCAAAGGGACGATGGACGGGGCCATGTACCGTCAAATCTTGGGTGAGAACCTCCTTCCCTCAGCCAGGGCATTGAAAATGGGTCGTGGATGGGTATTCCAGCATGACAATGACCCAAAACACACTGCCAAGGCAACAAAGGAGTGGCTCAAGAAGAAGCACATTAAGTTCCTGGAGTGGCCTAGCCAGTCTCCAGACCTTAATCCCATAGAAAATCTGTGGAGGGAGCTGAAGGTTCCAGTTGCCAAACGTCAGCCTCGAAACCTTAATGACTTGGAGAAGATCTGCAAAGAGGAATGGAACAAAATCCCTCCTGAGATGTGTGCAAACCTGGTGGCCAACTACAAGAAACGTCTGACCTCTGTGATTGCCAACAAGGGTTTTGCCACCAAGTACTAAGTCATGTTTTGCAGAGGGTTCAAATACTTATTTCCCTCATTAAAATGCAAATCAATTCATAACATTTTTGACATGCGTTTTTCTGGATTTTTTTGTTGTTATTCTGTCTCTTACTGTTCAAATAAACCTACCATTCAAATTATAGACTGATCATGTCTTTGTCAGTGGGCAAACATACAAAATCGCGAGGGGATGAAATACTTTTTTCCCTCACTGTACACCTGTTCTGAAAGGCCCAGAGTCTGCAACACCACTAAGCAAGGGGCACCACCAAGCAAGCGCACCATGAAGACCAAGGAGCTCTCCACACAGGTCAGGGATAAAGTTGTGGAGAAGTACAGATCAGGGTTGGGTTATAGAAAAATATCAGAAACATTGAACATTCCATGGAGCACCCTTAAATCCATTATTAAAAATTTTAAAGAATATGGTACCACAACAAACCTGCCAAGAAAGGGCCGCCCACCATAATTCACAGACCAGGTGAGGAGGGCATTAATCAGAGGCAACAAAGAGACCAAAGATAACCCTGAAGGAGCTGAAATGCTCCACAGCGGAGATTGGAGTATCTGTCCATAGGACCACTTTAAGCCGTACACTCCACAGAGCTGGGCTTTACGGAAGAGTGGCCAGAAAAAAGCCATTGCTTAAAGAAAAAAATAAGCAAACACGTTTGGTGTTCGCCAAAAGGCAAGTGGGAGACTCCCCAAACATATGGAAGAAGGTACTCTGGTCAGATTAAACAAAAATTGAGCTTTTTGGCCATCAAGGAAAACGCTATGTCTGGCGCAAACCCATCACCTCTCATCACCCCGAGAACACCATCCCCACAATGAAGCATGGTGGTGGCAGCATCATGCTGTGGGGATGTTTTCCATCGGCAGGGACTGGGAAACTGGTCAGAATTGAAGGAATGATGGATGGCGCTAAATAAAGGGAAATTCTTGAGGGAAACCTGTTTCAGTCTTCCAGAGATTTGAGACTAGGACGGAGGTTCACCTTCCAGCAGGACAATGACCCTAAGCATACTGCTAAAGCAACACTTGAGTGGTTTAAGGGGAAACATTTAAATGTCTTGGAATGGCCTAGTCAAAGCCCAGAACTCAATCCAATTGAGAATCTGTGGTATGACTTAAAGATTGCTGTACACCAGAGGAAACCATCCATCTTGAAGGAGCTCGAGCAGTTTTGCCTTGAAGAATGGCCCAAAATCCCAGTGGCTAGATGTGCCAAGCTTATAGAGACATACCCCAAGAGACTTGCAGCTGTAATTGCTGCAAAAGGTGACTCTACAAAGTATTAACTTTGGGGGGGTGAATAGTTATGCACGCTCAAGTTCTGTTTTGCATCTTCAAAGTGGTAGGCATGTTGTGTAAATCAAATGATACAAACTCCCCAAAAATCAATTTTCATTCCAGGTTGTAAGGCAACAAAATAGGAAAAATGCCAAGGGGGGTGAATACTTTCGCAAGCCACTGTAAATATTGCAATCCTTCAGCCATTCCTGGACCTGTGACCAAAAACAAGCTACAGATGGACAGTACCAAAACATGGAATTGGTACATCAAAAATCTCTTCCCAACTATTTTGCAATCTATACGGGACGGCTGTCAATCCTTTGGTCTTTAAATGAAACTGGTATACATTTTTATTTACCACAATATTCTTTAACCAATTATGGTCTTTAATGCAGGGCCGACAGAGAAGTTCCTTACTTTTTCCCCCTTCCACTTTCCTCTTCCATTTTTGCAGTAATGCTGCAATTATTTGGTTGTAATTTTGGGTAGAGCAGACATTTCCATATGTTTTTGTTAGCTGCATGTGCGACAAATTATATCATAGATAGGACTGGTGGAATTAAGAAGATTATATATTTTTAAACAGTTTTTCAAAAAATAATGGTTTTTTATCAATTAGTATATTTGAGTTTAACCACAATATTTGTTGCATTATTTGTTCTGTCATTTCTGGAGGATTAAATTGAAATCGCAACCAACTTTCTATGGCTTGTTTTAGAAATAGTGATATTTGGGAGATGATTTCCTTTTCAAATAACTGAAAGTGAGAGGTTGTAATCTGAATAAAGGGAAAAAGGCCATTCTTTAACATGGGGTGAGACAATCATACTAATTTGCTAGAGAACTAGTTCGGATTTAAGTATAACTTTTGTATGACTGAAGCTTTTAGTGATAGGTCTAATGCTTTAATTTAATATTTAATAATAATTCATATTCATTATATAAATAGGCCCGTTTAATTTTTTCTGGCTTGCCGTTCCAAATCAAATGGAATATTTTGTTCTCTTATAATTTAAAAAACTGTTCGCTAGGTGTAGGCAAGACCATAAGCAAATAGGTAAACTGGGATAATCGACAGTATTTACCTTTCCATGGTAGCAAGATCTTATCTATTTTTGCTAACTTTCTATAATAATGTATTGGAGTGAGATCATTTATTTCCTTTGGGATATGTATTCCGAGTATATCCACATCACCATCAGACCATTTTATAGGTAAACTATATGGTAATGTAAAATTTTTATTTTTTAGTGATCAATACGTAATATAGTACATTTATCATAATTTGGTTGTAATCCAGAGAGGTTAGAAAATGTATCTAGATCCTCTATGAGCCTGTGGAGGGATTCGAGTTGTGGATTTAAAAGAAAACATCAATCATCAGCGTACAATGACATCTTTGTTTTTAAGCCCTGTATTTCTAATCCCTTGATATTATTGTTGGATCTGATTTTAATAGCTAACATTGATGGCAATAATAAATAGATATGCCGATAGTGGACAACCTAGTTTTACTCCTCTTGACAGTTTAAAACTTTCTGAGAAATAGCCATTATTGACTATTTTACACCTAGGGTTACTATACATGATTTTAACCAATTTTATAAGCGATTCTTCAAAATTGAAATGCTCCAGGCATTTATATATAAACTCCAGTCGTACTTTATCAAATGCCTTTTCAAAGTCTGATTTTTCATAGTGTTCTATTGTTTCCAGTACTTGCCTTATATTATCTCCAATGTATCCTCCATGTAAAAAACCTGTCTGATTAGAATGAATAATGTCTGACAATACCTTTTTAATTCTATGCGCTATACATTTTGCTAACATTTTTGCATCACAACACTGATTTGTAAGGGGCCTCCAAAAATTTTTATGGACTGGATCTTTATATTTCCCACTTGTATCCTGTTTCAGTAATAATGAAATCAGACCTTCTTCTTGAGTGTCTGATAATCTACCATTTACATAGGACTGGTTAAAACACGCTAATAACGGTCCTCTGAGTATATCAAAAAAGGTTTGGTATACCTCTACTGGTATGCCATCCAACCCTGGAGTTTTCCCAGACTTAAAGTCTTTAATTGCATCCAGAAGTTCGTCCTCTGTATCTTCACCTTCACATGGCTGTTAATTTTACATTATCAATAGAAAAAAAAATCCCTTCAATTAGCTTCAGTTAGATGAGATGGAGGCGACTGAAACGAAAACATATCCTTAAAGTACTTTGCTTCCTCCTTCAAAATATAATTTGGTGAATGATGGGTGACTCCGTCATTTGTAACCAGCTTCAGTAAATTATTTTTGGTAGCATTTCTTTGTTGAAGATTAAAAAAGAATTTGGTGCATTTTTCCCCATATTCAATCAATTTTGCTTTATTTTTATAATATATTACACTTGATCTTTCTTGAATAAGTTTTTCCATTTATTTTTGTTTTTCCTCTCATTTATTCTGAGCCTCTATGTTACAATTTTTATTGCTATCAATCTGGTCTGTTAAACCTTCTATTTCCTTTGTTAGTATGGACTCTTTTGACCTAAATTGCTTTTGTTTTCGAGATGAGTACTGAATTGCATGGCCTCTAAAGGCACATTTAAAAGTGTCCCATACAATAAGGGGATTTGCTGTACCTATGTTATGTCGGAAAAATTCAGTTATAAGGAGAAGGTCTTACCAGGAAGTAGAGGAAGGAGAGGTTAGTGGCTGCAGCACTCTTCACTCTGCTGTCTTTCTTCTCAAACGTCTTCAGAGTCTCCACAGCCTGTTGGAGGAACCCTACCACTTAGCATCACTATAACATTGACACGCTCATATAGTATACATACACTCACCTCATAACATCTGACAAGGACATTACACATACAAACGAAAGAGCAGAACACATACCTCAAGCTTAAGAGCCATGCAGATGGAGAAAAGGAAAACAAACCAAATGGAGGGAGTGAATAGGAGAAAAGCTGTGGTGAAAGTAAACAGCTGAATGGAGAATCTGATACATAGGCAGACAATACAGTCAAGCAGCAGATATGTACACACACACATAATGGAGTGAAAACGAAAAAATACATAATTTCCCTCATGTGGTACAGGTGAAGACTGTTTAGACTTGGTGACACACTCACACCAACCTGGTTGAAGTCCCTCTGTCTCAGGTAGGTGATGGCTTTGTTGATCTCTAGGTCATTGGCCAGTTCTACGTACTGGGAACTCTTCACCATGTCCACACACCTACAGAAACAACCACACAGAGTATAACCATTACTGTACTGGGACTCCAGCCCACGTTTACCCTGTATCGCCCTCTGGTGTTGAGGTTTGGAAAGACACACCAGTCAAATCCGGCGGCGAACGTCGCCTCGATGGATGGGGCGATGAGCTTGGCCGATGTCATGATGAATTTCTCAGCCAGGGCTTTACTGCAGTCAAGAGAACAGATTCCAGCGGCCACAAACAATGAGTGGAACATGTCATAGAGATGTGAAAACACTAAAGTGACATTTTGTATAATGTACGAATAAGACAGTTACCGTTCTCTCTCCATCTGGTGAAGCTTGTCGTTCTTGATGGCTTCAATAACCAGGTTGGCATGTGTATCATCCTGAAAACATAACTAATGTGGATGATTTGTGAAGCATAACATGCAGTAAGTGCTACTAAAAATAAATCCTAAAACTTTCCATGTTCTGAAGAGTGCACACTGGAGTGCTCTGCTATGTTTAGTTTGAGAATAGAATAGAAGTGCTCACGTTGGGTGGGATGTACTTGTCCTCCTCGTCGATCCCCAGAGGAACACAGATGAGCTTCTGAAAGGCCTTCTTCATCCTCTCTCTGTCTCCGATGGCGTAGTAACACAGGATTAGGTTAAAGCCTGTCTTAATGTTGGGGCTCTCGCTCATGATGTGTTCAAAGGAGGTGATGGCGTCAGAGTACTGGCCCATGCGGATGAAGACCACACCGATGTTCTGCATGATCTTGATCCTCATCTCCTTGTGGGAGTTGGAGATCTGGTCCAGGGCCATGCGGTAGAACTTGATGGCCTTGGGGTAGTTTTTCTGCTTGAAGTAGATGTTGGCCATGTTCACTTTTAACCTTCCTGGAAAGAAAGTAAAACATTGTTCAGACAAACAGGTGTTTGGGCTAGTACTGCTTATCAATGCTAGTCTGTAATTTCAGTGGCAAATCTAAAATATGACATCCTTCTCCCACCCACCTGCATTACTGAACATCTTGTTCTTTACGATGACCTGGTAAGTGTTCAGGGCCTCCGCGTACATGTCATTGTTAGCGTACTGAGTTGCCAAGTTAAACAAGACCTGGAAAAATAAATAAATATATAAACTAAGATCACATCTGACCAACACTGACCTCAAAAGACAATGTCTGTCACAAGTAGGTGAGGTCCAAGTGATGTGGGCTGATGAGTATTTCTATTGACAGTTGTTATTGTTCTCACAGAGTATGTGAGGTCCAGGTTGATGTGGTCTGCATTGCCTGACTGCTCCCTCTGTCTCACCAGTGCTCTCTCCTTCCGCCCTGCCTCTTTGGCTCTATCTAGGGACTGTAATAAACAATGGTAGAAAACACACACAGTCAGAGGTAAAGCATCACACATCCCTAAGTCTGCGATGTCTGTAAGTTATTCGGTACAGATAAGAGGCAGGGGGAGACTGACCAACTGTAGGTCTCCACGGCCGTGCGCCAGGCAGCTCTCCTCTATCAGGTCGTTCACCTTCTTCTCCAGGATCTTCACCTTCTCATCCGGCCTGAAAACAACAAATAGTCCTAACCATCATTATACCTTTATCATCCTACAGAATCACAGGAGAAAACCTGAGAATCGCATATTGAAATGAGGGTAAGCAGCAGAGACAGAAACAAACTCTTACGTATCTTCACTTTTGCCCTCCAACGGAGGAGCTGGTCCTTTGGACTGACCCAGTGGGTCAAATGTAGACCCTGGAAATATCAAGAAACATGTTTTGTAACAACCTGCGCTTGAGAAGTTCAGTACTTGCTGTCTCCATTTAACAAGCAGGGTTTTTCCTGGATCAAAAAGGGGCTTAGGTGGTGGGCGTGGGAATGAGCGCGGTCGGCCGTCGGCGAGGCTACATTTTAGAGAACATTTTAGAGGCCCTCACCTTGGCGATGTAGAGACATTTTAGCATTTTCAAGCCAATTTCCTGCGATTCTACAAATTTCTCCATGGAAATGAGGATTTTTTTTCAGTTTTAAAGCTAATTTACTGCAATACTACACATTTTGCCATGCAGCTGAAAGAAAATGTTTCCATTTTCAAGCTAATTTCCTGCGATTCTACAGATTCTGCCATTGAGCTGAGAGAAAATGTTGCAGTTTAAAGCTAGTTTCCTGCAAATCTATGCATTTTGCCATGGATAATGCTGTGTTCTTTTGCTTAAACATAATAACAAAATGAATACTGCTAAATCCATTGTTTTTGTAATTTTAAATTCTCCCTGACTGTCTAGCGATTGTTAGTTCTCAAAGATTTTATAATAAAAAAATATATACAGTACCAGTCAAAAGTGTCAAAAGTCTTTATTTTTACTATTTTCTACATTGTAGAATAATAGTGAAGACATCAAAACTATGAAATAACACATATGGAATCATGTAGTAACCAAAAGTGTTAAATCAAACTATATTTTATATTTGACATTCTTCAAATAGCCACCCTTTGCCTTGATGACAGCTTTGCACACTCTTGGCATTCTCTCAACCAGCTTCACCTGGAATGCTTTTCCAAAAGTCTTGAAGGAGTTCCCACATATGCTTAGCACTTGTTGGCTGCTTTTCCTTCACTCTGCCGTCCGACTCATCCCAAACCATCTCAATTGGGTTGAAGTAGGGGGATTGTGGAGGCCAGGTCATCTGATGTAGCACTCAATCACTCTCCTTCTTTGTAAAATAGCCCTTACACAGCCTGGAGGTCTGTTGGGTCATTGTGCTGTTGAAAAACAAATGATAGTCCCACTAAGCCCAAACAAGATGGGATGGCGTATCGCTGCAGAATGCTGTGGTAGACATGCTGGTTAAGTGTGCCATGAATTCTAAATAAATCACAGACAGTGTCACCAGCAAAGCACCCCCATACCATAACAACTCCTCCTCCATACTTTACGGGGGGAATTACCCATGCGGAGATCATCCGTTCACCCACACCGCGTCTCACAAAGACACGTCGGTTGTAACCAAAAATCTCAAATTTGGACTCCAGACCAAAGGACAAATTTCCACCGGTCTAATGTCCATTGCTCGTGTTTCCTGGCCCAAGCAGGTCTCTTCTTCTTATTGGTGTCCTTTAGTAGTGGTTTCTTTGCAGCAATTCGACCATGAAGACCTGATTCACACAGTCTCCTCTGAACAGTTGATGTTGAGATGTGTCTGTTACTTGAAGCATTTATTTGGGCTGCAATTTCTGAGGCTGGTAACTCTAATGAACTTATCCTCTGCAGCAGAGGTAACTCTGGGTCTTCCAATCCTGTGGCGGTCCTCATGAGAGCAAGTTTCATCATAGCGCTTGATGGTTTTTGCGACTGCACTTGAAAAACTTTCAAAGTTCTTTACATTTTCCGGATTGACTCACCTTCATGTCTTAAAGTAATGATGCACTGTCTTTTCTCTTTGCTTATTTGAGCTGTTCTTGCCATAATATGGACTTGGTCTTTTACCAAATAGGGCTAACTACACTGCTCAAAAAAATAAAGGGAACACTTAAACAACACATCCTAGATCTGAATGAATGAAATAATCTTATTAAATACTTTTTTCTTTACATAGTTGAATGTGCTGACAACAAAATCACACAAAAATTATCAATGGAAATCAAATTGATCAACCCATGGAGGTCTGGATTTGGAGTCACACTACAGGCTGATCCAACTTTGATGTAATGTCCTTAAAACAAGTCAAAATGAGGCTCAGTAGTGTGTGTGGCCTCCATGTGCCTGTATGACCTCCCTACAACGCCTGGGCATGCTCCTGATGAGGTGGCGGATGGTCTCCTGAGGGATCTCCTCCCAGACCTGGACTAAAGCATCCGCCAACTCCTGGACAGTCTGTGGTGCAACGTGGCGTTGGTGGATGGAGCGAGACATGATGTCCCAGATGTGCTCAATTGGATTCAGGTCTGGGGAACGGGCGGGCCAGTCCATAGCATCAATGCCTTCCGCTTGCAGGAACTGCTGACACACTCCAGCCACATGAGGTCTAGCATTGTCTTGCATTAGGAGGAACCCAGGGCCAACCGCACCAGCATATGGTCTCACAAGGGGTCTGAGGATCTCATCTCGGTACCTAATGGCAGTCAGGCTACCTCTGGCGAGCACATGGAGGGCTGTGCGGCCCCCCAAAGAAATGCCACCCCACACCATGACTGACCCACCACCAAACCGGTCATGCTGGAGGATGTTGCAGGCAGCAGAACATTCTCCACGGCATCTCCAGACTCTGTCACGTCTGTCACGTGCTCAGTGTGAACCTGCTTTCATCTGTGAAGAGCACAGGGCGCCAGTGGCGAATTTGCCACTCTTGGTGTTCTCTGGCAAATGCCAAACGTCCTGCACGGTGTTGGGCTGTAAGCACAACCCCCACCTGTGGATGTCGGGCCCTCATACCACCCTCATGGAGTCAGTTTCTGACCGTTTGAGCAGACACATGCACATTTGTGGCCTGCTGGAGGTCATTTTGCAGGGCTCTGGCAGTGCTCCTCCTGCTCCTCCTTGCACAAAGGCGGAGGTAGCGGTCCTGCTGCAGGGTTGTTGCCCTCCTACGGCCTCCTCCACGTCTCCTGATGTACTGGCCTGTCTCCTGGTAGCGCCTCCATGCTCTGGACACTATGCTGACAGACACAGCAAACCTTCTTGCCACAGCTCGCATTGATGTGCCATCCTGGATGAGCTGCACTACCTGAGCCACTTGTGTGGGTTGTAGACTCCGTCTCATGCTACCACTAGAGTGAAAGCACCGCCAGCATTCAAAAGTGACCAAAACATCAGCCAGGAAGCATAGGAACTGAGAAGTGGTCTGTGGTCACCACCTGCAGAACCAGTCCTTTATTGGGGGTGTCTTGCTAATTGCCTAAAATTTCCACCTGTTGTCTATTCCATTTGCACAACAGCATGTGAAATGTATTGTCAATAAGTGTTTCTTCCTAAGTGGACAGTTTGATTTCACAGAAGTGTGATTGACTTGGAGTTACATTGTGTTGTTTAAGTGTTCCCTTTATTTTTTTGAGCAGTGTATATACCTTGTCACATCACATTTACATTACATTTACATTTTAGTCATTTAGCAGACGCTCTTATCCAGAGCGACTTACAGTTAGTGAATACATATTTTTATTATTATTATTTTTTATACTGGCCCCCCGTGGGAATCGAACCCACAACCCTAGTGTTGCAAACGCCATGCTCTATCAACTGAGCTACATCCCTGCCGGCCATTCCCTCCCCTACCCTGGACGACGCTGGGCCAATTGTGCGCCGCCCATGAGTCTCCCGGTCGCGGCCGGCTGCGACAGAGCCTGGATTCGAACCAGGATCTCTAGTGGCACAGTTAGCACTGCGATGCAGTGCCTTAGACCACTGCGCCACTCAGGAGTACAATCACAAATGATTGGCTCAAACGCATTAAGAAGGAAAGAAATTCCACAAATTAACTTTTAAGAAGGCACACCTGTTAATTGAAATGCATTCAAGGTGACTACCTCATTAAGCTGGTTGAGAGAATGCCAAGAGTGTGCAAAGCTGTCATCAAGGCAAAGGGTGGCTATTTGAAGAATCTCAAATATAAAATATATTTTGATTTGTTTAACACTTTTTTGGATACTACATGATTCCATATGTGCTATTACATAGTTTTGATGTCTTCACTATTATTCAAAAAAAAATCCCTGACATGGTCTGCATACTTTAGTCTATTGGGAGTGTATGAGACCACCACAACCCTCTCCCTCCCTCCTGCCCTCCCTAGTAAGCTCACCTCTGGTCATGGCTGAAGAGTAGCCTGCTGCTCTGACTGCAGTCATAGGCCTAGCTGCTCCATCCTGTCACAACACATGACACCCACAGTTCAGCACATACATCAGATTTCCATGTTCTGAGCATCATCTTTCTCCACATAGTACTGGGTAAGAATCCAATAGGAAAACTAGAGAAACTGATCAGTATTGATGCTCTCACCTGTACAGCACCAGTCATGGGTCTGCCCATAGATGAGGCCATGGGCATCCTAGACTGCAAGTCACAGCATTAAAGACAGACATTCACACATTTTTAAAAACATCAACGAGGTCTTGAAAAGATACAACACCATCAACTGAATCAGTCAATACAAAATTATCATATTGCTTTTTTTTTTAGACAAGGGTTCTATTCTCCTCTCTTGAAAATGTTCACCTAACTTGCTACCAAGTATGGCATGAATGAAGCTCTCACCTTCAGAAGCCTGCTCTCACTGCCAAACCTGCTCTCTACCTGAGTGTCAAATATCAAACATGCTCAAATGCAATACAATACTCTAAGCTATTTCGTCTCACTTATCATTGGCTCTATGTGCCTCCGCTTCACTAATCTGTGAACAATTAGTTTGCATCCCATACTTAGGACAACAGTATCACTTACAGTAATTCCATCTCAACCCTAATTTATAGCCTACCCATCATTGAAACATTGATTTACAATTAACATGTTGTAACAAGTCAACCAAATCTTACACAATCCATACACTTACTCCAAAAGAGGTCCCCAAAGCCCGTCCTCCAATGGCAGTGCCAGGAAACTTGGCAGTCATCTTAGAAAATTAACAAAAATAATGTATATCTCGATTCAGTTTTTATTGTCATTAGCACATTGTTTTAATTATGCCATATCTTGACTAACTGTCAAGACACTGTTATAACACTCACGGGGGGCCTTCTCCCATGGCTTGTTCTGACTGCTTGCTGAAAACCAGCATCATTGTCAAGTTCCTGTTAAACACAAGACATGAATTCAACAATACTATAATCAATCACAAATTCAGTATGAAACAAGAGTGAAGATGAGGTAGTACCCTAATTCAAAAGAAGACACTAGGCTAGCTATAGCTACCTCTGAATCAAATGTTGGATTGTAGTCGTTGTAGCCCGAGTACAGGTCATCTTCCTCAGCAGCAAGATGTACATGTTCCATCTACTCTGCGATTCTGTCAGGCCCAGGAGAAGGAGGGCAACAACACAGGTTTAAGATTTGATGCATGAGCATAGCTATAAAGAATCTGAATGGCATTCACTCACAAGGCAAACTATTGGGCAGTTCATTAGATTAACCGTTAGCTGGCCAGCTAGCTAGCTCAGCATTTCATTAGCTAACGTAACTAGGTAGCTAGCTCATTAACGCTAACGTTCACTAGAAAACGTACAATTACGAATGGATACTGACTACTTACAGTCAACACTTCTATGGAATGGAGTAGATGCTGTCTTCTCTAACTAAATAAAACAATATAGCTATATTGAAACGAGAGAACAATATATTGATTTCAAGTATGATATTCTCGGAGGAGAATATATTGTTGGGATTTTGTTGTCATTTCTGAGCGTTCAGATCCCACAATGCAAAGCTACATGGGTGGTATTGAATTGGTTTTCAAGCCTCGATTGGTTTGAATGTACGTCAATCATAGTAGGGTTTGGTTTTGCGCAATACAATTGGATAAGAGCGCCCAATTCCGTTACTAGGATACAGTAAGTGAGGAAGCTGCGCCACCAGTTTCATCAAAAAAAAGAAATTCCAATGTTATCAGCTTAGAATGTAAAAAGTAACGTTATAGCTAACCAAGAGCATTACCACATGATTAATAAAATAATGCAAATCGGTGAACGATTAATTTTCTTCGCTCGTTTTTATTTTGAACATTTTGGGGCACTGTACAATCACGTGACTAGCAGGGGCGTTTCAGGATTTGCATGCAGAGTATAATTGGGAAAACAGTGAGTCTTCAATGCAGCAATAACTTACTGCTAATCAAAACTGCAAAATGAGTTCCTCTGAGGGGAAGACCATTACCGTTATTGGCAGGTGAGCAGAAGCCTCACATTTCACGAGTTTTATCTGTCAAAAAAATATTGCTCCAGCAACAAACGTTAGCTAGCGTTATGTGCTAATGCACGTGATTTTCGAGCTGAGCAGTGTCAGCTGATCAGTAACTAAACAAATTAGTTCATTTTCATGACACTGAACATTTGGCGTTACAGATATTGTATTCATATTTGTTGTGCATGTGTCAAGACAAGAGAGAAAAGCCTTTGTATTTTCTAGCCTATAACGTAACTCACTGAATGTGCCATATCAGAATGTAGTGCTAGTAGCCATAGGCATATCATGTAATGTAATCTGAATTTAAATGTATTTTTGTCTAGATTCAAATGTAGAATGTAATATAATAGTGTTTCCAAACGTATATGGTCATCATATGGCTATTTTGATGACGCCGACAGTTTCTTTCAAGAACAGGCATCACTTTTTTTTGTTGCCTTTGTTTTCTTATTCCTGCCTCCTTCTCTAGTCACCATGTCTGGACAATCCTGAAGGATGTTGAGTGCACAAAAATGTCTGCTCTGTCACTGTTGAACCATGCCACCCTTTTTTTGGAATTAGAGCCACAAATGCTTGTCATACAACAAGGTTTACATTTTGGTTCATGATTAAATTAACATGTTCACCTTTGGACTGACCCCCAAATCGAGGATCACTCCTATTATGGGCATCGAAAGTCACATTTACATAATTTAGCAGTCACCACCCCCTTTCAAAATGCCTTACAGCCTGAAATGAAAGCACATAAAATCAGACTTTTTCCAGGTTTATTTACACAGTAACCCACAATATCCAAGTGGAAAACAAATAAAAAAAAAAACTTTGAAAATTAATACTAATTAAAACAGTAAAATACCCTATTTGGATAAGTGAACACCCCCGAGTTAATACTTGGTGGAACCATCTTTTGCTTGAATTACAGCCATGAGTCTCTTTGAATACGTCTCTACTAACTTTGCCCACCTAGACTGTGCAATATTTACCCACCTAGACGTTGCAATATTTGCCCATTCTTCCTTGCAGAATTGATGAAGCTCAGTCAAATTGCATGGTGACTGCTCATGGACCGCACTCAAGTCGTTCCACAGATTCGATGGGATTTAGGTTGGGGCGCTGACTAGGCCACTCAAGGACATTCACCTTCTTGTCCTTCAGCCACTGTACAGTTGCTTTGGCGGTGTGCTTTGGGTCATTGTCATGTTGAAACGTGAACCATCTTCCCATTTTCAACTTCCTGGCAGAGGGCTGCAGGTTCTCCTCAATAATCTGCATACATTTCCCAATGGGTGGCCCCAGAGGGAATCAAACCCACCACCCTAGTGTTACAAGTGCCATGCTCTAACAACTGAGCCACACAGGACTACTTGGTGGTTAGGGATTTTATTTCTCATCAAAAAGTATACGCAGACTTGTTAAAATGCCAGGTTTTTGTGATGTAAAAGAATGAGACAAAGATATGTCAGAACGTTTTCCACTGTTAATAATGTGAACAATTCAATTGAAAAACAAACTGAAATCTTCGAGGGGGAAAAATAAAAACCTTACAATAACCTGGTTGCATAAGTGTGCACATGCTCTTATAACAGGGGATGTGGAGGTGTTCAGAATTAACCAATCACATTCAAACTCATGTTAAATAGAAGTTATTACACACCTGCCATCATTTAAAGTGACTGATTAATCACAAATAAAGTTCAGCTGTTCGAGTAGGATTTTCTTGACATTTTCTTAGTTGCATCTCAGAGAAAAAGCCATGGTCCGCAGACAGCTTCCAAGGCATCAGAGGGATATCATTGTTGAAAGATAGGAGTCAGGTGAAGGGTACAAAATAATTTCCAAAGCATTACATATACCATGGAACACAGTGAAGACAGTCATCATCAAGTGGAGAAAATATGGCTCAGAGACATTACCAAGAACTGGACGTCCCTCAAATTTATGAAAAGATGAGAACTGGTCAGGGAGGCTTCCAAGAACATTAAAGGAACTGCAGGAATTTCTAGCAAGTACTGGCTGTGTGCTACATGTGACAACAATCTCCCGTATTCTTCATATGAATGGGGTAGGGTGGCAAGACAGAAGCCTATTCTTACAAAGAAACATCCAAGCCCGGCTGAAGTTTTCAAAAACAAACATCAAGTCTCCCAAAAGCACGTGGGAAAATGTGTTATGGTCTGATGAAACCAAGGTTGAACTTTTTGGCCATAATTCCAAAAGGTATGTTTGGCACAAAAACACTGCACATCGCCCAAAGAACACCATACCCAGAGTGAAGCATGGTGGTGGCAGCATCATGCTTTGAGGCTGTTTTTCTTCAGTTGGAACCGGGGCCTTAGTCAGGGTGGAGGGGAATTATGAACAGTTCCAAATACCAGGCAATTCTGGCACACAAACTTCAGGCGTCCATTAGAAAGCTGAAGATGAAGTTCACCTTTCAGCACGACAACGACCCAAAGCACACATCCAAATCCACAAAAGCATAGCTTCACCAGAAGAAGTTAAATGTTTTGGAATGGACCAGTCAGAGCCCAGACCTGAATCCTATTGAACATCTCTGGGGTGTTCTGAAGAGGGCTGTGCACAGGAGATGTCCTCGCAATCGGACAGATTTGGAGCACTTTTGCAAAGAAGAGTGGGCAAATATTGCCACGTCAAGATGTGCCATGCTAATAGACTCCTACCCAAAAAGACAGTGCTGTAATAAAATCAAAAGGTGCTTCAACAAAGTATTAGTTTTAAGGGTGTGCACACTTAAGCAACCAGGTTGTGAGTTTATTTTTCCCCCTCAAAGATTTTTGTTTTTCAATTGAATTGTTCACGTTATAGGTCACATTAAAGGTGGAAAAAGTGTTGTCACATGTAGCACACAGCCAGTACTTGACAGAAATTCCTGCAGTTCCATTGTTGCTGTAGGCCTCTTGGAAGCCTCCCTGACCAGTTCTCGTCTTTTAAATTGGAGGGACGTCCAGTTCTTGGTAATGTCTCTGTTGTGCTATATATTTTCTCCACTTGATGATGACTGTCTTCACTGTGTTCCATGGTATATGTAATGCTTTGGAAATTATTTTGTACCCTTCTCCTGACTAATATCTTTCAACAATGATATCCCTCTGATGCCTTGGAAGCTGTCTGCGGACCATGGCTTTTTCTCTGAGATACAACTAAGAAAATGTCAGGAAAATCCTACTAGAACAGCTGAACTTTATTTGTGATTAATCAGTCACTTTAAATGATGACAGGTGTGTAATGACTTCTATTTAACATGAGTTTGAATGTGATTGGTTAATTCTGAACACAGCCACATCCCCAGTTATAAGAGGGTGTGCACACTTATGCAACCAGGTCATTGTAAGGTTTTTATTTTTCATTTTTCCTTCTCGAAGATTTCAGTTTGTTTTTCAATTGAATTGTTCACATTATAGGTCACATTAACAGTGGAAAAAGTTCTGACGTGATTTATCTTTGTCTCATTCTTTTACATCACAAAAACATGGCATTTTAACAGGGGTGTATAGACTTTTTATATCCACTGTAGCCATTCCGGGGCAATCCAAATATCCCTCGGGGTACAGTAAAGATTGATGAATGTTGACTCTGTTGTTCTGTGTGTGTTTCAGTGGGCTGATTGGGCGCTCCTGGGCCATGGTGTTTATGAGTGGGGGCTACAGAGTGAAGATCTATGACAACCAGCCAGGCCAGGCTGCCAGGGCCATCCAGGAGGTCAGGTGAGTGCTGGAAAACAAGGCGAAACATTACCAAAATATATCATAACCGCATCGACTCATACATGGTCCTCTGTAGCTCAATTGGTAGAGCATGGCGCTTGTAATGCCAGGGTAGTGGGTTCGATCCCCGGGACCACCCATACGTAAAAATGTATGCACACATGACTGTAAGTCGCTTTGGAAAAAAGTGTCTGCTAAATGGCATATTATTATTATTATTACATAACATGCATGACCAAAATACCCCTCTGTCCTCTTTTCCACTCACACCGAAGACACACCAAAAAACATGATCAAATGTTATTTGCCACATGCGCCGAATACAACAGGTGTAGACATTACAGTGAAATGCTTACTTACAAGCCCTTAACCAGCAATGCAATTTTGTAAGTTTTTAAAATATATTTTTTAAAGTGGTAAGTAAAAAAAAATTAAGCAAATAACTAAAGAGCAGCAGTAAAATAAAATAACAGTATGGAGGCTATATACAGGGGGGTACCAGTGCAGAGTCAATGGGCGGGGGCTCCGGCTAGTCGAGGTAATTGAGGTAATATGTACATGTGGGTAGATGACGAGATGACACAGCGCTTTAGGTGAACATGGGCCTCTTCCCTGTGGTGTTTCTATTATATGTAACAAAATGTAACTTTAACCCAGTGTATTTTGAGCTCAAGGTTCTGGAAGATGGGAAAAGGTTCTTAGAGTGACATTTGTAATAATAATGAATAGTTGATTGGATAATAATATTTCTACCAACTGAGCTACTCAAAGCGCTTTACATAGTAAGGGGGGAATGCACCTCATCCACCACCAATGCGGGGACCATTTTTGTGCCAGAATGCGCACTGCACGTCAGCTAACAGGTGGAGAGGTGAGGAGTGATATATGCCAATTAGGAATGAGTGGTGCAGCGGTCAAAAGCACTGCATCTTAGTGCTAGAGGCGTCACTACAGACCCCGGTATCACAATCCGGCCGTGATTGGGAGTCCCATAGGGCGGTGCACAATTGGCCCAGCGTCGCCGGGATAGGCCGTCATTGTAAATCAGAATTTGTTCTTAACTGACTTGCCTAGTTAAATAAAGGTTATATATATATTTATTAGGTGGCCATGATGGAATGGGGCCATGTTAGGAATTTAGCCATGACATTGGGGTTAACGCACCATTTGTAGGGAGAGGACTACTAGCCTATTCCAGAAATGCTCCGTTATGATTCATTTAGAAGAGTTTCACATCCAGCATCATACAGACACTTTGAGGTTGGGCACTAAAAATATTCCAAACAATCTGCTAGTCGAATAAATAGCTATTTGCTACTGTATATCCTAACTGTTTGAGACACTGTATGTCTTGTTTGCTTCAAGTCTATACCAGTACTTCCCAACAGATATGTGAAGTATGTCAAACATCTGGTGGTCCCAGAGGAGAGGGTTTGGAAACCTTGTTCTATATACCATACTGTTTTGCAATGTATAATGAGATTTCCTCAACTGCACATTGGTTAAATAAAATAAACCTTTTTGGACTTTAGGGGGCATTCTTGATCTTTTATTTTCTACAGGTAACTGCCAAAATAAAGGAAACACCAGTATTAAAGCCTGGTTCACATTTGCAGTTTGAAGTGACTCAAATCCAATTTATTTGCATATCTGATTTGAAATTTGTGAATGTGCTAGAAAGCTAAACAGCTACATAGCTATCTAATTGACTGCTGTGGCTAGCCTAAAATGACTTGTTTTGAAAGTTGGATCATGTTATCCTTACCCCTATGATTTTGAACATTCAAAGCAACTGGGAAACACCCATGGCAGGCATTGTCACCTTAGCTTGCTACATAACTTCTGAGCGACAGGAAGCACAAGCACCACCACCAATCAGCCTACACCACTGCACACACACCTGTTGTTACTATGACAACTAGCGTAGCCTTGTCAGCAAATTACTGCTGTCTGAACACACACAAATCCGATTTGGTCACTTGTAACTTGCTGTTTGGACAGTCAGTAGATCAAAACGGATTTGAAAAACAAAACTGATTTGAGCATTAAGGCCTGCAGTGTGAACAAGGCTAAAAGTGGAACTGACAGCATTTTAGCAACATGAAATGTTATTCAAATCTGTTCATATAAACCCCCAGGAAGAATATGACAACTTTTTATTTATTTTCTGACAAGCGAGCACTTAGATATAGTCCTTTTCACGTTTTCATAAATTCTTAGAATACTAAGGCAAATTCTATAGCAATATAGAGTGGGAAAGCAGCCATGTGTTTGGACAATTAATAGACACTGCAGTAAATAAAACCTAATAAAAACATCTGTCTCGTCCAGGACCAGAGTCTACGCAGCCGGTGCACCATAGCCAATCGGAGCTTCAGTAGGCCTTTATGCAAATAAGCCATTTGCCACACGGGCCTGCCATCATTCAATTTGAACTGGACTGTGTGTTTACAGGCAGTAGCAACAGTGTGACTTTAGATCATTAGAACGCATTCGCAAAAAGTCACAAAATTGGATTTCTGTAAATACCACGGGAGTCCTCATACATTTGGGAACTTTACAGTCCTATTGATCAAACAACCATGAACAGGTAGGCTCTCTCTCCCTCAGTTATGCACATCAACAACAAGATCAACAACTAATGCTAGCTAAAGCGAGATGAGCTCAAATCTAACGAGGGAATATTCGATAAACCCTCAAACTTTTTCAGCTAGTTGGCCGTCAAAATTGCACTTATAAACGATGGGGAATAGTAGCCTGCTCATCCATCTACAGCTTGCCTGCCAATGCATGCTTGTCCCAACCAAGCACCCAAGCTAACTAGCTAAAGTTGGCTAGCTTCTAGCTAGCTACTTCCAGACACAAATGAGAGAACATCTCACTCTGACCATTTTACTCAGCCTTGCAGAGCTGGTTAGGCTGTTTACATGTAATCTGGAGCTAGCTAGCAAAGCAATTCGCATTTCTTGCTAGCTAACCAAATGACACCTACATCTCTAGCTGTGTAGCAAAGATTTGTATAACTAACCCAAGATAGACCACAGCCTGTCGTTTCCAATGGGAACAAATGAGTCATAGTGGGCAGAACAAGCAAGGAAGTGGGCAGAGCCAAGCACAAGCTAGCGAGATCCTATTGGCACGTTCTAGCAAACATTTGCATATTTCCGTTAGGGAACGCCTACTCTGTGAAGTGCGCATGTGCAATAACTCAATACCCCTTTGTACTCCTAAACAACGCAATTTTTTTTACACTTTGGCAAAGGGTAAAGTCTGCAAAACTTAGTCCACTCTGTTCATAACAGATTCTAGTTTTGGTTACAGAAAACTGTATTAAGATCAAATATTTCATCGATGAGAAAATGTGCACAATGTCAGCCAAAATCCATCTCGTTGCATATTCTCCCACTGCCGGCTACTGGGCTTTCTCTCACTACCAGTGGATGCTTCACATTTATATATCCGGTGAAATATCTGTCTCATTGTTCTATCTGTGTAGCCACTGAAAAACTATATGAGGGGAAAAAGTCAGTCACTCACCCACCCACTTCTCCAATGACATTACATCCTCCTAGCAGCTAGCTAGTGATCTAGCTAACGTTAGGCTCCGTGTTTTTAGCTTGCTACATAAATAGATACACTAGCCTATTAGCCACGTGACTTGTGATCATTTCCCTTGCTAGTTTGATTGTATTGACATTCCCAGCCTTAGTTACATTTGTCAGTTTTTGTCCAAAATTTGTCCATTGAAACTGAAACAGTGCATCCTAAATGGAGGCAGCAAACAATGTACTAGGCCAGCTGTGATTTACAACCTGATAGCAATATTTTTTTGGACTACCAAGAAATGTATTGGTGAATTACATTAATCATGCATTGAACTGCATCCATCTATTCTGCTGACAATGCCTTACTGTACGTCTATTTTGAAAACATCTTATGAAGTTGTTTTTGTAGCATAAACTGGGAATTTGATATTTTTGACTGATATTATGATTGTCTGTTTGTTTCATATCTGCAAAGTAGTTAAAACGCTGTCAGTTCCACTTTAAGTGTCTTAATAGGGCATTGGGCCACCACAAGCCGTCAGAACAGCTTCAATGTGCCTTGGCATAGATTCTACAAGTGTCTGGAACTCTATTGGAGGGATGCGACCCCATTCTTCCTCAAGAAATTCCATGATTTGGTGTTTTGTTGATGGTCTCAGGCACCACTCCAGAATCTCTGTCACGAGAATTTCTATCTCTAATTAATCAAACTTAATGCTCTGAATAATTCCCAGAGGGTGTAAGGCTCTGGTTTAATCATGAATTAAACAAAGGTCCACAACCAGCAAGAATGATCTGTATGTTTAATCATGGAGAGCTCTGCCGCCAAAATACACATATACAGCTTTTATACTTCACACAAAGGCACTTTGCTCCGCCCATCTTTAGGAGGCCTTTAACCAGTTTCTCAGTCCCCTTCATCCTGGAATGTTTGTCTCAGCAGTTTCTAACTCACCCCCTCTGTTAGTGGGTTTATAATGATAACCCTAACACAGTTCACACAGTCATCATCAGTATTGGGGTTAACAATTTTAGTCATAATCATAATTCCTCTATCAGTCTACCCTTTGACTAAATTTTTACACCCTTAGGATAAATGTATTTACAAGCATGACCAATCTGATCTTCATACGTCAGAACTAATAAACATTTCATCCAATTGCGGTCTTTCAGGGTCAAAGTCCTCGTCATCCACCAAGCCTGGAGGATCATTTTTCCCACTCCCCTGGTCAGAGTCCGGAGTCGGTCCATCTCTCATCATTTGTTGAGATACTGCATTCACCAACGCCTTACTCACCAATCCCCGGACACAGGGAACAAGACAACAATCACATAATACAAGAATACCCATACAAACGCTGCTATGGTTTTCCATTTACCAGACATTTCATCAAACCACCCTATCCACGATGTACTAACTTCTGAGTTCTCAGCTCATTCTTCACTTAGAGCAGTTAATTCTGCAAGAGCTCTGGTGACCGTCCCATCCGGTGTGGTGTTGTTAGGGATAAATGTGCAACAATGGCTTACCATTCTATAGACACCGCCCCTTTCTGCCTGATCTAGAGCCAACCTCTTTTCCTAAGTCATGAGTGAGATGGCGGATAATTGTTCAGAGATCCCTTTTACTGCATCCCTAGTCTGGCCAATAAATAATTGTTGGTCGTAATAGATATACAGTGGGGAGAACAAGTATTTGATACACTGCCGATTTTGCAGGTTTTCCTACTTACAAAGCATGTAGAGGTCTGTCATTTTTATCATAGGTACACTTCAACTGTGAGAGACGGAATCTAAAACAAAAATCCAGAAAATCACATTGTATGATTTTTAAGTAATTATTTAGCATTTTATTGCATGACATAAGTATTTGATACATCAGAAAAGCAGAACTTAATATTTGGTACAGAAACCTTTGTTTGCAATTACAGAGATCATACGTTTCCTGTAGGTCTTGACCAGGTTTGCACACACTGCAGCAGGGATTTTGGCCCACTCCTCCATACAGACCTTCTCCAGATCCTTCAGGTTTCGGGGCTGTCGCTGGGCAATACGGACTTTCAGCTCCCTCCAAAGATGTTCTATTGGGTTCAGGTCTGGAGACTGGCTAGGCCACTCCAGGACCTTGATGCTTCTTACGGAGCAACTCCTTAGTTGCCCTGGCTGTGTGTTTCGGGTCGTTGTCATGCTGGAAGACCCAGCCACGACCCATCTTCAATGCTCTTACTGAGGGAAGGAGGTTGTTGGCCAAGATCTTGCGATACATGGCCCCATCCATCCTCCCCTCAATACGGTGCAGTCGTCCTGTCCCCTTTGCAGAAAAGCATCCCCAAAGAATGATGTTTCCACCTCCATGCTTCACGGTTGGGATGGTGTTCTTGGGGTTGTACTCATCCTTCTTCTTCCTCCAAACACGGCGAGTGGAGTTTAGACCAAAAAGCTCTATTTTTGTCTCATCAGACCACATGACCTTCTCCCATTCCTCCTCTGGATCATCCAGATGGTCTTTGGCAAACTTCAGACGGGACATGTGCTGGCTTGAGCAGGGGGACCTTGCGTGCGCTGCAGGATTTTAATCCATGACGGCATAGTGTGTTACTAATGGTTTTCTTTGAGACTGTGGTCCCAGCTCTCTTCAGGTCATTGACCAGGTCCTGCCGTGTAGTTCTGGGCTGATCCCTCACCTTCCTCATGATCATTGATGCCCCACGAGGTGAGATCTTGCATGGAGCCCCAGACCGAGGGTGATTGACCGTCATCTTGAACTTCTTCCATTTTCTAATAATTGCGCCAACAGTTGTTGCCTTCTCACCAAGCTGCTTGCCTATTGTCCTGTAGCCCATCCCAGCCTTGTGCAGGTCTACAATTTTATCCCTGATGTCCTTACACAGCTCTCTGGTCTTGGCCATTGTGGAGAGGTTGGAGTCTTTTTGATTGAGTGTGTGGACAGGTGTCTTTTATACAGGTAACGAGTTCAAACAGGTGCAGTTAATACAGGTAATGAGTGGAGAACAGGAGGGCTTCTTAAAGAAAAACTAATAGGTCTGTGAGAGCCGGAATTCTTACTGGTTGGTAGGTGATCAAATACTTATGTCATGCAATAAAATGCAAATTAATTACTTAAAAATCATACAATGTGATTTTCTGGATTTTTGTTTTAGATTCCGTCTCTCACAGTTGAAGTGTACCTATGATAACAATTACAGACCTCTACATGCTTTGTAAGTAGGAAAACCTGCAAAATCGGCAGTGTATCAAATACTTGTTCTCCCCACTGTAATTAATCCAATCCACAATTTTGTTTATTGTCACCCACCAAAAGAACGTGATAGTAAATCCTTCCCCTAATTCTTTCATAGCTTGGTATCCATCCGGTACCCCCCTTGATACCCCAATCGCATCCATCTAAATAGGGCTATTTGTCACGAGAATTTCAAATCAAATCAAATCAAATCAAACTTTTATTGGTCACATGCGCCGAATACAACAGGTGCAGACATTACAGTGAAATGCTTACTTACAGCCCTTAACCAACAGTGCATTTATTTTAAACAAAAAAGTAAGAATAAAACAACAACAAAAAAGTGTTGAGAAAAAAAGAGCAGAAGTAAAAATAAAGTGACAGTAGGGAGGCTATATATACAATAGAATAAAGTGACAGTAGGGAGGCTATATATACAGGGGGGTACCGTTGCATAGTCAATGTGCGGGGGCACCGGCTAGTTGAGGTAGTTGAGGTAATATGTACATGTGGGTAGAGTTAAAGTGACTATGCATAAATACTTAACAGAGTAGCAGCAGCGTAAAAAGTATGGGGTGGGGGGGCAGTGCAAATAGTCCGGGTAGCCATGATTAGCTGTTCAGGAGTCTTATGGCTTGGGGGTAGAAGCTGTTGAGAAGTCTTTTGGACCTAGACTTGGCACTCCGGTACCGCTTGCCGTGCGGTAGCAGAGAGAACAGTCTATGACTAGGGTGACTGGAGTCTTTGACAATTTTGAGGGCCTTCCTCTGACACCGCCTGGTATAGAGGTCCTGGATGGCAGGGAGCTTTGCCCCTGTGATGTACTGGGCCGTACGCACTACCCTCTGTAGTGCCTTGCGGTCAGAGGCCAAGCAGTTGCCATACCAGGCGGTGATGCAACCAGTCAGGATGCTCTCGATGGTGCAGCTGTAGAATTTTTTGAGGATCTGAGGACCCATGCCAAATCTTTTTAGTCTCCTGAGGGGGAATAGGCTTTGTCGTGCCCTCTTCACGACTGTCTTGGTGTGTTTGGACCATGATAGTTCGTTGGTGATGTGGACACCAAGGAACTTGAAGCTCTCAACCTGTTCCACTGCACATATTGAATTTCTATCTCTAATTAATCAAACTTAATGCTCTGAATAATTCCCAGAGGGTGTAAGGCTCTGGTTTAATCATGAATTAAACAAAGGTCCACAACCAGCAAGAATGATCTGTATGTTTAATCATGGAGAGCTCTGCCGCCAAAAAACACATATACAGCTTTTATACTTCACACAAAGGCACTTTGCTCCGCCCATCTTTAGGAGGCCTTTAACCAGTTTCTCAGTCCCCTTCATCCTGGAATGTTTGTCTCAGCAGTTTCTAACTCACCCCCTCTGTTAGTGTGTTTATAATGATAACCCTAACACAGTTCACACAGTCATCATCAGTATTGGGGTTAACCATTTTTGTCATAATCATAATTCCTCTATCAATCTCCAATAAGTCTTCAATTGGGTTAAGACCTGGTTACTGAGACACACAGAGAGAGAGACACACACACCCTTTAAACCCCATATGATCCTTTGAGACCCCTATTTCAAAGTCACTAACCAGGTTTCCATCCAAACTTTTTGAGAGTAAAGTACATGTCAGATAAAAAAATATAATGACAGGCCTGATTGAAACAGAACATTTGTTGGTAAACTTTCCAAATGTCGATAAAACAAAATACGCTAGACAAGGTGGGATCTTTTTTTGTCAGTAAAATGTATTATGCGACAAATGTTGGTGGAAGCACTTTTATGCGCAAATATTAATATAATAACCATTTATATCGAGGTAAACTTGGAGTCACGCAATGACATGTTGTGTGGTCCTGCAGTGTATTATGTTTATTAGGCTACAGATGAAATAAGTGATGAACTTCACAGGGTGGTGAAAGTGCAAGGTGATGAGCTTGACGCTCCTTTCCAATAAATATCGAGGGTCTTATTCTAGTGACATGATCATCGATGCTTGGCTGCCGTTTTGACAAATAAAAATAATCTTGCTTTTTTGTCGAGCTGTTGGCTAGAGTGCACATGCCAATACCAGAGTGGGCACACTCGCTATAACGCAATTTCTTTGTGAGAGAACCATCAGTAGAGTTGAAAATGCGATGGAAACACATTTAACTTGTATTTTTTATTCAGTACATGGAATTTAACAGCAAAAGTTATTTTTATGTGCACTACATCATCACGCACAGCCTTTTATCCGCAACAAATCAATTTGATGGAAACACATCTCTGGTGGGAAAATGCACATATTGTTTTTATGCAGAGTTTCACCAATTGGATGGAAACCTAGCTACTGAGATCTCTTCTTCTAGCCATGGTAGCCAGAATAATGGGCAACTGGGCATTTTTATACATTACCCTAAGCATGATGGGATGTTAATTGCTTAATTAACTCAGGAACCACACCTGTGTGTAAGCACCTGCTTTCAATATATTTTGTATCCCTCATTTATTCAAGTGTTTCCTTTTATTTTGGCAGTTACCTGTATCTTGCTTGCTGGTTACCTTTTAAACAAGCTTTCACACACCACTGAAACAACTACACATTCATTCCCTCATACCACAGGCCTCACCATAGAGCTACCGGAAAGATATGTTATTTACACTCAAAGGTTTTCATTGAATTTCCGGTGTAGCACAGTTGTTAGTCCCGTGTAGCTCAGTTGGTAGAGCATGGCGCTTGCAACGCCAGGGTTGTGGGTTCGATTCCCACGGGGGGCCAGTATGATTTATTAATTAATTATGCACTCACTAACTGTAAGTCTCTCTGGATAAGAGCGTCTGCTAAATGACTAAAATGTAAAAATTCACTTTGAAATACAGTCTGTTTGGATCGTTGAGTGATTTGATCACTATTCAAAGCCCGAGAAACCATAGCATAGGGAATGCACCGTTGCATTTGGTATTGGCTAGAAAACCAACCCGACAACGTTCAGTCTCACAGTATCACAGTGTATTCATTATGTATTAAGGTGGCACTTCATATTCCACAGGTCACTGAGTTTTCTGTGTAGTTATGGGTTATTGAAAAAGCTTTTGGGGTTTATGTGTGTATGTTTGCACACTTGCTTGCGTGTATGTGTGTTAACCCTTTCTCCCTCTCTCTGCTGGCCTAGGAAACAGCTTGAGGATCTGCAGGAAGAGTGCATGCTGAGGGGGGATCGGAGTGCCTCAGAGCAGCTAGCCCTACTGAGCAGCCACGATGACCTCTGCCAGGCACTAGAGGGAGCCTTCTTCATCCAGGTACAGTAGGATGACTGGTATGAGTATCATCTATGAGAAAAATGCTGGAATGGCAATAACACTTACCTAGGGTGCACAGGGCCGTAGGAGTTTAAAAACTCTAAAATGCCATTTGGTGAACAGCAAAAACAAGCAAAAATTACCCTAGCCATTATCACATTGGTTGCTGTAGCTTCATTCACCTCAGTCGATCTACAAACACATAGCCTATTAGTTATACAATTAGCCGCTGCACATTAACTCCGCGCCAGGATTAAAAACTATAATTTTGTACATACAGAGGGATCTGTTAGCATAAAAATAATTGTATTAACAAAAGGTAAACAAATATGTTTGCTTTACATAACCTTTGTTGTTGTTGCTGTTTTACAGCTAATTTCCTGCAATTCTAAACATTTTGCAATGGGGTGGGGATAATTCTTTGCAGTTTTAAAAGCTAATTTCCTACAAATCTACACAATTTGCCATGACTTATGCCATCTTAATATGTGCCCAGTCGGTAATTTGGCCATGACTACTACAAGCTCAGATAGCTGGCTAAGTAGACTAATTTACCAATCTAAAACATTTTAACTGGCAAGGGCTAATTGAGTGACTGTCAGTGAGTGACATATAACAAGAGGAAATCTGCTGATGCACAACCAAGTTTCGAAATTGCACTTTGTGTATTACTATTCTAACTCGCAACAGTAAGTTGAGACCCCAACTGAGTTCCCAAAAACAGTTAATATATATTATTTTTCTTAATTCTAAAAAATTAGAGGCCCTGAGGGTGCATCTCAATAGTCTAGAACAAAAGCCAGGAGACACTTAGGATACCAAGGAGGTTTGCCCATCCCTTCACCAGATCTGCCCATCCCTTGACTACATAGAGCCAATTTGCCCCTACCTAGACAGGTTGGCTATCAGAGCTTCCCTGTAATTGAAGGTGTAGGAGGATGTGGTATGGGAGAGTCCACATGACTGTTGAATTCATCACAGAGTGGTTAACCATCTCGTCACTCATCTGGTCTTAGTCCCGCTCTACACACGCTCACAAACACACCACGCGAGCCAGGAAGTGTGGTCTTTAAGCCAAAGACAGGAGTCACATTCCATCCGACACACCAATATAGACAACACTGTCTCTCTTTAAGGGAAAGGAAGGCCTGCTCAGTGGGCACATGGGAGATAGGTACATGGTATTACACATAGGTTTAATCATTACAGTGTATCGATTCAAATCATCATGTAATACTGTGGCGGAGAACAATAGAGGGTGTTTTAGAGAGTTACAGGGAAATGCTTCTGGGAAATATTGAGTATCTCCTTTCCCTGTCTGAGACCGCACTTTCCTGGTACAGATACGTTTCCTCACTGAATGCAGTTCACTCAGTGTTTCCCTAGTGTTTTTGTTTTTAGAAACACTGTCAAATCAAATGTATTTGTCACATGCTTTGTAAACCACAGGTGTAGACTAACAGTGAAATGCTTACTTACGGGCCCTTCCCAACAATACAGAGAGAAACATTTTTTTTATAGAAAAATAACAACACAAGGGATAAATACACAATGAGGAATAAATACACAATGAGTAACTATAACTTGGCTATATACAGTACCAGTACCGAGTCGATGTGCAGGAGTACGAGGTAATTCAGGTAGATAAACTCAGCATAAAAAGAAACTCACTGTCAACTGCGTTTATTTTCAGCAAACTTAACATGTATGAACATAACAAGATTCAACAACTGAGACATAAACTGAACAAGTTCCACAGACATGTGACTAGCAGAAATGGAATAATGTGTCCCTGAACAAAGGGGGGGTCAAAATCAAAAGTAACAGTCAGTATCTGGTGTGGCCACTAGCTGCATTAAGTACCGCAGTGCATCTCCTCTTCATGGACTGCACCAGATTTGCCAGTTCTTGCTGTGAGATGTTACCCCACTCTTCCACCAAGGCACCTGCAAGTTCCCGGACATTTCTGGGGGGAATGGCCCTAGCCCTCACCCTCCGATCCAACAGGTCCCAAACCTGCTCAATGGGATTGAGATCCGGGCTCTTCGCTGGCCATGGCAGAACACTGACATTCCTGTCTTGCAGGAAATCACGCACAGAACGAGCAGTATGGCTGGTGGCATTGTCATGCTGGAAGGTCATGTCAGGATGAGCCTGCAGGAAGGGTACCACATGAGGGAGGATGTCTTCCCTGTAACGCACAGCATTGAGATTGCCTGCAATGACAACAAGCTCAGTCCGATGATGCTGTGACACACCACCCCAGACCATGACGGACCCTCCACCTCCAAATCGATCCCGCTCCAGAGTACAGACCTCGGTGTAACGCTCATTCCTTCGATGATAAACGCTAATCCGACCATCACCCCTGGTGAGACAAAACTGCGAATTGTCAGTGAAGAGCACTTTTTGCCAGTCCTGTCTGGTCCAGCGACGGTGGGTTTGTGTCCATAGGCGACGTTGTTGCCGGTGATGTCTGGTGAGGACCTGCCTTACAACAGGCCTACAAGCCCTAAGTCCAGCCTCTCTCAGCCTATTGCGGACAGTCTGAGCACTGATGGAGGGATTGTGTGTTCTTGGTGTAACTGTGGCAGTTGTTGTTGCCATCCTGTACCTGTCCCGCAGGTGTGATGTTCGGATGTACCGATCCTGTGCCGGTGTTGTTACACGTGGTCTGCCACTGCGAGGATGATCAGCTGTCCATTCTGTCTCCCTGTAGCGCTGTCTTAGGCGTCTCACAGTACGGACATTGTAATTTATTGCCCTGGCCACATCTGCAGTCCTCATGCCTCCTTGCAGCATGCCTAAGGCACATTCACGCAGATGAGCAGGGACCCAGGGCGTCTTTCTTTTGGTGTTTTTCAGAGTCAGTAGAAAGGCATCTTTTAGTGTCCTAAGTTTTCATAACTGTGACCTTAATTGCCTACTGTTAGTGTCTTAACGACCGTTCCACAGGTGCATGTTCATTAATTGTTTATGGTTCATTGAACAAGTATGGGAAACAGTGTTTAAACCCTTTACAATGAAGATCTGTGAAGTTATTTGGATTTTTACAAATTATCTTTAAAAGACAGGGTCCTGAAAAAGGAAAGTTTATTTTTTTGCTGAGTTTATGTACATATACAGTACCAGTCAAAAGTTTGGACACTCCTACTCATTCAAGGGTTTTTCTTTATTTTTACTATTTTATACATTGTAGAAGAATAGTGACCAAAAAATTATATATTTTATATTCTTCAAAGTAGCCACCCTTTGCCTTGATGACAGCTTTGCACACTCTTGGCATTCTCTCAACCAGCTTCACCTGGAATGCTTTTCCAACAGTCTTGAAGGAGTTCCCACATATGCTGAGCACTCGTTGGCTGCTTTTCCTTCACTCTGCGGTCCAACTCATCCCAAACAATCTCAATTGGGTTGAGGTCGGGTGATTGTGGAGGCCAGGTCATCTGATTCAGCACTCCATCACTCTCCTTCTTTGTCAAATAGCCCTTACACAGCCTGGAGGTGTGTTGGGTCATTGTCCTGTTGAAAACAAATGATAGTCCCACTAAGCGCAAACCAGATGGGATGATATCGCTGCAGAATGCTGTGGTAGCCATGCTGGTTAAGTGTGCCTTGAATTCTAAATAAATCACTGACAGTGTCACCAGCAAACTACCCCCACACCATCACACCACCTCCTCTATGCTTTACGGTGGGAAATACACATGCGGCGATCATCCGTTCACCTACTCTGCGTCTCACAAAGACACTGCGGTTGGAACCAAAAATCTTACATTTGGACTCATCAGACCAAAGGACAGATTTCCACCGGTCTAATGTCCATTGCTCGTGTTTCTTGGCCCAAGCAAGTCTCTTCCTATTATTGGTGTCCTTTAGTAGTGGTTTCTTTGCAGCAATTCGACCATGAAGGCCTGATTCACGCAGTCTTCTCTGAACAGTTTATGTTGAGATGTGTCTGTTACTTGAACTCTGTGAAGCATTTATTTGGGCTGCAATTTCTGAGGCTGGTATCTCTAATGAACTTATCCTCTGCAACAGAGGTAACACTGGGTCTTCCTTTCCTGTGGCTGTCCTCATGAGAGCGAGTTTCATCATAGTGCTTGATGGTTTTTGCGACTGCACTTGAAGAAACGTTCTTGAAATTGTCTGTATTGACTGACCTTCATGTCTTAAAGTAATGAAGGACTGTCGTTTCTCTTTGCTTATTTGAGTTGTTCTTGCCATAATATGGACTTGGTCTTTTACTAAATAGGGCTATCTTATCTATACCCCCCCTACCTTGTCACAACACAACTGATTGGCTCAAACGCATTAATTCCACAAATTAACTTTTAACAAGGCACACCTGTTAATTGAAATGCATTCCAGGTAAATACCTCATGAAGCTGGTTGAGAGAATGCCAAGAGTGTGCAAAGCTGTCATCAAGGCAAAGGGTGGCTACTTTGAAGAATCTAAAATATAAAATATATTTTAATTTGTTAAAGCAATTTTTTGTTACTACATGATTCCATATGTGTTATTTCATAATTTTGATGTCTTCACTATTATTCTACAATGTAGAAAATAGTACAAATAAAGAAAAACCCTTGAATGAGTAGGTGTGTCCAAACTTTTGACTGTTACTGTAGGTAGGGATGAAGTGACTAGGCAACAGGATAGATAATAAACAGTAGCAGCAGCGTATGTGATGAGTAAAAAGAGTTGGTGCAAAAAGGGTCAATGCAGATAGTTAAATAGTTAAGCAATAGCTCCCCGGACTAACTATTTAGCAGTCTTATGGCTTGGGGGTAGAAGCTGTTCAGGGTTCTGTTGGTTCCAGACTTGGTACACCGGTACCGCTTGCCGTTCGGTGGCAGACAGAACACTCTATGACTTGGGTGATTGGAGTCTTTGACTATTTTTAGGTCTTTCCTCTGACACTGCCTGGTATAGAGGTCCTGGATGGCAAGGAGCTTGGCCCCAGTGATGCACTACCTTCTGCAGCGCCTTGTGGTCGGATGCCGAGCAGTTGCCATACGAAGCGGTGATGCAGCCAGACAAGATGCTCTGCATGGTGCAGCTGTAGAGCTTTTGAGGATCTGAGGGGCCCATTCCAAATATTTTCAGCCTCCTGAGGGGGAAAAGGCATTGTCGTGCGTTCTTCACAACTGAATTGGTGTGTGTTGACCATGATAATTCCTTAGAGTTGTGGACACAGAGGAACTTGAAGCTCTCGACCCGCTCCTCTACAGCCCCATCGATGTGGATGGGGGCGTGCTCGGCCCTCCGTTTCCTGTAGTCTACGATCAGCTCCTTTGTCTTGTTGACGTTGAGGGAGAGGTTGTTGTGCTGGCACCACTTTGCCAGGTCACTGACATCCTCCCTATAGGCTGTCTCATCGTCTTCGGTGATCAGGCCAACCACTGTCGTGTCGTCAGCAAACTTAATGTTGGTGTTGGAGTCGTGCGCTGCCACGCAGTTGTGGGTGAACAGGGAGTACAGGAGGGAACTAAGCACGCACCCCTGAAGGGCCCCAGTGTTGAGGGTCAGCGTGACTGATGTGGTGTTGCCTACCCTCAGCACCTGGGGACGGCCCGTCAGGAAGTCCAGGATCCAGTTCCAGAGGGAGGTGTTCAGTCGCAGGGTACTGAGCTTATTGATGAGCTTGAAGGGCACTAGGGTGTTGAATGCTGAGCTGTAGTCAATGAACAGCATTCTCACGTAGGTGTTCCTCTTGTTCAGGTGGGAGAGGGCAGTGTGGAGTGCAATACAAATTGCGTCGTCTGTGGATCTGTTGGAGTGGGTCCAGGGTGTCTGGGATGATGGTATTGATGTGAGCTATGACTAGCTTTTCAAAGCATTTCATGACTACAGATGTGAGTGCTACGGGGCGATAGTCATTTAGACAGGTTACCTTGGCATTCTTGGGCACAGGGACTATAGTGGTCTGCTTGAAACATGTAGGTATTACAGACTGGGTCAGGGAGAGGTTGAAAATGTCAGTGAAGACACTTGCCAGCTTGTCAGTGCATACTCTGAGGATGCATCCTGGTAATCAGTCTGGCCCCGCGGCCTTGTGAATGTTGACCTGTTTAGTCTTACTCACATCGACTACGGAGAGTGAGATCACACAGTCGTCCGGAACAGCTGGTGCTCTCATGCATGATTCAAAGCGAGCATAGAAGGAATTTAGCTCGTCTGGTATGCTCGCATTACTAGGCAGCTCGCGGTTGGGTTTCCCTTCGTAATCCGTGATGGTTTGCAAGCCCTGCCACATCCGACGAACTTCAGAGCCAGCTTCACTCCTTCATTTATGCTGACCTCATTCTGAATCAATAGGCTTTATAATTGTTTTCCCACTTAAGACTTAAATGAGGAATATCTTCTCCTTTAGGCAAAATGTGTCCCGCCTCAGTTGGTCATTGTTGGTTTTTGTGTCTCTCTTTATGTGAGCGAGCGTCACGAGTTTAATCTGGTGACGTTCAACTTTGTCATTAAGTTATTATTCTACTGTTAAAGGCGTCGTAACTATTGCAAGGGTGACTGACAGACGCACCTTACCTTACCACCACCTTACATTACTGACCTGACACAGACCTGAACCCAATGTTCCCTCAAATATTTTTCTGCAATGAGCAAATGTCAGGTCTGCTGAGCGCAAACTTCAATGTTGTGAAAATTCTATGCAACTTCCAGCGTACATTTACTGTGAACACTGAGGCTGTACCCGCTTTAAGTTACAGTTTCAGACAGTGGTCAAGTAGGCTACTGTGGCTATTTGATCATAATGTAGGCCTACCAGAGTGGCCTACCATTAAAAAACAATGGAGAAAATGCATCCCATAACATTTTAACATGGAAATAGCTGTTCTATCATTCAGCCTACAGTAGCAGCCAATGTGTGGTGTTCAATGTAGGCTTACATTCCATGATACTTTTGATAAAAACATGTGGGGCTTGACATTAACCCATTTATCCACTTGTCCTTCAGACAAGGAACATGTTGCTGTGTTGTTTGATACAAGAAACCACTTTACAAAATAAAAAGCATTATTATTCCCATACCATTAATACAGAGAATCAGACAAATTATGCTACCCTCTGCCTATTGGCTACTTAGCTTATTCAAAATACAACACTACCCCTTTAAGACAAAAAAAAGCTCTTTACCCAACTCGCTTTTCAAAGATGTCTAGAAATGTAAACGTTTTGTGCTCTTGTAGGAAGCAATCACTCCCCCATTGCTGACTACAAATGATCTATAACTGGGCTAATAACTCAATAACTAGCAAAGGGTATGAACAAATGTGCACACGTGGCTACAGGCAGCTCTCGCTTTGATCTCAAAACAAGCGCATCTACGACCGCTCATGCTGTAAACACAGACCAGTTCAAAGTGAATGGCACAGATCCATTTATGGCAATGGTCTATTTGCATATAGGCCTACTACAGCTCTGATTGGTTATGCCAAACCGGTCTGTGTAGAGTATGGGCTGAGTCGTGCGTGTCAATGCAATAGAATCCTACTCTGATGCCTTCTGCTTACAACAAAATCTCTTGCATACATAGTTTTGCATACTAAGTCTTGAATTGTTCGTTTTGTTTCAGTATGTTGCATTGAAAGTGGCTAATATTGCGTTGATTCGATCACAATTCCCACAGTAAAGGGAAACGTTGATAGTGTTAACTAACGGGGAAAACTCTAGAAAGTTGAGAAGTTCAAAGTCGTGCTTCTCTGCGCGGGCTGATATTTATTCTGCATGGCAGTCCAGGGGGAGCTGCGCGCTCCTGCACACGCAGTTTAGAGGGAACATTACCTGCAGCCATTGTGTAGTTAATATAAGCTGGTTAGTTTAGTTAGAAGGTGAAAGAGCATCATGGGGAGGGAGCATCATGGCCTTCAAGACACTTGTCTGTGCATATTATCATGGTGAGCGATGAATTAAACAGGACTACGCACAAGCAGTGTTCTTTTATTAATATATAAGAAGCGATGATATTATCATGTCAAATATATATTTTTTCGATGTGGTTTTTGTGGTACACATAACATTCTCATGACTGGGGACCATGAGAAGTACTGAGGGAAATATATTGTAAACCACCATTCCTTCCATCATTGGAGTTGGACATTTCCCCTTACTGTTCAAATAAAGGGGAACCTCATGTTTGAAGGTTTTCAGTGGAAAACAATATTCCATTTCAGTCTTAAGAAATAGGCAGTATTATAGGAAGATTACATTTTTACATTTTAGTCATTTAGCAGACGCTCTTATCCAGAGCGATTTACAGTTAGTGAGTGCATACATTTTTCATACTGACCCCCGTGGGAAGATGTCATGACATGTCTTTATAACTATGTGCTCAAGACATTAAATCTCATATCATATGCCATAGCTTAGTTAACGACACAGCCGTATAGCTGGGAAAGTAGTTTTTTTACCCAAATAAAAATGGTGTGAAATAGAACAATACAATTTTCCCAGCAGAAAATGTTTCATTTGAAAGTACACCATGTTTGTTCTCATCAGTCTTTACATTGTATTTCTGTATGTCCTAATATTTGTTCATAATGTTGCACTGAAGGTCCCTGTTGGTCCACTGCGATGACCTTAAATCTGTTAAATGTATTAACTTTCCTGTCACATTGTCTCTGATAAACCAACGTGTGTGTCTGTGTACAGGAGTGTGTGTTTGAGGAGATCGAGGCCAAACGAAGTGTCTTCCAGGCGGTGGAGAGTCATGTGGGAGAGGGCGTGATCCTCAGTAGCTCCACCTCCTGCCTGTTGCCTAGCAATGTCTTCTCCCAGGTCCAGAACCGGAAGCGCTGCATCATATCTCACCCGGTCAGTACAGCGCTACCACAAACACCAAGGCTGTGTCCAATATGGCACTCTTTACATGGCACTACTTTTGGCCAAAACCCTGCACAGCATAGGGAACAGGATGCCATTTCAGATTTGCACAAACTCTCTCTCTCCGAGCCAGTACTTTTTTTTGTTTGCACAAGGGAATGACCCATCCATTCCAGCTGTGGCATTTGTAGCCTTCAGGTTCTAATCCCTAGGTTGCAACACTATATTTTATTGCAATCCGTGTTGTTATCCAGCCCTTGTCTAGTCTTAAATAAGTATTATAAACGCTTCTGGACTTTACCCCCTCCCCTTCCCTCAGTCTCCTAACAACTAGCTCAGAAATTCCACCCTTATCATCACCTTGATGCTGAAACACACACACGTGCAGTCCTTCTATGGCCGGAGAGAGACGAGTTCACCTTTACCTGGGAAGGTGCGCGTACGTGCATGTATATGGTGAATGTTTAGCCTAATCCCCCAATGGTTTTACCTCAGTGCCAGTCCTATCAGAGAGGCCTTCACAGCGGACAATGTGTGAGATAGCCCCTGTGTGTATAATGGCTTACAGTGTAATGTGGTCCAACACAGAGAAAGGACAACACACCCTGGATGTGTAGCATAGCATCTCAATAGTCTCAATTAGCTTCCTCCCCCTGTCTCCTCTCCCTCATCTGCACTGATGTGAGGGAGCTGTACTAGTCTACGTCCACCGTATTGTTTATTTATTTTTAATCCTATCAAATAAAGAAAATAGCACGGTTCCCCAACTGGCGGGCCGAATTTGGCCTGCTGGTGGTTTTATTTGGCCAAGTTTTCTGAGCAAAAACAAACTATTTTTATTTTATTGTTGGACATAAAAGACTGTAAAAATACCAAGAAATCAGCTCCAAGTGATTTTAGTTTAAGAAATCTGTTCCCAAGTATTCCCACGCATAAATAAAGTGACACGTGATCATATACAAATGTAAGCAAGGTTTGAAATGATCTGTTTCGGCATCTTGCAGTCTACAAATTATTTGTAATAATTATGTTCCGGCGCGCGGCTGAATCTAGTCGATGATGCCTAGAATAGAGGAAATGAAGAGATGGTCTCTCTCTGTTGTTGTTTTGAGCTGACGAGTTTCGCCCCCTACAGGTGAACCCGCCCTACTACGTGCGTCTGGTGGAGCTGGTGCCACACCCAGAGACATTGCCGGAGGTGATGGACACCACCCATGCCCTGATGACTGCCGTGGGCCAGGCTCCCGTCAGGCTGAAGAAGGAGATTGACGGCTTCGCCCTGAACCGTGTGCAGTACGCCATCATCGCTGAGTCCTGGAGGCTGGTCAAGGTGGGAGGCAGACTGAATACTGTGCAACATACCCTCCTCTCTTATCACTGTATTGGTCTCTTAAATAGTTAGGAACCAAGGGATTATGTATCATGAGTGGAGGTGGATTTGGCTGATGTTGACATTGGCAGTCCTTGTAGACAAGAGTCCCTCAGTCCTTGCAGCTTTGAACTTTGGATCCTTAATACCGGTAGTTCTGTTGATGGTCGTGTTTAAATAGGAGTGGAGGGGGAAGTGTCTGTCAGCTGGCTAATCTCCATGCTATCTTTCTAAAACTGTATCTGTGATACAATGGGGGCTAAATGAACCTCCAGCTCTATTACCACCACACGGATGGAGGATGTGAGGGGATGAATCCTTCCTGGAGACACATGCACTCAACTTAATTAATTGATTGATTGATTTAATTGGGAGATTTGTGTGACAGTTTGAGTTACATACGCGCATCTCAAGTCGAGATTCGTCCCGATGTATTTTATTTCCTAGTGCTTGTTTAAAGTGCTGAACTCTTAGGGCTGGTTTTCAGATCTGAGATTAAGCCTAGTCCTGGACTAAAAACAAGCTCAATGGAGAATATCTATTGAAAGTGATTTTTAGTCTATGAATAAGATTACGATCACTTAATCACTCTGGTTAAACAGCCCTACTGTATGTATGGAGAGCCAACAATGTCCCTTTGATTTTCTATCTACAATCCCACCCCAACAGACTGTTGAACAGGTCATATCACTGTACCAGCCTGATACTGAGGCTAATACCTTGAATGGTACACCACTGTATTCTGCCCTGCTGCACTGTTCACCCCTTCAGACATGAATTGGCTCAGCCACATGGCAGCAGGGAGGATAATGTGTAAGAAATCCCATCACTCATCCCAATGCTGACAGAGAAAAGAGCTAATGGCTGCAATCTAGGGCTTATGTCAATCAGTGAGCTCTATTATCTCAGATGGAAGATCAACCACAGTCCCTCTGTCTTTGTCAGCACACAACTATAATGGAGCAATCCCCTGATTACAAAATGTATTTTTTTGTCTTTTTGGGGGGGGTTAGATTTACAATAGACTCCCCACATTCAGCTGCCTGACACCGTATGCGTTGTCCCTGCAGTACAGTTACAGTACACCTGAATGACAGTGTATCAGATGCTCATGGACCGGTCTGAACTGGTCTCCCAGACCCACCCAGCGCTAACGGCTAGGGTACTGCTATCCTGTAAAAAAAAAACAGTAGTTAACCAGGACAAGAGAAGCACTTACAACAGGAGCTGCTTTTGCCACAACAGCAGGCTAGGAATCAGCTGAAATAGACATGTTCACAAAAAACAAAGGTGTTTGTACATAACCTTTACACTCAATACAGTTAACGAGGCATCATGGATTATGTTTATGTCTTGGTATCCATATAGCCTACCGCCCATCCTCTCATTTTCACTCAAATGGACTGTGTGGGTAGAGTGAGCCAAGCGTGAGAGAGCTGTGTGTACTGTCTAATAGGTGGGTGTGGGGGCAGTAAGGGGAAGATGATGAGGTGTTATCACAGAAATGTGTCCTTGTGAAAAGCCTAGTCGTTAAAGGGACAGAACTAGAGACCATCTCAAGGTGACCAGTCAGTCAGTCAGTCAGTCAGTCACCCTGCTTGCCTTAATCTCTACTCTGTCCACACAGGCACCGACAACATGAGTGTTTTTCCACTGGCTGCCTGAACAGATGATAAGAAAACAAGAGAGCACGGTGGTTATGTGTGTATGAGTATGTGACGGGTGCCTAGTTTTGGTAAGGCTGTGGTTGAGTCGAGAGTTGCACAGATTGAAGATGAAGCCTTTGAGGGCTGCGATGTCGGCAGGCTTCAGCCATCACTGGATCACCTGGTTCAACAAACCATCTCCATTCCTGTTGGCCTCCTGTAATCTACTGGTGGTTATTACAGTAGCGTCTTTGTAAAGTGAAGTATTTATTGATGTGAACCCTAGACTGTATGATGTGAACAGTGAATTGTAAGATTTTCTATGACGTGACACTCACTTCCCTATCCTGGTCATCCATATCAGCAGAAAGAGAGCTATTTTTGCAAGGTTTCCCAATCATATAATTTCAACATTCTTAAAGGAAGTGAAAGCACAAATCATTGTAGATGTATGTTACAAAAAGCAAAGATCAGAATCACATGGTAAGAAGTGCTGAAGTCTCAGATAATTTCCACAGTCACGACGGCTTTGCTTTTGTGGCTCTTTCTCTGGCCTAGTACTGGACATCAAACCTCTCAAGCTTAAAAAAAGAAGGCCTCAGTCATACTTTTGTCAGGTCACTGTCTGCCACTCATTTGGCGATTCCAATTAGCATTGATCTTCATGACCCGTTAAGAGTCAATGGACCCCAACCCAAGAGGATAATTATTCTACTTCCATGGTCTTCCTTGACCTGAAGCATACAACAACAGGGTTTACATCCCAGTGGAATGCACACAGACAGTCGGAACAGGCCGACCTACTCGATTAGCGCTTCAGTCTGGATGTGCATTAGCTTAGCTCTTCAGTCTGAATGTGCATTAGCGTGTAACACTGTAGTGTCTTTAAAGAGTTACTCTCGGCTCATAGACGGGTTAAGTGAGCCTTCAGAGTGAAAGTCACAGCTCTTGTGAGCTCAGTCAGTCCACTCAACAAAGCGGTGTGGTCACGCTCCAATGGAAATCCAATGGAGTCTGTTACTGAGAACGCCGGCGTTGTTTTTAGTTCAGAGAAACGGTGCAGGGAACTGAGCATCTTCACGTTGCATCCATTCCCCACCCCCCCATATGCATCCCATCTGTGTGTAGATATTTACGTCTTAACACTGCCCTGTAGAAACTCAGACGCATGTCTTTATGACATTCCTTACTGAAACGGAGCCAGGCAGTGATTTGTACCTCCTTCTTGTTGAGCTGGTTGCCATCTAGGTGAACCAGCGAAACTGGCTGACCTACTCTGTGTCCTCCAGCTAGTGATTTATATGGGTTAATGTTTAGTATCCCAGTATTGACTGAACATGAATGGTAGTTAAAGAAATTGTATGGAACCTTTGTGGAGGAATAGTGCTAAACTTAAGCAATAAGGCCAGAGGATATGTGGTATATTGACCATATACCACAAACCCCCGAAATGCTGTATTGCTATTATAAACTGGTTACCAACGTAATTTAAAACAGTAACAATTAGATTTTTGTCATACCCGTGGTACACGGTCTGATATACCATGGCTTTCAGCCGATCAGCATTCAGGGCTCGAACCCCATACAGTGCCGTGAAAAAGTATTTGCCTCATTTCTGATTTTCTCTATGTTTGCATGTTTTTTTTAATACTATATGATATCAGATATTCAACCAATACCTAATAATAGGTCAAGGCAACCTGAGTAAAAAAAAAAAAAAAGTATACTTATTTCATTTATTTAACAAAGTTATGCATCACCCAATTCCCCTGTGGTTGAAAAAGTAATTGCCCCCTTACACTCAATAACTGGTTGTGCCACCTTTAGCTGCAATGACTGCAACCAAATGCTTCCTGTAGATGTTAATCAGTCTTTCACATTGCTGTGGAGGAATTTTTGCCTAATCTTGCATGCTGAACTGCTTGCATGCAGAACTGCTTTAAGTCAGCGACATTTGTGGGTTTTCAAGCATGAACTGCTCGTTTCAAGTCCTGCCACAACATCTCAATTGGGATTAGGTCTGGACTTTGACTAGGCCATTCCAAAACTTAAGATTTGTTGCTTTTTAACCATTTTCATGTAGACTTGATTGTTTTGGATCATTGTCTTGCTGCATGACCCACCTGCGCTTCAGCTTCAGCTCACAGATGGATGGCCTTACATTCTCCTGTAGAATTCTTTGATACAGAGCATAATTCATGGTTCCTTCTATTAAGGAAAGTCGTCCAGGTCCTGAGGCAGCAAAGCATCCCCAACCCATCACACTACCACCACCATTACTTGACCGTTGGTATAAGGTTCTGACTGTGGAATGCAGTGTTTGGTTTTCGCCAGACATAATGGGACCCATCTCGTCCAAAAAGTTGACTCAAGTTAGCCAAAAAGCACCTGGATGATCAAGACTCTTGGAAGAATGTTCTATGGACAGATTAGTCAAAATTTTAACTTTTTGGACGACAGGGGTCCCATTATGCCTGGCGAAAACCGAACACTGTAACATTCCACAGTAAGAACCTCGCATGGTGGTGGTAGTGTGATGGTTTGGGGATGCTTTGCTGCCTCAGGACCTGGACTACTTGCCTTAATAGAAGGAATCATGAATTCTGCTCTGTATCAGAGAATTCTGCAGGAGAATGTCAGGCCATCCGTCTATGACGGAGCTGGGTCATGCAGCAAGACAATGAGCCAAAACACACAATCAAGTCTACATGAAAATGGCTAAAAAGTAACATATTTTAAGTTTTGGAATGGCCTAGTCAGAGTCCAGACCTAATCCCAATTGAGATGTTGTGGCAGGACAGTTCATGCTTGAAAACCCACAAATGTCGCTGAGTTAAAGCAGTTCTGCATGGAAAAGTGGGCCAAAATTCCTCCACAGCGACGAGAGAGACTGATCAACAACTACAGGAAGCGTTTGGTTGGAGTCAATGCAGCTAAAGGTGGCACAACCAGTTATTGTCATAAGCGTCAGTGAAATGCGGTGGGCGAAGTCAAACACAGGACACAGAGCTGGTCAGAAAACGTACTTTACTAGAAAGTAATCTGAGAATACACAATCTCCACACAGGGAGGAAAATAACCCGCACACTAACGACTGCCGATAACAATAACAATCACACACAACACACAGTGTAAGGCAGAGGGTTAAATAGGGAAGACAATACTACATAATGGGAAACAGGTGTACACAATCAAGACAGAACAAGTAGACCACAGAAACATAGATCGGTAGCAGCTAGTACTCCGGTGACGACGAACGCCAAAGCCTGCCCGAGCAAGGAGGAGGGGCAGCCTCGGCTGAATCCGTGACAGTTATTGAGTGTAAGAGGGCAATTACTTTTTCACACAGGGGCAATGGGTGTTGCGTAACTTTGTTTATGAAATAAATGAAATAGGTATGTAATTGTTGTGTTATTTGTTCACTCAGGTTTCCTTTTATTTAATATAGGTTTAGGTTGAAGATCTGATAACATTCAGTATCAAAAATATGCAAAAGTAGAGAAAATTAGAAACGGGGCAAATAATTTTTCACAGCACTGTAGTTTATAATACCTTTCACTTTCAAACTTTTTTTTAGTCATTTAGCAGACGTTCTTATCCAGAGCGACTTATAGTTAGTGAATACATATTTTTTTATACTGGTCACCCGTGGGAATCGAACCCACAACCCTGGCGTTGCAAACGCCATGCTCTATCAACTGAGCTACATCCCTGCCGGCCATTCCCTCCCCTACCCTGGACGACGCTAGGCCAATTGTGCGCCGCCCATGAGTCTCCCGGTCGCGGCCGATACTTTGTTATTTACCAGTCTGGGTCAATATCAATTTAATCACTGCCAATTAGCTAATGCAGATATTTCAGTATTTTCTGAATATATTACAGCATTTCTGAACTGAATCTCCTCAATTCACATGTAATAATATTGACACACTTTGCTTATCTTAAAGCCAGCATCAACTCAGCTGTTGGCATGTTATCATCGTTTACCTAGATACACACACCTAGCCTCGGTGCATGACAATGTAAATTCACCGTAGGGTGTGGCTCACTGTGATGTCACAGTTTGGGAATCTGGTCTATCTGTCAGAAAATGTGTTGATGTGGATGCGGTGGGTGAGTCAATCGCAGGACACAGAGGATCAGTCAAAGCGACTTTACTGTACTTGTAAATAGACACAAAAAGAAACGGCCTCAAACACAGGAGGCGAACAAAATACGCGCAGTGCGTAAAACACTAAACTCAGACAAGGCATCGAACCTACAACACACGACATGTGGAACAATAACACACAACTACAAAACATAACACAGGGAAACTTATAGGTGACATAATCAGGACAGAATACGAAACAGGTGCACTAAACTAGACATGACCAAACAAACATCGAAAACATCAAACGGTGGCAGCTAGTACTCCGTGGACGACGAACGCCGAAGCCTGCCCGAACAAGGAGGAGGAGCAGCCTCGGCGGTATTCGTGACACTATCCTGCATGGTTTGGCCTAGAACTCTCCTGTTGATATGTCTCATTTCGTCATTAGCACTCAGACAGAGGAAGTTGGAAACATTTAATTGTACGGTATTGTACTGTTAACACCAGGGGTTGGGCTACCTGGTAACTAATAGGAAATTATATGGCATCAATAGAAATGTACTAGTCACATAGCCTATTTAGAATAATTCAACTTAGTTGGTAACTACCTGGTATCTAGTGGTGTTATTATGATTTTACCTTGCAAGTACATAGGCCTACCTGGTCATTTGCTGTAAAAGTTTCAGAAAGCTGAGTGTTATGGTCTTATGTAGACCTAATGATGGAGAGTTCAAGTGAAGTGTCACTGATATTAATATTACATAACATACCCCCCAATCACACACACACAGAACATGGCCTTTGAGTCCAAGCCAGCATCGGAAAGCGGAGTGGCTGAGAACGCAGCCAGTAGCCCCCAGTGATTACAGCAGAGGAAAGGACCCTTTTCACGGCTGTCCCCCGCCTGGACGCCGCCTCGCGATGCCAAGATAACGGGCCCGTTGTTGGCCCGCGGGAAGCAAACAAAGACGACCCTGTCCCCCTTCCCCTCTAGATCTGTGTGCGAGCTTTGATTTCCCCCTGGTTAGCCAACAGGTATCTGTTGAGCAGTAATCTGACCCTGTCCCAGGCCTGGAGTAGCCTTAATGCTGCTCTGCTCTGGTGGGATGAAAGGAGAAGGTTCTTCTAGTCTACTGCTCCCTCAGCCCTCCTGACAGACAGACAGACAGACAGACCAGTGGTTGTTGGGCAGGTAGAGCACTTCAGTGGGGAGCACAGTGTCCCTAGCATCTTATTAGGGGTGTCATTTAGGGTGAATAGCCCCTCGTCTGTGTCCTCCTTGGTATTCCGATTTGGGGGGGGTGGGGTCTTTTTCAGTCTTTTGTTGAATCTGAGGTCATTGCTTCCTACCGTTTCAGGACGGTGTCATCTCAGTCAAGGACATTGACCTGGTGATGTCAGAGGGGCTGGGAATGCGTTACGCATTTATTGGTCCCATGGAAACCATGCACCTCAACGCAGCTGAAGGTAAGTTCCTCCTTTGACTTACACCAAATAATAAATATTTATATACTGTCCTGTGTGATTGTGACAAATTAACCATGTACGATGGTCACACAGTTGTGTGAGGGGCAGAGCTTATGACCAGACCGTGATATTAGGGTTCAAAAAGGTCGCTCTGCCAGACCCTGAACAGCTGATGAGAGGAGGGGGAACTGTGGCTGCCATCAAATGCCTTACATGTTTCAGTCCCTTTTTACCATATAAGTATATATTGGGGGATGACGTGGTTGTGTGTTTTAGAGAGAGAGAGTGGGAGTGTGTGGGTTGGTGTATGTGTTTGTGCGTGCGTGCGTGCGCGTGTGTGTGTGTGTGTGTGCTCACGCGTGATTCTGTGAGAGTCTGAAACATCAAATAGATGGAAAATATGAAAGGGCAGTGTGAAAACTGGAAAGTGACACTGCTCTGGCTGCACCACCGTGCTCAGAGAGAGAGAGAACACTTTGACAGAACAAAGCTGTCTTTTGATCAACACAGGTGAATGAACTCCCTCACACCAGTCATCTAAAACCACTGTCACCAGGGGAGAATACATGTTGTACAGTACTCACACGTTCTACTTTACCTGTTTTGATTTTCTCTTAATTATCATTTTATACCAGTCCTCTGGTGTTAGTCCATGGTCATATTCCCAAGTGGCAAAATAAGAGGCCTTTGTTAGCCACATTCTAACAGTGGTACTTCAGTGGAGCATGTAGTTTCTAAGTTACCTGTGTGTTTTCCTTTCTACCTTTGCATCCAATAAACATTCAATAAAAACAACAGTGGCATGTGTTACATTATGTTGCTCAGGTCCTCCAAAGGTTACACACTCCTGTTATCACTGTAGGTCCTCTAGTCCAACCAGTCCAATCAGATAGTAAAACACTCAGGTCCACTCCTGTTATCACTACAGGTCTTCTAGTCCAACTAGTCCAATCAGATAGTAAAACACTCAGGTCCACTCCTGTTATCACTATAGGTCCTCTAGTCCAACCAGTCCAATCAGATAGTAAAACACTCAGGTCCACTCCTGTTATCACTACAGGTCCTCTAGTCCAACCAGTCCAATCAGATAGTAAAACACTCAGGTCCACTCCTGTTATCACTATAGGTCCTCTAGTCCAACCAGTCCAATCAGATAGTAAAACACTCAGGTCCACTCCTGTTATCACTACAGGTCTTCTAGTCCAACCAGTCCAATCAGATAGTAAAACACTCAGGTCCACTCCTGTTGTCACTATAGGCCCTCTAGTCCAGTGGTTACCAACCAGGTGTGCTAAGACCCCTGGGGGTACTTGGCCCGTCCACATGGGGTACTTGAAGAGTCATGAGACCATTGGTAAAATGCACATGAGGGGGTACTTCAGGGGTATTCCGGGCAGAGCAAAATTCCGTTGTTGGTACAGTAACCGAAAAAGGTTGGGAACCACTGCTCTAGTCCAAACAGTCCAATCAGATAGTTAAACACTCAACAGTCCACTCTCTGCTCTGGCTGAGTAACAATCATTTCCAAACAGGACACAGAAGAGCCCTTACACCCAGAAAGCTGAGTCATTTTATCAGACAGAAGGAGCCGTGCACTTATTTTGTTCAGACTATTGAAGCAGAAGAGAGAAGGATCTTTGAAAACAGCCCATCAGGTGAGGTCTCTCCCACCAAAAACAAAACTCTGTGAGAGAGTTTAGTTGGACGTAGCTGGCAGTTATCACACTGAAGTGTTAGCTTTAGTCTGTCCCTGTAATGTTCATGTACACATTCAATGTTCAACTTGGGAGTAAGAAACAAATGAACAAGCTTTTTACACCTAAGAAAGAAGTTGACTAGTTTTAATGTTTTAACCCACTTACTAAATTCATTCAAATACACTGAACAAAAATATGAATGCAACATGTAAAGTGTTGGTCCCATGTTTCATGAACTGAAATAAAAGGTCCCAGAAATGTTCCATACACACAAAATCCTTATTTCTCTGAAATTGTGTGCTCAAATTTGGTTACATCCCTGTTAGAGACAATTTCTCCTTTACCAAACTAATCCATCCACCTGACAGGTGTGGCATATCAAGAAACTGATTAAACAGCATTATCATTACACAGGTGCACCTTGTGCTGGGGACAATACAAGGCAACTCTAAAATGTGCAGTTTTGTCACAACACAATGCCACAGATGTCTCAAGTTTTGAGGGAGCATGCAATTGGCATGCTGACTGCAGGAATGTCCAACAGAGCTGTTGCCCCAGAGAATGTAATGTTAATATCTCTACCATAAGCCGCCTCCGTCGTTTTAGAGAATTTGACAGTACGTTCAACCGGCCTCACAACCACAGACCACGTGTAACCACACCAGCCCAGGACCTCCACATCCGGCTTCTTCACCTGCGGGATCGTCTGAGACCAGCCACCCGGACAGCTGATGAAACTGGACAGCTGATGAAACCGTGGGTTTGCACATCCAAAGAATTTCTGCACAAACTGTCAGAAACCATCTCAGGGAAGCTCATCTGCATGCTTGTCGTTCTCACCAGGGTCTTGACCTGACTGCAGTTTAGTGTCGTAGCAGACTTCAGTGGGCAAATGCTCACCTTCGATGGCCACTGGCATGCTGGAGAAGTGGGCTCTTCATGGATGAATCCTGGTTTCAACTGTTGGCGAGCGGTTTCCTGATTTCAACGTTGTGAACAGAGTGCCCCATGGTGGCGGTGGGGTTATTATATGGGCAGGCATAAGCTACAGACAACGAACACAATTGTATTTTATCAGTGGCAATTTTAATGCACAGAGATACCGTGACGAGATCCTGAGGCCCATTGTCGTGCCATTCATCCGCCACCATCACCTCATGTTTTCAGATTTGTACACAATTCCTGGAAGCTGAAAATGTCCCAGTTCTTCCATGGCCTGCATACTCACCAGACACCCATTGAGCATGTTTGGGTGACGCCCTGGATCGATATGTACGACAGCATGTTCCAGTTCCCGCCAATATCCAGCAACTTCGCACAGCCATTGAAGAGGAGTGGGACAAGATTCCACAGGCCACATTCAACAGCCTGATCAACTCTATGTGAAGGAGATGTGTCGAGCTGCATGAGGCAAATGGTGGTCACACCAGATACTGACTAGTTTTCTGATCCACGCCCCTACTTTTTTTTAAAGGTATTTGTGACCACCAGATGCATATCTGTATTCCCAGTCATGTGAAATCCATAGGTTAGAGTCTAATGAATTTATTTAAATTGACTGATTTCCTTATATGAACTGTAACTCAGTAAAATCTTTGAAATTGTTGCATGTTGAGTTTATATTTTTGTTCAGTGTAGAATACAACTAGGCATAAATGACTTGGAGCACTTTCATTCTTGGTCATGTGAGACCATACAGATCTGTTTTGTTACTCTATACTTCTGAACCGAATACAGTAAGATCTGCCCATTGCCTTAAAGTCTAGCCAACCCTCTCTGTCCGGTCCACTCCCCCAGGTCTGGAGGATTATCTCCAGCGCTACAGAGAGGGCATGAAGAGGGTTCTGAACGCCTTTGGACCTGTTCCCGAATTCTCTGGGGAGGCAGCCGAGTGCATCAACAAAGTAGGCTTATGTGTTTGTGTGTTGTACTGTTTGTACTAACTCCTCTAGATTCTAGGACTAGGTCAAATGGCTTCAGATTTTGCTCATCAAGTACAAGAAGGTATGAAAAACTGGGTTAGTTCAAAGAGGGCAATGTTAACATTTGGAACATTAAGTCCAGCGAGCTCAAGGGCGAGCATTCTACAGTTTTCCCCCTCTAGTACTATATCCTGTTAACTAGACGTTACTTAATCACATGCCGTCAGGCTGTTCAAACCTCATTCTCCACACTCCGATGGAAGCCGTCATGTGAGAACACCCTGACCATAAGCGTAAAATATTTCACAAGCGTAAAATATTTAATATTGGACCGATTTTAAATGCATATAATTGCAGAGGTTCCCAAAGAGCTCTATGCGTACCCCTGGGGGTTCTTTCCCAGGTCCTCGAGTCTTGGTTCATCCAGCCATGCACTGCAGAAGTCATAGTAAAACTGCTTTTATACTATTTTGATCGCACTCTAAAGTAGGAGTTGTGTTCTGATATTATGAGGGGGTCCCTGATGAATTTGCTATCACAAAAGGTGTCCCGACGCTGTAACCGCAGACCATGTGTAACCACGCCAGCCCAGGACCTCCACATCCTGCTTCTTCACCTGCGGGATCGTCTGAGACCAGCCACCGGACAGCTGATGAAACTGTGGGTTTGCACAACGGAATAATTTCTGCACAAACTGTCAGAAACCGTCTCAGGGAAGCTCATCTGCGTGCTCGTCATCCTCATCAGGAGATGTGTCGCGCTGCATGAGCCAAATGGTGGTCACCAGATACTGACTGGTTATATGATCCACGCCCCTACCCTTTTTTTTAAGGTATCTGTGACCAACAGATACATATCTGTATTTCCAGTCATGTGAAATCCATAGATGAATGAATTTATTCCAATTAACTGATTTCCTTATATGAACTGTAACTCAGTAAAATCTTTGACATTCTTGCATGTTGCATTTTATTTTTGTTCAGTGTAGAATTAAGAGAAGAAACTATGCATTCTCTCTCTACTTGTCTCATTTCCCTTTCTCTCCCTTCCTCCTCTGATGTGTCCATATAGGAGATGTGTGAGCTGATCCCAGCTGACCAGCAGCACCTGTCTGCCAGGAGAGAGAGGAGGGACCAGCTTCTCATGGGCCTGGCCAAGCTCAAGAAGTGACCCCAGGACTATCACCACCACTGATGAACAGGGTGGGGTGGGGGTATGGGACTCTGCTGTCCATCACTCAGCCAAAGAGCATGGTGATAAGAATGACCTGATCTCTCAGTGGTGCTTACACTGGGGATGTTACTGAATACTGTAGCCCTGAGTCCTCAAACACAATCAATCAACTCATCTGGGATGTTACAGTAGCCCTCACACACAATAAACCAATCTAGGGATTGATTACCATGTCATCTCAGAAATCTAACCACCACATGTTTTATGCAATCAACAAGTTGATCAGACAAGGGAATTAATGGTTTGGTCATACCACAATGGCTTCTTGAATTATGTATACGAAATGTTAATGTGAAAACCTTATGGGAGATTTTTTTATTAAAATTGTGAATTTCTCAAGAATGTTAATACATTTGAATTTTTCCTTCACAATAACACAGATGCACAACAAACAGTGTTCTGTACTATATCTGGTATTTTCCTTAGGTCTCCCAAAAGAGCAGAATCGCTAGATTGATCTTCAGTCACCATAACTTCATGCCTACTTTGTTGTGGTAATCTTGATTTTACAGAGAAAGTTTACATCATCACTTGACCAAGCTGACTGTCTCATGACGATTTAGCCCTTGATCATGACTCTCAGTTCCATTACATTACGCAGAAGAGTCATTGGACGAAGGCTTCTTCTGTAGGGGGGAGTTTTGTTAAGACCCGGAACGCTCGGTCTGAACGTTAACACGCATTGCTTGCGGTAATGTTTTGGAAGCATAAGGACCTTATCTTTCATATCGGCGGGAAATAATCATACTAATAACAAAAAAAAGTTACATTAATACACACCTTTATAGGGTTAGGGTTCCCACACGGACATATTTCCATGTTACAGCGCTTGTTTAGGGAGACAGAGTGGACTACCTTCGCTAGTTGGCTATCTGCGTCTCTGAACACCTGTGTGTAAATGGAAGACAGACGCCACAAACACGATGTCACTGAAACATACTGCCGACTGCAACTTGTGCTAAAACTGGTTAAAGCAGTGTGATGTGATATGAAAGTAGAGGGATTTATGTTTCTAGAACCATGCTGCAATTGAGACTCTATTCACGTTTATATGGAGTATTTGGCTGTTTTGGCTTCCAGAGCCAATTCGCCCTTTAAACAGGACATGTAAGGTCCTTGGACTAAGGAGTAATATTAGGCTCCTTCAGTCCAATATTGGGCTAATGATGACTGTGTGCTTTATAGCTTGAACCTTAAATTAACACTGAATTCAAGTGTATCTGTCTGAAGTGTCTATAATCAGTCAATGTGAAATTAATGTGATTGTTTTTGCTTCAAATAAACAAATCACAGTGTATTTCAGTGAAATTAGTTCAAACTACACGACCGACACATTAATCTAAAAGTTACACACTCCTGAACAGACTTCCGTTTTCTGATGAGCGCTGTTTTTCTACGTCCCGCCCCCTAGCAGGTGGATTATCCTCAAGTGAAGATCATAAAAACTCCGGTACATCTCATCAGAGTGCACACGCGCAGCTTTCACAGTCAGACCTACTTCCAAACAACTCACTTTTCCCCTCTGCTTTGTTTGGAGTTTCTTGAAACGACGGCCTTAAAGAGCACCGAAAACTGAAAATAATGGGAGTTTGCTGAAATTCAGAGAAAGTGAGTGCTGTGATTTGTGAATCCGATATTTTGTGGGGCATACTCACCTGTCTTATTCGTCTTTATGTAATGATACAGCCACTGGTGATTGTTTTTATTTCTTCTGATGTTTAGGATTTTAGTAAAGGAATTATTGTTGCTTATTTTTTTCCCAATATACAGGTTAGAATTTACAGATTAGAAATTCGACAAGGAAACCGAACATGATATGATTCATTGGCAAATTGTTATGGACAGTTTACATTTTGAATTTGTTTGTTCGTGTAACTTGATTAAAATGCAGTCATAGTAACTAGCAGCAGCCCATTTTAGTAAGTGTATATTATATAATAAACTAATGCTAATTTATTGATTCTCTTAAGTTAATGGAATTCACTTTCTTGTGTACTGTTTGATATGATTATTCATTGTTTACTACACTGTTTTATCCATCTGTCAATATAGCCTCACTTTTGATAGCCAGTGTTGTGTAAAAGTAATTACTTGAAAGAAAACACATACATTATTATATAGTTTGATTAAATTGTATTGGAAAGAAACACCACCTAGTGTTCAATTGAATACTTCATAGTTGGACATTTTGGTTAGGTTTTTCAAATATCTAATTGTAAAAGACAAAATGAAACACTTAACAGTGATATAGGCCTACTGGTCTCCTTCCCAGTGCTGTTTGGTTTTCTGAAAATGAAACCTTTTTGAAGTCCACTAAGAACTGAAATTAATTTGTTTCCATTCTTGTGTTCTCCAGGTGGTGAAGCTGCTGTAGAGATGAGTTGGGGGGCTCTGTACGCCCAGCTGGGCGGGGTGAACAAACACTCCACCAGCCTGGGGAAGATATGGCTGTCTGTCCTCTTCATCTTCCGTATCACCATCCTGGTACTGGCTGCAGAGAGCGTGTGGGGAGACGAGCAGTCTGACTTCACCTGCAACACCCAGCAGCCCGGCTGTAAGAACGTCTGCTATGACCACTTCTTCCCTGTGTCGCACATCCGTCTCTGGTGCCTGCAGCTAATCTTCGTGTCTACACCGGCCCTGCTGGTGGCCATGCACGTGGCTTACAGGAAGCGTGGGGACAAGAGGCACATCATCGCCACGGCCTTGCACAGCGGTGGTGATGACAAGACCAGGCAGGTGGACCTGGAGAGCCTGAAGAGGAGGCGTCTGCCCATCACCGGGCCTCTGTGGTGGACCTACACTTGCAGCCTGTTCTTCCGCCTGATCTTTGAGGCTGGCTTTATGTACGCCCTCTACTTTGTTTACGATGGCTTCGCGATGCCTCGTCTGGTGAAGTGTGAGCAGTGGCCCTGCCCCAACAAGGTGGACTGCTTCATCTCACGGCCCACAGAGAAGACCATCTTCACCATCTTCATGGTTGCTTCCTCTGCCATCTGCATGGTGCTCAACGTGGCCGAGCTGGCCTACCTCATCGTCAAGGCCCTGATGAGGTGCTCCACCAGGATGTCTAAGAAGAGCCGCGCCTACGCTCACCCCGATCAAGTGATCACGGCCAAGTCTCTACTACAGAATAAAAAGAACGAGATGCTGCTGTCATCTCTTACCGATTCCTCCAGCAACAAGACTGTGTGAGCACAGCCCAGTGCCAATGTTCTTCCCCATTAGACGACAGAGAACTAGGAAGTAGAAACCTATCAGTGTTTTGTTACCATGAGAAGAGAACATGCTTGTGAGGACATACCTGTAGCAGCTGAGAGGACTGGCCTAACCCTGAGTCTGCTTTTGTAGATAATTTTTCAAATTCCAGTCCTCGAGTACAACATCAACACACGTTGTTGTAACCCTGGACAAACACGCCTGATTCAACTCATTGAGGGCTTGATGATTAGTTGACAAGTTCAATCAGGTGTGCTTGTCCCAGGGCAAAAATTCTAATGTGTATTGTTGGGGTATTCGAGGACTGGAGTTGGGAAACACTGTTGTAGAGGATATTACTTTCTCTGTGCCTTCCACTATGTCACAAATATAGAGCATTGCCCTGACTGACCCATGGGGTAACGTTTTAAAGGGTTAGCATTTTTTATGTATTATTGTTTATTGATCTCGGTGCTTGTATGTTTGAGCTACATGTTTGTTCAGGTAGTTTGGGAGGTTGAACAGCAGTGACAAATGGGTCTAGAGCGCCACCTTCTGGTTTACAATGAGCTTGCAGGAGTTTAATATTTTATTGTGGAGCGCAACCAGAATTGGTTTACGTTACTTGTTCAGCTTTTGTGGGAGACTTTACCAAAGCAGAAGTGTGCAGTATAGCTCCAAGTTCTATTTGAGGCATTCTAACAGCGGCGAGGGAAATTTCTCGAGTACCAAAGCAATATTAAAACAGTGCCTTCGTCTATTAGCAGTGTCAAATAGTATGATGTACATAATGGTGTATATTGAGCATTTACATTTTAGTCATTTAGCAGACGCTCTTATCCAGAGCGACTTACAGTAGTGAGTGCATACATTTTCATATTTGTTTGTACTGGTCCCCTGTGGGAATCGAACCCACAACCCTGGCATTGTAAGTGCCACGCACTACCAACTAAGCCACACAGAGCATGATGTTTTCAGGTGAAGCCTATTCCTGGACTTAAAAAGCATGTTCAATGGGAAAAACTGACCCTCTGAGCATTATGCCAACTGAGACAGACATATAGCCTATTGTTGTCAAGACTGATTGTAAACCTGGCTACAGAGCCTAACTGGGGGTATCGTCTTTCAGCTTGTTCCTTGTTTTAGCCACTGAACTAATCACTGCACCTCTTTCAATGTGAGTAAGCGGGTTGATCTGCAGGCAAAAATGGCCTGTGTTCTGTCCAAAAATGCATGTAGAAGTTGGACCATAATAACTTGTATCACTGTAGTGACAACTTGACTGTTACCTGTGAAAAGGCAAGGACCGTTTTACCAATGAGATGCATCACACACATTTGATGTCTCATGATTTGGACATTGACATGGAAAGCACTCTGTAGGCTAACTTTTTCTCACAATCTTCACAGTTGTAGGGGCACTTTTTGTTTGTCTGTTTTTATATTGTGACTGTTTGGAGGAAATGCAAAATTCGGAAGTACAAATATTTCTTGGAAATTTTTTTGAAAGCCTCAACATTGTCACACTTTATAACAGCTAGAGCCTAGCTATTAATGTACAGCTTTCTAAACTGCATGTTTTTTGAAAAATGAAGGATGTTTGTATTATTAGATCTGCACTTTGACCCTGGGTCTTGACTGTTTTAATAAAAAAACATAAATAATACTGTGTGTTTACTTAATGCTTTCACACTATCTGTTGTAATAACAACGATTGATTGCATTGTTATCAACCTCCAGTCACTGGGATGCGCTTCTCTGGACAACCAAGAGAGGGCGAGAGGCTATGTGGGTGACTGGATTTGCAGTGTAACAAGTACATTTTATTCTAGTGAGGTGTAGAATCATAAATTCCTAAATCACAAATGTAAGACTATTTTATTTGACAGGCCTATGTTCTCGCCAGAATTCCAAATTAACTATTTCTCACAGATGGGTTACTGTATTGTCAGAAATGGCCAACTTCAGTCACTACAGGCCTAAGGTCAGATGTAAAACCATGAAAGAAGAACCAACTTTTCCCGGATGGTAACATGCACCCCCAGACTCCATACCCTATTTGACGCTTGAAGTTTATAGGGGCGTGGCGTGCATCGGTCCAGGTTGATGACTTTCTGAATTCACTCATGCATGGTCACACAATGTGACAGTCGCGATGGCTGGGAACGGGAGGGAGCTGCACTTCGCGGAAACCAATCTTCATGTTCAATTCGCCTCGAAAAACTAACTTTTCTTGCTCAAGTTTGGCGGCGAATCCACGTGTGAAGAAGTTTGTGAATGAATAACTTGGCCTGGCTGTGTTTAAAAGAGTTTGGTAAGCTGGCAGAGGTGCCAGGATTTGGGGAAGGGGGAAGAGGGGAGGGCACCAGCTTCCTTGGGAGGTCTGTAGGCTATACGACGCACTCAAAATATGGCACCAATGGCAGATGGATATTGCTTTCGATATTTAAATTGGGCATCTCCTGTCAAATAAGGTATGATTGAAATGAGGTGTGAATATCTTTCCTGGCACTGTCGTCCTAGACCATGATGCTGGTGACTGGTAACTCGTATCAATGCACATTTTATTTAATTAACATTTAAATGTTGAGGGTTTAAATATGAGAAATTACAGTAGTGACCTATTGTAATCGGGGTCAAACAATAGGATAACAAATGTATCGGGGAGCTTAAATAAAGCCAGTGGCCACAAAGCCTATCGGGCACCCTCTGTATTGTCTACTTGTCAGGCAGCACACTTTGTAGGTTACTGTTGGCTATCTGAACTTAATCTAGTTAAGCATTGTTACTTATTTAATGGTCATCAAAACCTTCATAAATCATCTGATATTCAATCTATTCGATTTGTATAATATGATGAGACATTTTCTGGACTGATACACGTGTTTAGACAAAACAAATGTTGAGACAACAAAGAACATGCAACATTCCAACCTTATCAGATAGGCTATTTTAATACTGTAGTCCTTATAATAGCAGTAATAATGATAATACAAATAAATATTAAACAAATAACTTTTAAAGCATTTTGATTTTTGTATTTGTATTTTTGACTATGTGCTTTATACAGTCATTTATTTATCCAATCGTTAGGTGCGCGTTTCTTTTCGATCAAAGTATTTCCCTTGATCAGCACTTCAAATGCTGATGAGACAATCATTCATTTGGGGTATGTTACTTTTAATATGTTTATAATGTTAACACTTTTAATATATATTTCATATGTATTTGCCATGAAGAAAAAACAAAAATCCCACAATATTTTCATCAGGATACAAACTATGCGGTGGGATATTGATATGGCGAGAGAAATAGGTTAAAACTCTCTCAACTCTCGACATTAAAATTTCTTTGCATATAAATTCTGTGTCTAAATGTCTTGTTTTTCCAATCTAATTAATATCTTAATTTATGACGTCAATTACTATTTACGAATCAGAGCATGGTAATTTTCACTTCAATAAGAGTTAAAAAATACTAGTAAACCAAAAAAATACCTATCACGTGTGCCAGTCTGCTTAAAGATAAGGGAATAAATAAAGAATGGATGAATATGTTCATTGGTTTTTCTTCTTTTTCTTTACAGGTGTCATATTTATTCTGAACCCTAGTCGATGGATTTATTACCCTCAATACAAGAACATTTGAGTAAGTTCAAACTATTTTATGTTTCTGCTTGTGTTTTGCTTTTGGTGTGAATAGTAGATTGATAGGCCTCTACTGGCAAGTTCATGTGAACAACGCTAACCAAGCGCTATACATGGATAACAAAGGTCAGTATTTGGCTTCATTCTCCTGTATTTAACAGTGTTTCTTGTGACTAGGGCTGGCAAATGTTGTGCAATGTCTTAGTTTCAAACATATATTCAGAGATTAGTTAAATATCATTCTCATAGCTTGTTTTTGAGGATCACATATCGGGAAAGTGTAATCTGATTATTATGTTTGGTTTAACTTATGCAGTATGACAATGTACATTATTAGATAGTTAATAGCTTAGTCAATATATGTAATTGTGAATATGGTGTCTTTGCATTTATTGGCTGCAATTTCTTATACAAATGACCATTAAATTGCCATTAAAAGAGCACACATTTTTCAGAGGCCATTGGTTATTTTTCTCTCATCCTTTTTTAACATGTGTGTTACAAATGTATTCGATTTAGTTAATGAATTATCAGCATGTTAAAAGAGGCCTATAGCTGCCCCCGTTCTCAATGAAAATGTAATTCTGTACATCACAGGCTATAAAGGCCTATTAGATGTTGAACATTGTATGTTATATTGTTGGACTTGACACCTATGGCTCTGTTGGATCTGTAACAGTGGGAGTCAGGGCCTACACACCGCAGCCCAACCTCTGCTCACTGCTGTTTTTCAACATTATAATGTTGATCTCAGCAAATGCCTGCTGGGCAGTGGAGCGAGCAGGTGAGAGAGAGAGAGAGAGAGAGAGAGAGAGAGAGAGAGAGAGAGAGTGTATGGGAGTGTGTGTGTGCGTGTATGTGTGACAGTGACTGAGTGAAAGAGTGGGAGAGAGAGAACAGGAGAGTGAAAGAGTGTTAGCATAAATGTCAGGTTCATAGTTAAAGCTAAATAGTGCTAAATAGTGAAATAGGGGGCTTCACAAAATTCTATGGCATTACAGAACATTTCTATACTGTTCACTTGCTTTGACCGATTGTTCGATTAAAACAATTGATTTAGCGGTTAACGTCAATGACTTCTTCAAGGCCATTTTATGGAATTCATTTTAATAAGTGCTTAATGTGTTGTGCCGATGTTAAGTGTGATTAACCCTTTGTATGTTTGTGGGTGACAAGACCATTGCTTGCTCTCTCTAGGTTTGTAGTGCTTTTCTGTCCTTTATCCCACTGCAGTTTATGCTGGGTTATTCATGCTTTCCGTTGGCATCACTTTAACAGGTGTCCTGGCATCACTTGAACAGGTTTGCTGACAATCTCTTTCCATCCTCTCTGTCTTTTCTTCCCCTGCTCCCTCTCTCCTCCCTCTGTTCACTCCAGACTGTACTTTCTCCCTAGGCTAGAAATCTTGAAGCATGGGTGACTGGAGCTTTCTGGGGCGGCTGTTGGAGAACGCACAGGAACACTCGACAGTAATCGGCAAGGTCTGGCTGACTGTCCTCTTCATCTTCAGGATCCTGGTGCTGGGAGCGGCAGCTGAGGACGTGTGGGGCGACGAGCAGTCTGACTTCACCTGCAACACACAGCAGCCTGGCTGTGAGAACGTCTGCTATGATGAGGCTTTCCCCATCTCGCACATTCGCTTCTGGGTGCTGCAGATCATCTTTGTGTCCACGCCCACACTCATCTACCTGGGTCACGTACTGCACATCGTCCGCATGGAGGAGAAGCGGAAAGAGAAGGAGGAGGAGCTGCGAAAGGCCAACAGACTCCAGGAGGAAAAGGAACTCCTTTACAATGAAGGAGGGGATGCAGGGGAAGGAGGAAGAGGTGGTAAAAAAGAGAAGCCACCTATCAGGGATGAGCATGGCAAGATCCGCATTAGGGGTGCCCTGCTGCGCACCTATGTGTTCAACATCATTTTCAAGACCCTGTTTGAAGTGGGGTTCATTTTAGGTCAGTATTTTCTTTATGGCTTCCAGCTGAGGCCACTATACAAGTGTGCACGGTGGCCTTGTCCCAACACTGTGGACTGCTTCATATCTAGGCCCACTGAAAAGACGATTTTCATAATATTTATGCTTGTGGTGGCTTGCGTGTCTCTTTTGCTGAATTTGTTAGAGATCTATCACCTTGGGTGGAAGAAAGTTAAACAGGGAATGGCCACCCCTGATCATGTGTTGTTGCCCCGCTCTGATGGTGTGGGTCCGGAGTCTATAACTTCTGCCTCCAGAACTGCCCGTCCCAACCTCAGCTACCCACCGACGTACACAGATGTGACGGCTGGGAGTGGTGCGTTCCTGCCGCCCAAGGTAGAGGCCTCCACGGTAGAGTTCAAGGTGGACCCCCTGCAGGAGGAGCCCTCATCCTCCTACTACATGAGCAGCAACAACAACCACAGGCTGACCACGCAGCAGAACTGGGCCAACCTGGCCACCGAGCAGCAGACCCGGGAGGTGAAGGCCACCTCCCCCTCCTCTTCCCCCTCCTCCTCCCCTTCCTACGCCCCGTCCTCTGATAGTAAGCAGCAGCCCTGTGATGCTGCTCCCCCCACCACCACCAGCAGCCCCAGCTCCAGTGGGGGCAGTTTGAGTGGGGGGAATGTTGATCAGGAGGAAGGCCACGTCACCACCACAGTGGAAATGCATGAGCCCCCCGTCATGGTCACAGACCCTCGCCGGCTCAGCAGGGCCAGCAAGAGCAGCAGCATCAGAGCCAGGCCCAACGACCTGGCAGTATAGTCAGTTCCCCTAAATACACCTCCAACCTTCCAAAGCCCTCCCAACCCCCCCAATGATTTTTCTATAAAATAATAACTAAATAAAGAATAATTGAGGCAATGTGAGGCAAGGGTCTGGATCTGGAGTTGTTGCCTAGTATATAAATATATTAACAGCTGTTGATATCAGTGCAATCGGTGAGTTGTAGCATGCGCATTATGATAAAAAAATGTGCAGTGTGATTGTGCAATGTGCGTTAAAATGGTCTCACAGGCCGAAGGCTTCATTATACTGGACATCAGGGGATATTAGGGTTCTCATTCCAGTTTAAAATGGCCAAGTAACTTTTTTGTTTGATTTCGGTTTCAATGGCCTAGTATGTGTCAATGTGCTCTTGTCAACAGTGGTTGTTGTTGTTGATGTGTTTATTTGATGAACATAAAAGCCTATTTATTCCAATTAGGAATGATACTGTATATTCATCAAGTCGTTAAGTTCGATTAGCAAATTGCTGAGAACCAACTTTGAATAAAACTGTAATGTGGAACAAGTACAGGGTGTTTTGAAACCAGTTGTTTGTTTAGTATGTTTTCTCTTATGCTGTTATACAAGTTTAGCCTTTCTTAAAGGTCTCAATATCAAATAATTTCTGGATAACAATTAAGTACCTTACTGTGATTGTTTTCAATTAAAATGGTGAAAAAGAAACAAAAATAGCTTCTTAGCAAAGAGCAAATTCTCAGAGCAAGAATGTTGTTAGGACTGTCTGGGAGTGGTCTGAGTGGGGAGGGGAAAACTGAAAACTAGCTGTTATTGGCAGAGAGGTTTGCAACTCTCTTTCTTATTGGTCTATTAACTAATTTACCGCCTGGTGATGTCACCAGGCAGGTCAAAACTCCATCCCACCAAAACAGGCTGACATTTCAGGCAGCTCTTACACTAAAGGGCCATTATTACATTTTACATTTTAGTCATTTAGCAGACGTTCACAATTTTACAGTATTATTCCAACCTCAATGTGGAAATATAAAATACAGGAAAATCACGTTTTTAACTGCACTGGGCCTTTAAAATACATTTTTTAAAACTCATTTCTTGGTGTCTCATAGAAAGTCCATTGCAAGACAAACTAAATCCAACAGCATGTATGCTCTCATCCTTTCTCTAGGATGAAGAATATTGTACAATGTCTGAAATGACACAGATATGGGGATAATAACATTTGCTTGTTCATTATTGAACTTTTATCTTGTACTTTATGACACTTCCTGAATTTCACAGTCTAAATTACTTTTATAATATTCAGGAAATAGCTTAGCTATCAGTGTTTGGAAATACATTTTTTGTATTATGTGTTTGAAGAGTAATGGTGGAATCTGTAAATACAAAACTACAACTCACTGATTCACTAACAGGTCTGCAGGTGCATTTCTTTGTCTTAGTTTTACCCAGGATCCACTTACTGAACACATCCTTTACACAAAAACTATAAGCAGATTATGGGTCAAAACTAGGAGTTGAATGTATTCTTGTAGTCCACAGCTGTTATTACTGTAGGTTCCATGGTTCCAGACCCTGCTCCTACATTTGATTCTCGAATGCAGAAATTAAGCAAATAACGTTTTTTTTTTGCCTGAAATTAGAAAGCATACTGCCATATGCACAATGAAACGTTGACATCCAATTTTCAAGAGGTTGAAAACAAAATAAACCAAATGCTTTCAATTAAGAGGGTAAATAAACCAATTACAGGATATTTAAGTATCACACATCTTGCAAATGTGATAAAACTAGATTAACAACATTTAGGAGATTTCCAAATAGTTTTTCCAGATGTTTAGTTCAATCAAAAGTAACAAAGCTCTTTGATTTGACTGGAAATATTTGTTTATATATATATAATATATATATATATGATGACCGTGTTTATTGCTGCCATCAAAAACACAATATCACTTTTTAATCATTGCATCTTCATGTTGAGGGTAACTCACTCTCATACATCACATGTGATACTTTATTGGTTTTTCTTAAAAGTGATATTTTTTAAAAACAGAATTGAATGATAATGAAATCAAATTTCTTGACTGTAATCAGTTTGTGACAACCAAAACAGCTATTTGGTACAAAACGGACAAAGGCAATGACGATGCAAGTGTCATAACGCCAGGATGAAAAGTAAATCCCCATTTATTGTATTTTTTTTGCGTTTCAGTTAACATCTTGATATAACCTCAACTATTACTACTACACCTGTTATAAGCAGTGGCATGCACAGTCTTCCATCTAGTTAGTGTAAATGTAATATTTCACCCTGTAGATTACCTGAACCATCTTGAATAACTGAAAAACTATGCAAGTCAATGCATGACACGACCACACTTAAAATAGGCCTTTTCTTAAATGACTTAGGCTACTTGTGAAACATGATTGGTATGGTACAACACCTGTACCAAAATAGATGTATTTCTTACATATTTCTTATTCCTTCAAATGACCATATGTTAATAGTTTATAGTTAGAGAAGGATCTGAAATAAACACAATAACAAACAATACAAACTAAAAACCATAGTTAAAACCGTGGAGAGACTACCAGAGGAGACTATGCAATGCTTTGCTTATAACAGTGTTACTCTTATTGGAAGAATCCGTTTTTTCCCAATGTATGTTACCTTTTCATTTAAACTATTTCAATGTACCAAACCACAAAATAATCTGTGTTATTTGCGTTTGTCATTTTGGTTCTTAAAGTTTACATTTTAGGAAAAAGATCAAAGATTTGCACATTTAGGCAAAACATGCTGTTCTATGAATCATATATCTATCTATAGGAGAGAGAGGTAAAGACACCAGACTGCTGATGTTTATCATCCTTAAAGGAAAATGTCTTAACCGTTAAACACAGCGGCATTTGCGTTAAAGACAGTATTTCAAAAAATGACATCAAATGTGAATATAGGATACATCTATAAGTTAACTCATGGTCTGAGACGATTGCAGAACGTTTGGGTTTTCAAATATAGAAAAAAGTGGGCTGTGAGTATTTTCTGTGTGCTCACTCAGTGCTTTCACTGTGTTCTCATCTCACAACATTCATGTGACTCTCTAGATAGCTTGTATTACTACGTCACACTAACGTTGAGAGAATGTTAGCTGGGTAGCTGGCCCTTCCTCTCTTCTACACACAGCAACGTGTGTATTTTTTTGAGTTGCCCGCAAGCCCCTCATCCAATAGGTTAATATACAGTAGCTTTCTTCAAACTCTTGATGTGTGTCATGCAGAGCGTGATTTCTCTGGCCAGTCAGGGAGTAGGAACCATCTACATTATGCTCAGAACAGCAGCCTGTTTCAATGCTGTCTTAAGAGAAGTGCCTTGTGTATGACCTTTTGTAAGAACAAGTTGATGTAAATGTTAATTTACCTCAAATGTTTACAAAACCGTTACTAAATAAACTTTTTGTACCATATTTCTGGAGTATGTGTTGATCAATAAAATTGAGCCAGTATGTGGACCTACTGTACTTGAGTATGCATTTGCAACACACACACACACATACTGTACCTCCATGAGTACACTACATGACCAAAAGTATGTGGACACCTGCTCGTCGAACATCTCATTCCAAAATCATGGGCATTAATATGAAGTTGGTCCCCCCTTTGGTGCTATAACAGCCTCCACTCTTCTGGGAAGGCTTTCCACTAGATGTTGGAACATTGCTGCGGGGACTTGCTTCCATTCAGCCACAAGAGCATTAGTGAGGTTGGCCACTGATGTTGGGCGATTAGGCCTGGCTCGCAGTCGGCGTTCCAATTCATCCCAAAGGTGTTCGATGGAGTAGAGGTCAGGGCTCTGTGCAGGCCAGTCAAGTTCTTCCACACCGATCTCAACAAACCATTTCTGTATGGACGTTGCTTTGTGTATGGGGGCATTGTCATGCTGAAACAGGAAAGGCCCTTCCCAAAACTGTTGCCACAAAGTTGGAAGCACAGAATCGTCTAGAATGTCATTGTATGCTGTAGCGTTAAGATTTCCCTTCATTGGCACTAAGGGGCCTAGCCTGAACCATGAAAAACAGCCCCAGACCATTATTCCTCCTCCACCAAACTTTACAGTTGGCACTATGCATTTGGGCAGGTGGCGTTCTCCTGGCATCTGCCAAACACAGATTCGTCCGTCGGACTGCCAGATGGTGAAGCGTGATTCATCAGTTTCCACAGCTCCAGAGTCCAATGACTACGAGCTTTACTCATTTACATTTACGTCATTTAGCAGAAGCTCTTATCCAGAGCGACTTACAAATTGGTGCATTCACCTTATGATAGCCAGTGGGACAAACACTTTACCATTTTTTATTTTTTTATTCATTTTTTAAAGTTTTTCTTTTTCTTTAATTTTTGTCTTTTTATATTAGTTACTTTTTATTTTATTTTTATTTTTTATTTTGTATTGTTATTATTTTTATTTATTTTTAAATATTTTTGTGGGGGTGGGGTTGAGGGGGGGGGGGATAGAAGGATTACTTTTATACTATCCCAGGTATTCCTTAAAGAGGTAGGGTTTCAAGTGTCTCCGGAAGGTGGTCAGTGACTCCGCTGTCCTGGCGTCGTGAGGGAGCTTGTTCCACCATTGGGGTGCCAGAGCAGCGAACAGTTTTGACTGGGCTGAGCGGGAACTGTGCTTCCGCAGAGGTAGGGGGACCAGCAGGCCAGAGGTGGAAGAACGCAATGCCCTCGTTTGGGTGTAGGGACTGATCAAAGCCTGAAGGTAAGGAGGTGCCGTTCCCCTCACAGCTCCGTAGGCAAGCACCATGGTCTTGTAGCAGATGCGAGCTTCAACTGGAAGCCAGTGGAGTGTGCGGAGGAGCGGGGTGACATGAGAGAACTTGGGAAGGTTGAACACTAGACGGGCTGCAGCATTCTGGATGAGTTGTAGGGGTTTAATGGCACAGGCAGGGAGCCCAGCCAACAGCGAGTTGCAGTAATCCAGACGGGAGATGACAAGTGCCTGGATT